AATCTGGAAAGAAACAATTGAAACGATGACTATCGTATATATAACATGTACACGAACCGATATGTTTACATTGAAATATCCAAAGCAATTATATTATGGAAGGGAAATTGTAAAAAGAGTTTTTGTTATTTTTTTTATATATAAAGATTGCATCTGTGTCTTACAAGCGAGAGTGAAATGGACGCGTGTCTGCTGCTGAATCACCTGGCGATGCTAACTTGCGGTATCACCACGAGATTCGTCAGGCCTCCTGTGTCACAGTATATACGTTCTGACAAGCCAGGGCCTGACGCCGTAATTGATTCGAAAACAACGTGCAGTATGCTGCTATGTATATACAGAAGCCCGCAGTCTTGTTAAAAAATATTTTATTTGGTAAATAATGTTGGTTGTGGTATTTAATTATATGGATAAATGTCGCTGCCGAGTGGAATTATTGTTATAATTTAAAACCATGTTTGTTTTTTGTAGGAGCCTGCTGTTTTGCATGTTAAACAGAACAGAAATTAATTTAGTGTAGTTTATGTTTTGGAGCGGTTTGTATTACATTATAAAAACGTATTTGAGTATTTTATAAACAATAATTTATTAAATGTACAAAAATATCAATCAGTAAAAAATTATATGTCATGCGCATAGATGCTACTGCATGATTTAACCTCTTGAAATTCGTGATATAATTAATGGGCGGGGTTCAACAAAATAATTACTAGCAATAAAAATCAGATGGCTTATTCGGCTATTAAGATTTATTTCCCAGGCGCAATTATTCTTACGCTTTAAGAAATCGCCACCGCGGGTTGCTCGCGAATTATGAAACAAAATTGGTGTTTTTGATATTTACGGAAACCTCGTGGGACCACAAATCTGTAACTAACCGAAACATATCCCTGTGTGCAGGGCCCTAAAGGTTCAAGTGATCCCTACCCTTGTCATGTTGCTCTGCCAAGTCAAAAAGTAGCTGGGATCGATTTCCACAATTCTACATAAATATTTGATTAGGAAAGGGCCCAACTATTACGGTAATGAGAAAGAGAGTGCATTTTGCTCAGTCACGTCGTTATCATTAAAAATTAAACAGCCTTGATCATTGCATAATGTGATTATCCCAGGGTGATTTGATTAAGCGCTTGTGCTGCGGTTGGCAAAAGGGTCAGTCAAGAAAATCGTAACACGGCCTAATTTGATCATCTCGGGGCCTCTGTACATAAAGGCGGGTCGATCGTTGTAGCGGCACATGGCCTGGCTAAATTACGACTTCCATTTGCCGCAATGTATCCCCCTCAAAGACTCAGGGGACCGAGACATGGGGAATCCCTTGGAGAGTTTGCTCGTTCCAGAACAAGCCAATCTCGTTCATATTCCCTCCCCTGTGTTTGGCAAGGCTTGAAATGACCACGCGAGCACCTAACGCTGGTGTTCTATTCCTCGTGGTAATTTTCCCACTCCGATAACTTTCTCTCCGCTATTTTGTAATTTAAATTCATTACCATGAAATTTGAACAAAAATGATAAATTATGGACGAGTTGAACACTCTTTATCCTCCATATTTTCGTTAGAATGTCACATCGCTTTGGCATAGGTTTGATCGTGGACGTCACGCAATTTAAAGCTCCAGCGATCAGTATGAAAATGACTGCCTTGAGATTTATGGCGAGGGATCCCTATCGATTTTCCCCTTTTTCTGATATGATATTCGTCATACGGGTAATCCCATGATGCAGGGTTTAAGTTGCACGCAAGGACAAGCGACTAGATCAGTTTCAAACGTGCCCTCATATATTGTCCATATGGCATTATGAAATTCGGATCAGGATTTCTTCATTATTCGATCATACATTATTCTGCGATATGAACTTAATTTTTTGTAGTAAGTTTACTGAAATATTTCAAATGGTGACGCCCTGTTAATAATATAGGTTTGAAATCTTAAACACGTATGGTTAGCGCTTTGACAGGATATGTGTTTTACATGGAGTGTATATATATATATATGGTACATATATACTGTTAAAATCCATGTCCCGCCAGAGTGCCTACGGTACATGTAACAGATCCTCATCCAAATATTTAAGTTAATACTGAATGGTAAATATATACTACTCAACTTTTGATAACAATATTGATGCTTCATACTATTTGTCATTAAAGGTATGAATTTGAAGTCTTTGAGATGTGGCCAGAGACCATCACTCGGTATATGGTCTCTAGCGTAACACGTTCCAGGCAAAAACATCGACTTTTATGTTAAATATATACCACTCAGCTTTTGATAAGAATATTGATATGTTTCTGTGTAATTACGTATTCGTGTCCTGGAAGAATTGTTCTATGCCCCTATCAGTAACTGAGTATACATGGAGAGATAGCATCTGATAGCATCGCGAAGCTGTAACGCATACAGCTGAAGGGATGTGTTACTATTAGTTAACATGAACTTACACAGAAATCACTGTTTATGCATGTAATTCAATTCCTTATTCAAATACATTATCTTTATAAAGTTAAATGTGGAACCTTTTATTTCACTGTTTTATTTTTGTTATTATATTTATTATTATATTTATTATTATAACTGCTAATTATCCGGGAAAAGTGGTGGTTCGAATGAAAGATGTTCCCTACTTGATCAGATCAAAACGATGTTCAAGTTTGACGACAGTACTCCCATGGAATACATTAATTATTTAATATTACTGGCATGTTGATAAATTAGTATGGCTTCAAGATTCATTACCCATGTGGTAAACAGAAATTACCGTGTTGGTTCGGGTAGTTAATATCCCCATAAATTAGCGCGCATGCTCCGCGTGCCACGGACGACAGATACACTTGCATGACGTATTCCCGCCTGTCCGCCATGTGTCTCGGGGATGTCAAAATGACCCTTGTTGACAAATGTTGCCGCACGCTCACCAGTGACGTCACGGGTCGTTTACTCAAGACATTCCATCTGGGATATCTGATTGACACATGAAATTATTACAGCAATTAGCGAGTCTAGTGGTTGTATAATAGCTATATCAAGTGTTACTGGTATTGTTTGGTTCGAAAATACTGACGGAATTTAAGAGAAATAATTGTGATTACAATATAAGTTATTTAGACGCAAAAGGTTTTATCATACCTGACTAAAGGAATTTGATAAGTCATGATTATATTGTCTTGAACTCCTTAAGAATCATTTTATTTATTGACAATTCGGGACTATATTTATTTCTTGAGGTGATGTGTGTATGTCTTTATTGGAAACTAAATAGAGGCTTTCTAAATTCAAACGAAATACGATACGCTGGTGAATTAGATGCCTTTAAATTTACCGTAAATGCATTTGCTCGTGTACTTAGGTAATAATTATGCTTGTTCACTTTTGTGATTTAACGCCCTAAAGAAATAACCCACCAGACGGGACAGCCAAGTCACAAATAACACTGAAATTTGATCGTATGCCCATTCACTGCTTTGGGGAAGTTTAAAAAATGAAAATACAAATATGAGAGTTCGGATAATCATGTCATAAGTTTCTCTGTAAACATGTTACACAATAAGTGCAGTTACTTTCATATTTTGTATTCTGTGTTTATCTTCATTTCCAGGGAACGCGACGTATTAAATTAACGACGAACATGTCGCCATCTTATCTCAGAATGCAAGCGGGCCAGGAAGTTGTCGGAAAGCACATCTTGGACCAATTTCTGGCGTGTATCTCCGACATTAACCGGAATCTCACGAGCCGATGCACTCTCGTTATGCTGGACATTTTAGTCATTCGGAAAATTACCCGTCTAACTATGACCGCCGAGTTATTCCACGAAGATAATTTCGTTTTAACAAATTTAATTAAAGAGTAGTAGCGGAAGAGGTGATTTAAGTAGAATTGTGACCAATAAAAAAGTCGTAATGTTAATACAAGCGACACTAGGTTATTAAGCAATGAAGGACGTTGTCTACCAAAGAATGTGGCGGGGCAGCATGTGTAATTCTACCCCGTATTGAAGGCTGCTTTCCTACGACTTACTTTATAAGTAAATATTTTGAAAGTTTAATTTGAAAAGGGAAATATATTTTAATTTCAGTTCTATGTTTTATGAAATTTTTTACTTTTTATACAAAATATTAACAACCAATGGCAAATTGGACAAATATCAAAACTTTACACAATGTGTATTTGTATGCAATTTTCATGGAATTTATTTTTGGGAATAAAAATTCATAAATATATAGTTAAACTGTATTGTACTGTACAGAGGTACTTACATACACCTTTATTCATATCAGGGCAGTGTTGGAACATTTAGTTTTTAAAACGGATGAATTGTACTTTTAACGGAGACTCATGTTGGATTCACATGCTTGCTTGCTTGCTTGCTTTCTTGCTTGTGTTTATTATTGCTAAATCTTACATTTGAAAAGGTAGCACTAGTGAATATAATGATTATTTTCATATTGCAAACGTCTTTATAAATATTTTCGTATGATGTTCGAAACAATTAGTCTGTTTCACGTACAGTTAGTGACCAGTTTCCCTGCACCAGTTTTAATTCACGCAGAAGCATAATGCCAAGATCAGTGAAGATAGCGTTACAATAGTTACTATTTAAATTAATATTTCGTTTTATTTCAGATTATCAATCTGTTTCAACCATGCTAACCATTTTACGACATGATGGATCATACATCTGGTTCACTTCATTATATGCTTTCTCATCTTTAAAAATATACGTGGGAAAATAATTGCTGAATATCAATTTATTTTCAAAAGAAACTGAATATCATTAAATTGTGATTGATATTCACCCCACGCCTGGTTTCAGAGAAAGTTGTATTTTAACATTCCTGTAGAGTTGAAACGAGTCGGCGTTGTACGGTCATGTAGCTTGGAGCGAGCAGTTCATGGTTCATTTTGTTTCAGCTGTCCGCTATGCAGGTGAAGCTATTGTTGTCAATAAGATCGCCTCACCATAAACCTAGTTAGTAAATCCAGGTGTTTATTTCACAGGTTCTGGCCTATGTGGATCAGCTGCATGGGAAATGGAACTTCACCGAAATACGCGCCATCTTCTCACGACGATACCTGCTGCAGAACGTGGGCATCGAGATCTTCATGTCCAACAGAAGTACGGCACTCTCACACACGCACATATTGAACATGCGAACATATATCTTGCACGTGTCATCAAAATACAGATATATCAATCACGTAGTAAGCTAGGACATCACGGAGAGCATAACGAGTAAATATTATTCCAGATTTCCATTTTGAAATATGCACGCACATGTAATACGTACACTTTTATTAAAGCGAAAGAACATGTGGCACGTTTAAGTAACTGTTTCCAAAATAATTAATACAGGGACGGAGATCAGTAAACAGGGAAGTAAATGTTTATACTAACACTGCTCATAATTACAAAATCAATATACAACATGTAAAAAAATTGCATAATAAAATCAAGAAATATTTTAAAGGAAGGATGCCCGACTAGGCAGTTGAATATTATATTATATTATATTATATTATATTATATTATATTATATTATATTATATTATATTATATTATATTATATTATATTATATTATATTATATTATTAGGTATTATATTATTATTAGGTATTATATTACCTCAGTATGTTGTTAAATGACAGGCGTTATTGCAGGTAAACATTCGATGCTCCACAAACGGACGAGTGTGCGTACAGTTCCTCGTGAATGCACACTTTGAGTAACACATACGCGTTTCCCAGAATTAATAATTCACTACCAGGTGGGATAAAAATAACTACATCGGACCAGGCGTAACAAACTTAACATCCACAGGTATCCTCGTGAAAGAACAGCTCTGACTTGTCATAATTTGTAATAATTCCAAGGTGAAAGTCATGAATCCTGTTTGAACATATTTGCACATGTACACTTGGACAGATCACTGTCTATAATCGGTTATAACTCCCCGCTCTGTTTTCTTACCGACTCAGAGTATCTAATTACAGATTATTACCAGAAATTTGACATGTCAACACGAGTCAATGAATACAAGAGGATTAAAATGTCACTTCTGAACATAATATAAAATGAATTAATAATTAACTTCCTCGTACGGTACAACCTACCGTTTGTTTTACATAAGAAAAAAGTATATGACGTCTTTCCGCAATATTTATCATAAACGACCTCGAAGACTTTGCAGATAACCTTCAGTTAGGATATCAATGAAGGTTGTGCCGGATTTATTCCCAAACTAGTTTGTCTAATTTTTGTATTGCCCCAAAATATTTGTATACGTTCTCGCTGGATGCCGGTTTGACTGGGCTTGTGTTGGTGCGCATATTATGTCAATGTGTTCATCATTCAGGCGGACATGCTTAGCTTTGCGCATTAATACTGCCCCTTGGTATGATGACAGGAACATGGAAACGGTGTCAGATATTGAGGAAATATTCACAGGCATGCTTTATCTGAAATGTGTTGAATGTAAGCTGTCATTTATATGCACATAAACAAAATTATCAACCGGATACAATTGCCCGGCGTTGTATGTCGCTAGGATTTTAAAATGTTAGAATAAACGATATTAATGATAATGGCTTTCAAACACTGGGAAATTTGTGGACTTGGTGCATCGTTAGACTTTCATTTATCCTGTTGTAGCAGTACAACTTAGTCAATAATAATAATAATAATAATATTGATATTAACAATCATTATAATACAATACAACACAATACAATACATATGAACGGAAATATACAGTTTGTTTGTGACAACAATCATATGAGTACACACAAAGTAATAATTTTAATGATAATGGTAAATTCATTTAAACAATTATCCGTTTGCGTGATGTCTATGATCTGACAGCCATGATTGACATTGACATATTGCATCAAATGAAATCGACAACAAACCAAACAATACACGAACTGTTCGGAGGATATGTAGTCATTTAAATCGTTTATGTTTTGCGGTGAAGTGGTTTATGTATGGGCCAATTGTAGGGGGTATCAGTGAACGTGTAGCCCCCGGGCGTGACACCGCTCCCCAGGGGGGGACACACTTATCTACTAGGTGCCATGTCAATAGATATAGAGCCCCGTCACAAGACGTGCCACGCAGGAAATTAATTGTGATTCTCTTTAACATGTGCTTAAACTCTTCTACTGGAGCAGTGCACGTGTGTGATTAAGTTTAGACTCTTGATTAGAGCAGGATTGGGTGTGCTGGGCGGTTTAATTGGCTAGTTTGCAGTTTAGACCATTTGCACGGAATTAAAGAGTTTCTTGCAATTCACACCTTAGAAGTCTAGATTCGGTGTGTGTGTGCGTGTGTGTGTGTGTGTGTGTGTGTGTGGGGGGGGGGGGGGGGGGATCATTGCTAACGGTGTGTATACAGTGTAATTAATAAAGAATACGTTAATATAGGTATACGCGGTAAAAGCTTATCCGTCGTCATTGTCAACGTTAAAGAGTGAGTGAGTTCATATTTAATATCGCGCCAGCCTTTTTCAATTATATAGCTGCTTTTATTTTTAATATTTGTAGTTGTAGTTTGTTATATAATTATTTAGTAAATATTTATTGTTGTGTGAGTGAGTTAAAAGTGTATGTGCCCTGTAGGTAATTCTGGGTTAAAATACTTTTCAGCAACCTATGCTGGTCGTACGTGGCGAGCAAATGTATTGGGGTGGTCGGACTCGGTGCCTTGGTTGATTGGGTGTAATCCGACGACGTGGATTGTTCCTCACAATATGGATCACTGGATTGACTAATTCGGCAATTTTCAGGCCTCCGTCGTTTTGCTGAAATATATTGTTGAGTGACGCGTTAAAACAACAAACAAACGTTTATGTCAGCTGTTGTCAGCATTATTTATTCCTTCTTAAATTACAGTTGAAATGTAATTTTGGCATACGACTTTGATCCACTCCTAAAAACACGGATCGTACTGCGGGATTTCAGATGGTTTTGTTTGTTTGTTTGTTTGTTTAACGCCGCACTCAGCAATAATCCATCTATATGACCACGATTCACATGATTATGAAACTAGTATTCACTGTATGACATGGGATATTGACGATTCTCGTACTCGTCAATATTCCAGCTGTTTGGCGGCGGTCTGTAAATAATCGACTCAGGGCCAGTTAATCTGCTGATTGATATTATGAACAACGATCCACGGCGTTAGGGTACGATGACATGCAATCAACCAAGTCACCGAACATGACCACCCAATCTATTTAGTCGCCTTTTACGTCAAGAACGGGTTTCTGGGGACACAAAAAACTATTCTAACCCGGAATCCCCATGATTTGAAGGGTCGTCACAAAATCGATCGTTTGTTCGCTTTCGGAAATATCATCAGCAAAATCCCGAATTATGTGTGGTAATCAACAAGACGCTTGAGAAATCAAAGCTTGGTTTTATTGATGTTAGAATAAGACACTTGAAAAGGGAAGTCGGTGCTTGCGGCAGCGGTGTGAAGATGTACAGACTTGGCTCCGTCTCAGCCTACGGTTGTCGGTGGTATTGAGTGATTGACAGCCCGCAGGTTAATTTCATGCAGTCTGAAACAAATAAACTCGTGCTTTTTACGAAATTGGTATTAAAATCCTCCAACGTTTTTGCGTATATTTGAACAGGGTTTTTACCATAGTAATCCATTAAACATACTCTGTTTTGATCTTTGTGCGGATATCTGTTACTAAGAGGAATCATGTTTTCACCTGGTGCATTACGCGATGTTGCGCTGTTTTTGTGACGAACGCATTTTATCATGGCTGCGCTTCAGAACACGGCACGGTCTGATAGATAAATGGCATACTTTTTATATTAAGCATATGTCTACCTAATAGTAGCTTTCACATTTAATGTTGGCTTTCTATGAAGTACCGACACAAGGAATTCAGTTAAAACTTCCGTTGATCTATTTGAAATGAGCGGCTTTAACGCGTGTGGTTGCAAACGACTGTGGCGATTACAGTGATTTACCCTGACCTATTATAAATAAATGAACAATTCCGTGTAGATTTGGACACTCTGGTTCCTTGGTTTGAAAATAAGTTAAGTTTAATATGTACATGTATATATGAACAATGAAAGTCTTACGATGCAATAAGTCGACAAACTTCAATGTGTTTGAAATCCCGTATCCAATATTTCTCTTATTCATTTTAAAACTCCAGTGACACCCAACGGATGGCATTCGTTGATAAGTTTGTTTATATGCATAATAATGACAGCTTACATTGATCCCAATTCCGATAAAGCATGCCTGTAGAATGGAATAGTTATTACAATATCAAACGAATGTAGGTATCGTCAATTGATTAAGAAACATGCAGTTCATTTTACATACCAACATGCATAAACAGACCGCGGTCAAAGGGGAGACAACTCGTATTTGAAGCGTTCATAAAATCCTTTACAGAACTCGTTTCATCAACACGAAAACATTAGTGCCAAGCATATACCACAAATACATAAAACGCAATGGGTTTTTTCAATTGATAAGATATGTTTTATTGTAGGTCTTCCAAAAATTAGATACTGTATTAATTCATTAGCTGCATTTTCTGACATACTGTTTGAATGTAAAACTGTTTCAAAGTAGTTTTCATCTTTGTTTGATGTCTCTGAGTAAACTGCAATATCTAGCAGTGTGGTCTCTTTGCATGACTTTGTACGAAATATGCCTCTGTTTACCCAGCAGTCTATAGGTACCTGGTAGCGGACCCGTGAAGATCAGGGTAAAATAGGTCTTCAGCAACCCATGCTTGCTATTAAAGGCGACTATGCATGTCAAAAGAGGCGAAAAGCTGGATGGGTGGTGAGGCTCAATGACTTGGTAGATGCATGTCATCGTATTCCAATGGTTTAGGTCAATGCTCATGATGTCAGTCACTGGATTGTCTTATCCAGACTCGATTATCTACAGACCACCTTGATATAGCTGGAATATTGCTGAGTGCGGCGTAAACACACACACACACACACACACACACACGAACACACACGCACGCACGCACGCACGCACGCACGCACGCACGCACACACACACACACACACAAACAAACCTGGTAGGGTTGGATGGTAATGTAACTGTCAACTTCTAACGCCTCTCAGTGCAATACAAATGGAATTATTTCTCCTTTCAGCCGCTGTGATGTTTGCTTTCCCTGACCATGCCACAGTAAAGAAAGTCATCAATGCCTTGCCGCGTGTTGGAGTCGGAATAAAATATGGACTTCCACAGGCGAGGTGAGTACGTCAGATGACATACAAACCAGACAATTAGTAACACACGACTCACTCACTCACTCACTCACTCACTCACTCACTCACTCACTCACTCACTCACTCACTCACTCACTCACTCACTCACTCACTCACTCACTCACTCACTCACTCACTCACTGTTTTTTATTCATTAGTCGCAGTACTAACATGGAATGCTTTCAAAAATAATTTTAACCACCTACATTGAATGTTAGGCCAAAATGTCTGTAAGCCATTTAATAAAAAATAATATTAAAGACATTATCTTCACGTTATTTCCCTTCTCCAGACGGATGTCGCTCGCGTCAGGCAAACAGTTGTACAAGTTGTCCTCTATGACCCAGAAGTGGCAGAGGAGGGAGATCTCCAACTTCGACTACATCATGTACCTCAACACCATCGCAGGTATGTCATCGTGCGTCTAATTCAATGTCCATGCCGACCCATGAAGATTCCGGGGTAGAATAGGTCTTCAGCAACCCATGCTTGCTGTAAAAGGCGACTATGCTTGTCGTAAAAGGCGACTAATGGGATCAGGTGGTCAGGCTCGCTGACTTGGTTGATACATGTCATCGATCCCAATTACGTGGATCGATGCTCATGATGTCGATCACTGGATTGTCTGGTCCAGACTCGATTATTTTACAGACCGCCGTCATATAGCTGAAATATAGCTGAGTGCGGCGTTAAACAACAAACAAACAAATCCATGCCAGTGTTTCCAAACTGAAGGTGGCATGGCTCGGTATAAACCTATGATCGTATTTTCGAATCCCGGTTTGGTCCGATTATGTTTCTAGGTTAATCACCACCTATCTGTGCTCGTGGGTTTCACCAAAGTGGTAAATGTCTGAGACCTGCATCACTGCAGGCTTTCCTTCCATCTTTAGCTGACATGATTTATTTAACTGTAATGCTGTTCTTCTATTTGATATGATTGTATATGAATTGAGTTTTGTAGACAAATGCCTTGGTATATTATATTCTAGACAATCGCTAAACATTGTGTTGGTTGGCTGCAGGTCGCACGTACAATGACCTGAATCAGTACCCAGTGTTCCCGTGGGTGCTGGTCAACTACGACTCGGAAGAACTGGACCTGAGCCAGCCTGCGAACTACAGAGACCTCTCCAAGGTGACACCCACACTCACGTGTACAGCTAATGTTCCGTATTTTGCTGTGCACAGTTGCCTCCCGTAGCCGTGCCAGAAACGTGTGATTGTGTGTTCACTCTGAGCTTTCCTCCCTTAGGCTTAAAAAAAAATACCGAATTGGTTCTCCGGCAATGACTTTTGAAAAAATGGTGTGGGCAGTATTTTTATTTTTTGCTTGTTCAAACTAGTATGTAACCAAATAAACAGTTGTGTACCATCAACCTGGGAAAGGGCCTTCCTGCAGAAACGAGAATACAAACATTGCCGCTATGTCAAGGGAAGCAACACCATGCTATATTTGATAGCATTGTCTTTAAGTATTAGGACTATTTGAAAAGGAAATGTATACAAAATGTGTGGCAGACTTTATGATGATGCTGGCGGTGCCTGAGAACTAAGACTATTATTTTTTTTAGCCTTATCAACAGAGCTCAAGATAAGCTGCGTATCTGCGTAAAATGCGCATCAGAAATGCAGAAATACGCAGTAAAATAAAATCCAAGCGTATCAAATACGCAACGAACATTACAGATACGCTACAAAAATAAAACTTGTGCGTATCATCAAAATATTGTGAAGTAACCCTGCGTATGCGATTAGCAAATCAGCAACTTATTTTGAAATTATAAACAGGCATTCCGTCAACCTTGCCAAACTCCACGATGACAGTTACATCATGATCATTTGCCATCACACTTTCGTGTGGAAGTATCGTGGTATTTTTGAGTCCTATAAAGCTCTCAAACCCACACAACACCAGTGTGCAGGGACTAGATGAATAGTGTTTTTAAATATTTCACTTAAATACTCACATGTGTAAAAACTAGTGGGTAACAGAAATTTGAATACCCAGATAGAATTACTGATACCCAATGATTTTAAAATGCATGGATAAAATACCCACGACACCAAAAGCTTATCTGGAGCTCTGCTTATCAAGCTAAAACACTGTGATATAACTGACATACTGTCCAAAGTATCATTAATCCAACTCATTCACGCATCGATACCCACATATTTTGATTAAAGTCATTTTCTTTAGAAAATAGTTGTGGTGACTGATTTCAGGCAAAATGGATTGTGTATTTTTGGTATTGTTCACATGACCTTTGTTCAAAAACAAAATGACTTCAATTTCTGCTTTACTGCCTGCAGAAACTAAAGCATCTTGAACACTTTTACTTATTATATTTTGTTCTGATTGAAACAATACTAATGAAATGAATTAAAAAGATAAATAAATATGTGCATTTATATTGTTTCAGTATAAGGTCATTGGGTAGTTTTGGTTTATCACACATATCATGCTCTCCACTAATGAATTTCAAAGCTCGTTATGTGATAGAAGATCTTTCGCTGGGAGCACTGTCAAGGGGAGGTAACTCTGAATCTAACATTGTATCAATGTGTTGATCATGTTCACATCCCTTTATTTCTGTGACAGCCAATCGGAGCTCTGAATGAGACGCGAAAGGCGTACTTCGAGGAGCGGTACCAGACGTGGGAGCATGATCAGATCCCGCCATTCCACTACGGAACCCACTACTCCACTGCAGCATTCACACTCAACTGGCTGATTAGAGTGGTGAGTTGGCACCTCCTTGTGACTAGCATCCTTCACCTTGATGTTTGGCAATGTCCGATACGTCAGCACGCTTTCACTGGCTCATGAGCTCAACTTCTCAAGGCCTATTTTGCTGAATCTGTGCATGAATGATCCGATAGAATAAAGCTATTTAAAGTAAATACTTACTTCAAAATTTTCAGATCTGATTAATATGTTGCATCAAGTGAGCTACAGTGCATCATGGTTTATAGTTATCACAAGGTTGCTTTTAAAGCTTTTGAAGTGACTTAGTGGTGGTTGGAGATTATATGAGAGCTTTTAGCTATACAATAGAAATCAACACACTGAATCACACTGTGGGTTACTGGACAAATGGATGTCTGTTTACGGACGTTGGTTACGGATGTCTGTTTACGGATGTGTGTTTACATTTGTCTGTTTACATGTGTCTGTTTACGAATGTGTGTTTTGGTATGTATGTTTACATATGTGTGTTTGTGGATATCTGTTTACTGATGTGTGTTTACGGATGTCTGTTTACATATGTGTGTTTATGGATGTCTGTTTACGGACGTGTGTTTACGGACGTGTGTTTACAGATATCGGTTTACAGATGTAGCAGTATGAAGCATAATACCCTGGTGACACTAACAATCTGGTTGAGATGTCTGACTGGCCAGTAGTTGAAGGCAGTGATTGTTCATGACTACTTGATTTAAACCTGGCGTAATTCCAAGCTGGTTGTAGGAGGCGACCTTAGGGATCACATGGTCGGGCTCGTTGACCTGGTTGCAAATCGATCACTGCATTGTCTGGTCTAGACTTTAATACCAGTATTTACAGGCTGCAGTCGTACTGCTAGAATATTGCTGAGTGCGGCATTAAACGACAAATGCAAACACATTTGACTGACCCTACCTTCAGTACACTGTGCTACACATTGTCCACCTGTCTCCAGGAGCCCTTCACCACCATGTTCCTGAACCTGCAAGAGGGCAAGTTTGACCACCCCAACCGGATCTTCACATCCATCAGCCAGGCCTGGAAGAACTGCCAGAGAGACACCTCCGATGTCAAGGTCAGTCTCGCTCTCCTCGATCTGAATCATTATAAGAGCCATGACACCATATTATCATATTTCAGATACTGTTATTAGTGTGATAAACAATTCCAATAAACTTTGTATAACAGTCTGATAAATATGGAAATCAGGTCACTTAGGTCACTTTACTAATTTTGATGGACTATATACATGTTTTGTTATGCCCTGGTGTAAATGCACTTTATTTTCTGGCTTGAAACAGTTATGTTTCAGTACACATTTAGGCTTTAAAAAATGAAAGAATTGGTTCTCAAGCAGTCGCATTTGAAATTATAGTGGGGGTGAGCGGTGTTTTTTTGTGGATTTTTTTGTGGGGGTTGTTCAAACCAGTAGGTAACTAAAACCAGTTACAGTTGTGTAGCCAAACATACAGTTGTGTACAATCAACCTGGGACGGGGCCTCCCTACCTCAATGTATTCCTTGATGAGTGAAATACTGGAATTTTTGGTTGTTTTTTTTTTTTAAATAGAAATGAAAATGAAACATGTAGCACACTTTATGATGATGCGGGCAGTGTCTGAGAACCAAGACTATTATTTTTTTTAGCCTTAGATACTTGACCAGAAATGTTTTAGATGCAGAATGCCTGTACTATTGGTGTGAGTAAGCAATGAAGGGATGTTCTTGATGTTTGGTTTCTTCAGGAGCTGATCCCCGAGTTCTACTGCCTCCCAGAGATGCTCATCAACAGCAGTGGATACAACCTCGGCAAGCAGGAGGAAGGCGATGTCGTCAACGATGTCATCCTTCCACCCTGGGCCAAGTCCCCTCACGACTTTGTCAGGATATTGAGAATGGTGAGACTGCCTTATAAACATCACTGACTTTTTGAACCGATCAAGGTCAAGGTGACATTGAGGCATCATATATAACATCCTATTAATAATATCACACTGTAGTAAGAACTGTATCATCTAATTGTCCTCCATGGATTTGGTTGTCTCTATACTACATTGATCAGGATGAGGATATAATGGTGGCAGACAAGCCATTGCTGTTTCAGGGATGAGACTGAAACACGTGCCCTGAGCCTTGCCCCTCTTTAAGCCTTGCCTCTCTTTAAGCCTTGCCCCTCTTTAGGCCTTGCCTCTCTTTAAGCCTTGCCCCTCTTTAAACCTTGCCTCTCTTTAAGCCTTGCCCCTCTTTAGGCCTTGCCTCTCTTTAAGCCTTGCTCCTCTTTAAGCCTTGCCCCTCTTTAAACCTTGCCCCTCTTTAGGCCTTGCCCCTCTTTAAGCCTTGCCCCTCTTTAGGCCTTGCCCCTCTTTAGGCCTTGCCTCTCTTTACGCCTTGCCTCTCTTTAAGCCTTGCCTCTCTTTAGGCCTTGCCCCTCTTCAAGCCTTGCCCCTCTTTAAGCCTTGCCCCTCTCTTTAAGCCTTGCCCCTCTTCACACCTTGCCCCTCTTTAAGCCTTGCCCCTCTTTCAAGCCTTGCCCCTCTTCAAGCCTTGCCCCTCTTTAAGCCTTGCCCCTCTCTTTAAGCCTTGCCCCTCTTTAAGCCTTGCCCCTCTCTTTAAGCCTTGCCCCTCTCTTTAAGCCTTGCCCCTCTTTAAGCCTGTGTGTTGTTTCAGGCCCTGGAGTCAGAGTTTGTGTCCTGTCAGCTGCATCACTGGGTCGACCTCATCTTCGGCTACAAGCAGAAGGGTAAGTCATGATTGTAATCAACCAACCATGTAAACTATGGATATAATAAACTCAAAGTATTAATTGTATTTCGTTATAACCATAGTTCATTTTAAGCGTATGTGCAGTATATATACAGCAAATGGATGGCACCAAAAAAACAGTTCGCTCTGTCCGTCAGTTAGTTATATGCGTGTTCGTTATAAACATAGTTTACTGTGCTGTGAGATATTTGCAGACATCTGAGGCCTTTCTGCTCTAGGAACTTGCAAGGATTTTCGTGGTTAAATCCAAATGTTTAATGTAATTGTTTAACCATGAATTGTTTAGTGATCAATATTACTGGAATGGTCACAGATTCATAAAATGCATGAAGGCATCATGCTACTTGAACTGCTTCTTGAATGTAAAGGCAATGGTCCAAGATCAATATTCCGGTACTTTGATTACTTATTTGGAGATTACTGAAATTTGGGACAGTGAATCGTTACATCAAGTACATAAAATAAATATTTTGTGTGTACCGCCTGTATGACTAAGGTTTGTCAATATTCAACTGCTTGTATACATAGGATGTCCGTAAGACTGTGTTATATAAGCCGGGATATATCTGTGTATATGGACACATATCTGTTCTTCTCATAGGTCCCGAGGCTGTGCGTTCCACAAATATATTCTACTACCTGACGTACGAGGGTGCTGCCAACCTAGAAGCCATGACGGACCCGATCATGAAGGAGGTGAGTGCATGCATGCATTGATGACTAGCTCGCAGATTAATAGTAACAGCCATGATTCCCTTGAACCCCCTGTTTTGAGTTCCGAGCATCCAGCTGCTGGTCGTAAGAGGTAACAAACTTGTATCACATGGTCAGGCGCTGTGATTGTGTGTCATCATGCCCCGATAGAATGGGTTGTTACTCATGTTTACAACCGCTGGTTTGCCTGCCCCCGATTCCATTATCCATTATATACAGCTGCCATGATACAGCTGCCATGTTACAGCTGCCATGATACAGATGCCATGATACAGCTGCCATGTTACAGATGCCATGTTACAGCTGCCATGATACAGCTGCCTTGTTACAGATGCCATGATACAGCTGCCATGATACAGATGCCATGTTACAGATGCCATGTTACAGCTGCCATGATACAGCTGCCATGTTACAGATGCCATGATACAGATGCCATGATACAGCTGCCATGTTACAGATGCCATGATACAGATGCCATGATACAGCTGTCATGTTACAGATGCCATGTTACAGATGCCATGATACAGCTGCCATGTTACAGATGCCATGATACAGCTGCCATGATACAGCTGCCATGTTACAGCTGCCATGATACAGATGCCATGATACAGATGCCATGATACAGCTGCCATGTTACAGATGCCATGTTACAGCTGCCATGATACAGATGCCATGTTACAGATGCCATGATACAGCTGCCATGTTACAGATGCCATGTTACAGCTGCCATGATACAGATGCCATGTTACAGATGAATAGTGCTGACCTCAGTGTTACACCTCTTTCATGCACTTGTTGCTCACAAACTAAAGTGCACATTATCCACTGACAACATTTGATGATCAATCTATCGACAACTAGTGTGCAGGTCCAGACTCTATGTCCTCGGTTTGTTGAGATGCAGCTAGCAGAGGTAGCTGATGGCAGCCATGTCCAGTTTTGGCTGTTACAGCCCAACATTTGCTCCGCTATTCGCTTGCAACCCTTGACCACACCAGAAACCAATGATCGTTCGAATCCCGGTCCACCCCGATTATGTTTCTAGGTCTGTCAGCACAATACCTGTATTTGTGGTAAACGTCTAAGACCTGGGGCCACTTGCACAAAGCCATCTTAGTGCTAAGATTATCTTTAGCCTATGTTAAAGTATGGGAGTTACAATCATCTTAGCGCTAAGATCGCTTTGTGCAAGTGGGCCCAGGATCACTTTGGGCTTTCTTCCCACATTAAGCTGACATGCTGTGATATGACTGGAATATACTGTTCAACTCACACACTCACACTGTTCGTCTTTGTCTATTTTTAATTTTCACTTTCACTTTCAGGCCATTGAAAATCAAATCCGCAGTTTTGGTCAGACCCCGACACAGCTCCTTGCAGAGCCTCATCCTCCGCGCAGCTCCGTCATGCATCTGGTAGGTGTCACTTCAGAGCTGTCGACAAGGGCTTCACTCAGTCAATACTCTCTTCTCACTAGACACTTGCTTTAGATTCAGGCTGTTCCTCTGTGCCTTCTCTAACAGTTTAGCTTCATGTAAATCATGTATTTGCTACTTTGTAGCCAGTAGCTAGAAGCCTTCAGCCTTCAGTGACATTTCCCAGTGAAATTCTTAATAAGAAGATTCAGTGAATTTATGGCACATTTTCTGTTGTTTCAAAGTGTATTTTGTGTAAGTTGTTGTTTCGTTGTTCTCTGTCACTGTAGTAGCGTTGTCTTAAAATATACACTGTGTGACAAGTTGTACCAACTCACTGACAATATTGGTTCTGTTGATAAGATGTCTTGTTTCTCTAATAATGGACTAGAATTCATAATGCCTATTTTTCTGTAATTTTAACATATATCACAAAAATTAAGTGTTGTAGCTTAAAATATCAGTTCAAGTACTATTTAAATTTCTTATTTTAGTGCAATATTTTATTGTCGTATCTTGCATTATGAAGCTATTCCTGTACTAACCTATTAAACTCCCATATATACTCAGAGTGATCTCCCTTGATTGCAGTGTGCATCTTGCATAAGCCATATTTGGGGAGATTTTATCAGGTTATTCTTATTGACAAATTTTAATGATCACTGTCAAGTTTCAGGTGTTGTTTCTGTATATATCGTAATCATCTCTGTCACAGCATGTAAATATATCATAAAACATTTTTTAAATTTGATGGCGATACATTATAAAGATATATGCTATTTGAAAACTTCGATGAAATTTTGAAGACATTGTAAACATACATGTTATTTGAAACTTATAACTGATTTACTTGAATTTTTACTAGAATACGCATTCATTAATATTTCTTGTATTTTATTTTGCGTTTAATAACATTATACTTTTGTGTATGTTTCTCTGTGTGTTCTACAACTATTTGTGAAAGTGTTGATTTGTAACATGCATGCACCCAATGATATTTAATCCTGTTTGAACAATTAGGATTGTGGTTTTGTTCAGAGGCTAGATATGAACACCTCGGTGAGTATGCTGCTGTCGTACGACTAACCATTAACAAGCACTGGTATATTTTATTGCAGCTAACCGAAAAGATAAAGGAACGCAGAAGTAGAGGGCTAGCAAAGGTCGATACAGCTTCGTTAACATGGCTTCTGAGACTGACTGTTTCATTGTAGATTATTTCACTTTGTTTTAATTATTTCCTCTGAGTTCTCTTTTGTTTCCTTGGGAGTATTCTTTACCTGACACTTCTGTGATTGCAAATGAATATGGGTTTTGACTAACTGGTCACCTCCAGACCCCTATCATCAAGGAATATACAGTAAAACTTTGTTACCTGTCGATGTCTCTTATATGATAAAGCTGCTTCAATCATGAAAGTACACAGTAATTTGATGGGATTGCTATTTGTGTTAATCGAGCCAGACTCAAAATAAAGTTATGGTGATGAATGGGTATTTATCATAATGGAATGGGGGCGGTCGGGTAGCCTAGTGGTTAAAGCGTTCGCTCGTCATGCCGAAGACCCGGGTTCGATTCCCGACATGGGTATGATATGTGAACCCATTTCTGGTGTCCCCCGCCGTGATATTGCTGGAACATTGCTGGAATATTGCTAAAAGCGGCGTAAAACCATACTCACTCACTCACTCACTCACTCACTCACTCACTCACTCATAATGGAATGGAGATATAATACACTGGATTATCAAGGAAATTAAACATGTAATAGTAACATTGATTCCTTTTCAAGGTGAATTGGCCAGTACACCTACAGTTTCAAGAAAGAAAATTTTGATGTATTGGCCGATACACTGAGGGAATAATAAAGAAGCTGTATATCCATAGAACTAGCTCTCTTTTTGGGGAAGTTTGACAAACTGTTAGTGAGACATAGAATCGTTCTCCATTCTAACCGATAACTGGGTTAATAATTAAATGTTTTTAAGCTGGATTCTGACATGTAAATGGTTATCAAATGTATCTTGTTTACTTACAACCAATCAGATGCTGTGTAGATATCACATGATTTACGAAACATCTGCTACAAAATGGCAGAGTTATTTTAATAAACCGCATCTAAAAACCATCCAACTCACTAATCCACCCAAAACTACATAAACAAACAACCATACACCCCACATGGCTCCCGTAGTTCCCCCCCACCTTGGCATCCATTCCAAATCTCAAAATTACAACATAAGCAACCCTTAAAGCCCCATTCCAGGTTGCACACCCCCCTTTTCATTCCCTTTTCGAACATCATTAAATGGCCTGGCAGGCCCGTGTGCGAAATACGCTCTCAGTCAGAAAGCGCACGTAAAATCTCCAATGTAAGTAAGTAAGAGAAGTGAAGAGGGACTAGGTAACAACCGCACATATTGGTCATGTGAAAACACATGTTGGTGAACTTTTTTAAGTCTGCTAACCAGTGTTTGCAAACTTGAGTGAAGCCAAGTTTAGACCATTGTGTTGATACAGAGTCTGGACCCAGGTACAGCATCTTTAATATATACGGAGATGGAGGTATCATGGTTTTACTGTATTTATCTAGTAATAGAACTCTCTGATAACTTTAGTGATAAGATTGTTTTATTCAAATGAGGCTAGATTACATTCATAGTTGATTTTTTAAAATTTACTAATGATGTGTTCAGATGTTTGAAAAGGCTAAAGATGCAGCTGTATCAGGCTGTAGACACAATGTGTAGAGAGAATTAACAGTCCGACAATTCCTTGAGTTGTAAGTGAAGTGTAGTTTTGTAGTAAGATTTTCCATTGGTCAGTCTCAGAAGTGAACAAGATGTTCATTGGCTAGGGTGCTTGGGTGTGGGATAAGATTCTGTCTTGAGCTCCAATTTGTTTGAATTTGATTTGGTGAGAGGAAGAACTGGTGCTTCTCTTCCTTCTGTTGTCTTGGTAACGTGTCCCTCCCCCGGGATTGGCTAACTTACTGTGATGGTTTATAAACATGCTCCACTGGATTTTCTCAATCTTTCTGTTGCGATTACTCTGGATGCTGTTATCTCATGATGAAACTAATTGTCCAGGGTCCGTTTCACAAAGCGATCTTAGCACTACAACCATTGTAAGTCTGTGTTAAAGTATGGAGATGATTATCTTAGTGCTAAGATGGCTTTTTAAAATGGGGCCCAGACCTGTACAAGTTCTAACTGATCATACAGATGAATTTTCTGATCTGTCTTTAAACTCCAAGTATGACCGAGCTAGGTTACTGCCAATTTAACAGTATTTCAGTTATATCACGGCATGTCAGTTTATTGTTGGAGAAAAACCAGAAGTGATGCAGTTTGTAGTTGTTTACTGACAAACCAATCATCATAAAGACAGCAAATCGAGGATTCGAACTTTAGATCATAGGATCATGGCATGCCCAGGAAACAAAATCCTGCCAAGGGAATTAACTCGACTTGATGACTTAAATTTTTGTTAAGACAATTATGGTTAAGAGTGTGAGGACAGGTTAGTGATGAACAACCACAGGGGCAAAACAAGGTGAATCTGGGATTCAAACCCACCATCAGCATCCTGTTGCATGGCTAAGGGACATAACTCTGTACAGCAAATTGCATTACCCTACACCACTGGGCTCCCATATCCCTGCTTCTCAAGCTTCGGGAGACCCTGTACAGATGATACTTGTGGATGGGAGAACGCTTTTCCCTTGAGTTTAGGCTTAAAAAAAAATAGAAGAATTGGTTCTCAGGCAATGGCTTTTGAAAATATTGTGCGGCTTGGATTGTTCAAATTTGTATGTAACTAAATAAACAGTTGTGTACAAATCAACCTGGGAAAGGGCCTCCATACATAAATTATTTCTTGATGAGTAAAATACTGGAATACAGTATTTGACTTCCCAATATTTTAGGATTTTTTTGTATTTTGTTTAAAATGGAAATAAAGATGAAACTTTATGATGATGTGGGCAGTGCCTGAGAACCAAGACTATTATTTTGTTAAGCCTTATACACAATAAGGAACTCATATGGAAGTTTTTTTCAAGTTTTTCTATTTTTTTTATTTATGTGAATTTGAAAAAACAAAAAAAAACAAAAAAAAGAATCTTTTGATTGGAAGGAAAGAAGAAGAGTTCTTGTATGAGAATATGAGATTCGGCAGTTGGTCCGACATCTTGTCTTTCAATTTGTCTAACATGGACTTGGTGGTTTGGTGCATGGTTAATTTTGGCCGATGTTTTTTTTTTCATTGTGAACTCCGATGTTTTATGTTTTACTTCAGGAAAAATATTAAAGTGTAGTCTATTCCGATGTGGTTAATGTTTTACGTGGTGTATGTCTTTTATAACACCAAAAAATATATATCCAAACTTTATTTATTCCCTACCCACTGGTATATAACATAAACACTCATTGGTTGTTACACTGACATGTTTTCTCAATATCAACATGTTTTCTCTCTGTTGATAGACGCCGATGATGTTCTCCAACGTCCAGGATGATGTCTGCATGATCATGAAGTTTCTGTCCAACTCCCCCGTGACTCATGTCTCTGCCAACACCCACCCTGCCGTCCCTGTCCCCGCCGTCATCACCATCACCTGCAACCACAACTACGCCATCAACCGCTGGAACAACAACTACCATCGTAGGATATTATTTGAATTGGCATTTTATAATTAGTGGACTATGTGACTTCAAGCATTGACATGAGCTGAAGAGCCCTGGTCTGACCAGTTGTCATCGATAACCTGAAAGGATATTCTAGTTTCCAAGTCTTAAGTTATTAAGTCTCAGTCTGCAAGTCCCAGTTCTCAAATCCCAGTCCCATGTCCCATGTCCCATGTCCCAGTTCCAAAATCCCAGTCCCATGTCCCAGTTCCCAAATCCCAGTCCCATGTCCCAGTTCCCAAACTGTTCTCAAATCTCAGTATTCCCTACCCATCCTGTTATGGCATTTCTCAAGTCAAATTTCTCCCCCAAGTCCCAAATCTCATTTGACATTTCCTCCTTCCCAATGTCCCAGGTCTGAACTAGTGTACCGTATTTTCTTGAGTATAGTGCGCACTTTGTCTCACCTTGTGTAGAAGTCAGTGTCTCTGTGTCAGCTGTTTCAGCCCATGTCTCACCTTGTGTAGAAGTCAGTGTCTCTGTGTCAGTTGTTTCAGCCCATGTCTCACCTTGTGTAGAGGTCAGTGTCTCTGTGTCAGCTGTTTCAGCCCATGTCTCACCTAGTGTAGAAGTCAGTGTCTCTGTGTCAGCTGTTTCAGCCCATGTCTCACCTTGTGTAGAAGTCAGTGTCTCTGTTTCAGTTGTTTCAGCCCATGTCTCACCTTGTGTAGAAGTCAGTGTCTCTGTGTCAGCTGTTTCAGCCCATGTCTCACCTTGTGTAGAAGTCAGTGTCTCTGTTTCAGTTGTTTCAGCCCATGTCTCACCTAGTGAAGAAGTCAGTGTCTCTGTGTCAGCTGTTTCAGCCCATGTCTCACCTTGTGTAGAAGTCAGTGTCTCTGTGTCAGCTGTTTCAGCCCATGTCTCACCTTGTGTAGAAGTCAGTGTCTCTGTGTCAGCTGTTTCAGCACATGTCTCACCTAGTGTAGAAGTCAGTGTCTCTGTGTCAGCTGTTTCAGCCCATGTCTCACCTAGTGAAGAAGTCAGTGTCTCTGTGTCAGCTGTTTCAGCCCATGTCTCACCTTGTGTAGAAGTCAGTGTCTCTGTGTCAGCTGTTTCAGCCCATGTCTCACCTTGTGTAGAAGTCAGTGTCTCTGTGTCAGCTCAGTTTGTTGTTTCAGCCCAGAGTGCCAGCACCAGCTTCTCATCAGACAAGCAGGACCCCCAGAACCACCCCCAGCTGCCCCTCGCCATGGACCAGTTTCTAGGTAGGTTGCGTGGCAGTGCTTCAAAGCCGAGCACTTGTTATATAAATGAATAGACTTTTGGGATGATTCTCTGGACCGTTAAAGTCATTCCTTTGAAAATTCAAATTATGTGAGCATGCCTTGAAACATTCCTTGACATGACCTCGGACACTTGCTACCTTTCCTGTGCAGTCATGGAGGCATAGATGCCCAGTTGCATTGGATGCCGCATATGAGCTTTATAGAATTGCATCCCTTACCTGTGGCAGGATCTGCTGCTTAAGGGTAGGAATTCCAGATTTGTATTGACTATGACCTTCAGTTTTCTAGGTTTACCCACGCTTATGGGTTTCACCAAAGTGGTAAACATCTGAGACCTGAATCACTTCGGGCTTTCCTCCAACAATAAGCTCCCATGCCATGACTTATGACTTAAATACTGTTCAAATGGTGTTAGGGGCGGTCGGGTAGCCTAGTGGTTAAAGCGTTCGCTCGTCACACAAAAGACACGGGTTCGATTCCCAACATGGGTACAATGTGTGAAGCCCATTTCTGGTGTCCCCCGCCGTGATATTGCTGGAATATTGCTAAAAGCGGCATAAAACCATACTCACTCACTCAAATGGTGTTATACCATACTCTCCCAGTATAACCTTCTATCCAACAGATGGGTGAAATACGGTTTCATGCCTGTGATCGTCCTGAGAATGAGTTAAAGGTGCAGATCGGCCGTGATGTGAATATTCAACAATTCTTCCAGTAGAAACTGATGCAGGAAGGGTTCTTTGTACAAAGATAACGTTTCTATCCCCGAATGTGATGTGTCTGTTGCAGTGCTGAACACAGGCCTCCAGCGGCGCACCCTGGGAGACAACTTCGACCAGAGACAAAAGGTATCCCACTCCAGCTTCATCACCACGGCAGACAACAGGTTCATCTTCGCCAGCGGCTTCTGGGACAAGAGTTTCCGACTCTTCCAGTCTGACATAGGTATGCATTATACCTTATATGGTTATATTAAAATAATTTTTCCCTCCATTTTTTGGGGTCAGAGGATCTGTGAACCAAATAGGTAAATAAAAAAATGGTCCTAGGTAGCAACAGCCAGTATGATATATAAAAAAATTAGTTGATAAATCAGTGTGTGTGTTTTTTATGTAAACTAGATTTTGCCTAGTTAAATGTGGCTTGGACCAGTAAAGTCACGATGGTCCTCATAGCGCTAAGGTGATCGTAACTCCCATACTTAAACATAGGCTTACGATCATCATAGCAGTAAGGTGATCATAACTCCCATACTTTAACGTAGGCTTACCATCATCAAAGCACTAAGGTGATTGTAACTCCCTTACTTTAACGTAGGCTTACGATCATCATAGCACTAGGGTGATCGTAACTCCCTTACTTAAACATAGGCTTACGATTATCAAAGCACTAAGGTGATTGTAACTCCCTTACTTAAACATAGGCTTACGATCATCATAGCAGTAAGGTGATCATAACTCCCATACTTTAACATAGGCTTACAATCATCATAGCAGTAAGGTGATCATAACTCCCATACTTTAACATAGGCTTACGATCATCGTAGCGCGAAGATGATCGTAAGTCCCATACTTTAACATAGGCTTACAATCATCGTAGCGCTAACGTTATTTTGTACAACGGCACCCTGTTACTTGGCAACATGCAAGAGCTTATAGGTTCAGACTTTAAAGTGCTGGACTTGTATTTTTTCAGCAAAAATTCTACCACACATGATATATATTTTGAGTCAGCTAGAGTGTACATGATTGTTACAATGTCTGTCTTCAGCACGGATCCTGCAGGTTGTGTATGGCCACTTTGACATCGTGACGTGCATCGCGAGGTCAGAGTGCAACATGAACCAGGACTGCTACATCGTCACCGGCTCCAAGGACTGCACCGTCATGGTGTGGATGTTCAACTCCAAGAACCAGGCAGTCATCGGCGACAATGGCAGTACGTAGTTCCAGTGTTTGTTGAATAGTGATTCTGTGACTTGATGTGTTGTGTGAGTTGGTGTATTGTGTGAGTTGGTGTGTTGTGTGAGTTGGTGTGTTGTGTGAGTTGGTGTGTTGTGTGACTTGATGTGTTGTGTGAGTTGGTGTATTGTGTGACTTGATGTGTTGTGTGAGTTGGTGTATTGTGTGAGTTGGTGTGTGTGTGTAAGTTAATGGTGTGTGTCTGTGTCTGTCTGAGAGAGAGAGAGAGAGAGATCGAGAGAGACAGACAGACACACACAGAGAGAGAAGAGGCAGAGAGAGAGACAGACAGAGGCAGACACAGAAAGACAGACACAGAGAGAGATAGAGACACACAGAGAGACAGACACAGAGAGAGAGACACAGAGAGAGACAGACACAGAGAGACAGACACAGAGAGACAGACAGAGAGAGACACACACAGAGAGACAGACACAGAGAGAGACAGACACAGAGAGAGAGACACACACAGAGAGACAGACACAGAGAGACAGACAGAGAGAGAGAGACACAGAGAGAGACAGACACAGAGAGAGACAGACACAGAGAGAGACAGACACAGAGAGAGACAGACACAGAGAGAGACACAGAGAGAGACAGACACAGAGAGAGACAGACACAGAGACAGACACAGAGAGAGAGACAGACACACAGAGAGAGACAGACACAGAGAGAGAGACAGACAGAGACAGACACAGAGAGAGACAGACACAGAGAGAGACAGACACAGAGAGAGACAGACACAGAGAGAGAGACACAGAGAGAGACAGACACAGAGAGAGAGACACAGAGAGAGACAGACAGAGAGAGAGAGAGACAGACACAGAGAGAGACAGACAGAGAGTGAGACAGACACAGAGACAGACAGAGAGAGAGAGACAGACACAGAGAGAGAGACAGACACAGAGAGAGAGACAGACACAGAGAGAGACAGACACAGAGAGAGAGACACAGAGACAGACAGAGAGAGAGAGACAGACACAGAGAGAGAGACAGACACAGAGAGAGAGACAGACACAGAGAGAGACAGACACAGAGAGAGACAGACACAGAGAGAGAGACACAGAGAGAGACAGACACAGAGAGAGAGACACAGAGAGAGACAGACACAGAGAGAGACAGACACAGAGAGAGACAGACACAGAGACAGACAGAGAGAGAGAGACAGATACAGAGAGAGAGACACAGAGAGAGACAGACACAGAGAGAGACAGACACAGAGAGAGACAGACACAGAGAGAGACAGACACAGAGAGAGACACAGAGAGAGACAGACACAGAGAGAGACACACAGAGAGAGAGACACAGAGAGAGACAGACACAGAGAGAGAGACACAGAGAGAGAGAGACACAGAGAGAGACAGACACAGAGAGAGACAGACACAGAGAGAGACAGACAGAGAGAGAGATGATGTGACGTCTGTGTGACTTGTTTATCCTAACCAGCCACCACTCTCAGGTCACATGTGTGACTGTATTTCTCACTTGTGTTTGTGTGTGTTGCAGGTATAGAGAACCCCACGCCCAAGGCTATCCTGACCGGCCACCAGACTGAGGTCACATGTGTGGCTGTCCTTGCAGAGCTAGGCATGGTTCTCAGTGGCTCCAAAGGTGAGTTCATTTTGTGCCAAAATTATTCCTGCTGTGTTCTTCAGTATCATTGGCAGGTGATTTTCTTATGGTTATTATAAGCAGTCCCTTGAAACAGGGCTGGTTTAAGTTTTTTTTGGAACTTAACCAGCACCAGCAGAGATTTTTCAAATGACTGTTACATCAAGATTATTGACATCAGAGCTTATATGTAATTCTTCCATTGACTTCTTCCAAATGGCCCTGGGCAATTCTTTTGGTATATGTCATGAAAAGTTAAAAGGTCAAGGTCACACGTTTGAAAGAGATCACAAAAAGGTTTGTGGTTACAATGTCTCAAAAATGATTAATGCATGTATCACCTTGACACACACCTTCTCTTCTCTTCTCTTCGAAAAGGTTTAGTTCAAGATTAGTCAAAGGTCAAGGTCAGCATTCAGCTTTTTATATAAAACATGGTTATGCCATTGGCAGTTACTGCGGCATTGCTATCTCAATACAGGAATGGAACTTCATATTTCCATGCATCTTTACAAATCCCAAATCATCTGAGGTTGGTGCTATGTGGATCAAAGGTCAAGGTCATTGTTGAGGTTGTTGTCAAAGATGGCCGTATCCTTTATTGCTACTGTATCTGTAACAGCTTCAATGTACATTCCTGATAATTGTTGGATCGTAAGAAGTTGTCGTGGTAAAGGTCAAGGTCTGGCAGTTATGTTTTTAGACTGGAAGTATGTGGTATGTTAATACTAACGGGATGGGGTGGGGTGGTCAGGATCGTTGACTTGGTTGATGCATGTCATCGTATCCCAATTGCATGGATCGATGCTCATGGTGTCAATCACTTGATTGTCTGGTCCAGACTCAATTATTTACAGACTGCCATCATATAGCTGGAATATATGCTGAGTGCGACGTTACACAACAAACAAAACAAACAAAAAATGTTACTTTGCCACATCAGTCCATGATGTATCTTTGCATCATCCCAATCGTGTGCACCTGTGGAACCTCATCCTGGCAGGCCTGAGTCTAGGTTTCCTCCACATTAAGCTGACATACCATGACATGAGGGATATCCTGCTCAAACAGCATTAACCCACTTTCTGGCTGTTGTAGATGGCCCCTGCCTGGTCCACACCCTCGGCGGTGACCTGCTGCGGTCCCTAGACCCCCCTGAGTCCTGCTCCACCCCCAACCAGATTGTGATATCCCGGGAAGCTTTCATCCTCGTCAACTACGACAAGGGCAATCTGTGCAACTTCAGTGTCAACGGACAACTTCTACGTTTCATCAAACACAGGGACAATATACAGGTGGGTTGAAGTGAACACTTGGCAACGAGGAGACACAATCTTTAACAATATATGTTTTATGTGGGTAAAGATGTCCGCAGTGCATAAGGAATGGCTTTAAAGTGGCCAGCGTGGAGTTGGTGTGTCATAATCGTAGCTGTATGTGGATAGAACCTTTCAGGTTGTTCCCAATCCTGTAAAGGATATTATTATCATTATGCATGTTTTCATTTATTAGTATTGTTGGGTTTTTTAAAGTGAAGGGTACGTGTGACAATGCATGAATGGTTGTACTATGGATGATGTTAATCTTGTTTTTCAGTCAATGATCCTCAGTCGTGACGGCCAGTACTTGATGATGGGCGGGGACGAGGGCATGGTGGAGGTGTGGCGGTCACATGACTTCACGTTACTGTACACGTACCCCACCTGTGACAGCAGTATACGCTCACTGTCTCTCACACACGATCACAAGTAAGTCAATATCAGTGTTTAGTTCAATGATAAGTTGTATGATTGGAGTCTGAATCTGCCACCAGCAAACTATGCCGGTCATAAAGGGTTGATTGTCTGGCCCAGTCTCGATTATTGACAGGCCGCCATCATATAGCTGGAATATTGCTGAGTGTGGCATTGAACAACATACAAACAAACGTAAGAGGTGACTATATGGATTAGTCGGGCTCGGTGAGTTGGTTGATATTCGGTCATTGTATCCTGTCAACATGGGACATTGCTCACATTATCAATCACTGGTTTGTCACTGGTCTGCTCATATTATCAATCACTGGTTTGTCACTGGTCTGCTCATATTATCAATCACTGGTTTGTCATTTATTTGCTCACATTATCAATCACTGGTTTGCCTGGTCCAGACTCGGTTATTTACAGGCTGTCATCGTATTGCTGGAATATTGCTGTGGGCAGCTGTAAGCAACAAACAAACATATCTTTGCATGGTTCCATGGTGATCATGCTGCAACCATTTTAGCATGTTGGATGTGAGGCTACATGATTACATCTTTGAGGGCTCTGTGGTCTGGTGGATAGAGCGTCTACCCTGGCATTCAGCATTAAGGGGTAAAACAAGGGTCAGCCCCTAATCAGTTCACTGTGTCCGAGTGGGTTATCCATGTTAAACTGTGGCATGGTATCTCAGTGTTGTGGCACTATAAAACCAGCATATATCTGGACCAACACAAACAGCCACAAACATCTGCACATTTCTATACAAGTGAAATAATCTTGAACGCAACATTAACCCCCTTTCACCTCACCTGCTGCATGACCTTTGTGCAAACCCACCATTGCCTGATGGTGAAGCAGTGTGAAGTGCAGATGACCACAGGGCTGGGGTATGTGTTGCATGAGACGTATTGCTGTTTGTGTGATCTGAGTTCTCACAGCTCCAAGCTCTGGTTTCGCTCTCTGTGGAACCAGGCCGTCCCTTGATTGGTTGGTTAATAATAGTGACTACGTCGTAAAACGGTGGTATATATTCACAGCAAGGCTAGACACGACCACTGGTCTGCTCGTCCGAGACAAGTGAAAAGCTGGACAGACTAGTTGTTTTCCCTAAACTCTAGATGTTTTCCATAACCACAAGTCACAAGTTGGATGTGACTAATGGTGCCCCCAACCCACCCCCCACCGAAATTATGTTCTGTTGCTAATTTTGAATACTAAATTTTGGTCTTTGGTACTGTGGCTAATATTGAATACTAAATTTTGAACTTACGTTCTGTTGCTAATTTTGAATACTAAATTTTGAGTCTTTGGTACTGTGGCTAATATTGAATACTAAATTTTGAACTTACGTTCTGATGCTAATTTTGAATGCTAAATTTTGGTCTTAGGTACTGTGGCTAATACTGAATACTAAATTTTGAACTTATGTTCTGTTGCTAATTTTGAATACTAAATTTTGGTCTTTGGTACTGTGGCTAATATTGAGTACTAAATTTTGAACTTATGTTCTGTTGCTAATTTTGAATACTAAATTTTGGTCTTTGGTACTGTGGCTAATATTGAGTACTAAATTTTGAACTTACGTTCTGTTGCTAATTTTGAATACTAAATTTTGGTCTTAGGTACTGTGGCTAATATTGAATATTAATGTCTCTGTCTCTATTTCAGATTTTTGATAGCAGGATTAGCAACGGGATGTTTACTAGTATTCAACATAGATTTCAACAAATGGCACCACGAGTACCAGGACCGATACACATAGTTCTGCCATGTTGGAGTATACCACCGCTGAGCCTGTCATGTGACCTGATGTGTGACCTCTGACATGAACTATGACCTTGACAGATGAAGGTCAAACGGAAGAAGGTGGCATGCATGATCAAATGTGTCACTTTGCCCTGATGAGCCGACTCCCAACATTGTCAACATATCACACAGATACTGTGTTTCTAGATCCCTTTAGAACAGTGTATAACTGTAATACAGTATTGTTAATAGCGTGTTAATGTATACCAGTGCTTGAAGGAAACATACAAGCTATTTAATCTCTTTCCTGTTGAAAATTCACTTAGACATTTTTTTTCTTACTTGGTTTATGGATCTGCAAAACCTACATTCAACAAATGTGGTTAAAAATCAATATTTTTAATACAAATTTATTTTCTTCATGGGAACTAATTTCAGTAAATAAAAAATGTCAAATTAGGTCATAATAGGAAGGGAAGTAACCCTGTATTTCATCTGTCAAAAAGCTGCGTTTCTTTTAAATTTGCTTGTTCTCTTTGTCACTTTACTCTTTTAAGACTTCACTTAATAAAAAAACTATTTTGATTTCGTTTTATGAAATCTGAAAAAAACCCAGTTTATTAAAAAACCTTTATTCATTATTAACAATAAAAAAAATAGAGAATATACTCAATAATAATATATAACAACCGTGGTATACTAACATATTTCTCAGTCAGAGGTAAACGTAGAACTTGTAGGGTATTTTGAATTTCAAGAAAGTAGCAAGAATTCAGAAACTCTACTTTGAGGAGTAGATTTGAGTTGTAGATTGTTACAAGTTTTTATATTCTTTTTTCCTTGTTGAATATGCTATGTCCACACTCTGTGTCAAGATTCATCCCCAAAGACTATTTTTATATAGATGTCAACAATATATCTGAATGATATATTGACTGCATGATATTGAGATGTGTTTGATGCTTGAGGTGATGAAATGCATTCCCCTCATAACCAGTTGCTTTTGTGCACAGAGAAATGTCTTGGAGCAGTCAAAGATTCCTGATGTTTAGGCCACTGGGTTATTTTCAAATTCTAGACAGTCGCTGATAGATGTTCGTAGGGTGTTTACTATTTATAGCCCACTTTTGGTCTCGTTGCTATGGTTGATACACCTGCCGTTGTCAGGGAAAAGTTGAACTGATACACCGACGCATTTCACTGAAACACACATGTACCAGGAGTCAATACACCCCTTCATACAGGCGCAACAGTTACTTAGAAGAATGTTTAAATGTCATTCTGTAAGAAAACTTAAAGTCTCTCTCAGTGTGCACATTTTTAAGCAAATGGGAAAAAAAACTTGCACATTTACGTACTCCCACAATTGCTTACATGCGACATTCTATTGATGACATCGTACAGCAACATGACGTCCTGCAACGAGGTTACAATGCAGACATAGTAGTTTGAGGAACATAGTATCCCTACTCTCTTTCACTTTCACCATGAGCAATAAGCGACCTGTCATCATTTAGGACCTAGTTCGCTTTTTGTGTGGTATGTTACTCCATATATGTGACAATTTGACTTTCCTCAGCTTTATCGCTTCATTTGGCGATATGCTGACATGAAATACGTTCAAGGAATCATGAAACACGACAGTTCAAGTTGCGTATCGAACGCAAAATGCATTTTGCACCACAACTGAAATTTTTTGGGCAGACATTAATATGTTCACTTAACGCTAGTGTCTTATTGAGTGCGTTTGTTTCACAATTCTAATGGGAAGTGTTTAAGAGAGGTGTGCAGAGTTGCGTCCTTTGGGCATGCCAGAAACCTATGATCGTGGGTTCGAATTACGGTTCGCCCAGATTGTGTTTCTAGATTTGTAAGCACCATTTCTGTGCTTGTGGGTTTCACCAAAGTGGTAGGCATCTGGGACCTGCATCACTTCCGGCTTTCCTCTCACATTAAGCTGACACACCGTCATATAACTAGAATACTGTTCAAATTGGCGTTGAAGCCAAATCACTCACTCATTTAGTATGGGAGTGAAAAATGTGGCAAAGTTCAAAGGCAAGCCCTTGCTTCTAATATGAAATTAGTTCATGTATATTATTAATTGAACAATCCTGCCATTATTATTATTATTATTATTATAATGTCACAGTAAGAAATGTCTCGTCACATTCAACAACTTAATGATATGACAGTCATTGCAATAAGTTCCCATATTTTTATCATAGTAAGGTGTGAGTGATATTGGGAGCCTGATGGAGATTTGAACCATTGGTTACTGAATGAACACCTTCCCATTATTACCATTGTAGGAGATGCACCAAGTGATCGCGACATATTCTCAGGTTTGTTATGTTAAAAAGAAATTCTGAAGTGTTACCATGTGGTAGGACAATAGTATTTAACATGCGTCAATCCAAAATGCTTGTATAAGTAAATAAGCCATAAAACATAATATATGTTGTTTATATCAACTCTGCTTGAATAGCATCTGTGTATATCAACAGCTTTTGTTTAATTCTTCAACTTCACTGCCTTTGTCAGATGTATTGTCAGGATATGATCCTACTTGTAGAACAACTGCTTCAAATCAAGCTCCAGACTTTAAGTGACTGTGAGGTAGGAGTTAAAGGGTAGTGAATTTAGCAAATAATGGAATCTTGCATTGTGCAATTGCTGGATGAGATAAGGTCAATGAGTCAGCCTATCCACACCCTAAATTCCTGTATGACACAGAATCAAGTCATCATGGCGTACGGGTTGGTTGTCTGCTCCAAGCTGTGATGTGGTTAGATTTTGCCTATGCAATTATGAACTAGAGGTCTGCTTGCTGCATTTGTTAGAAGATTTTAACCTTGATGTGTGAATAATGTTCTATATTTGTGTAGAAATGGTACAGAGGCAGTTCCTGGCAGTCTATGACTTGCTTAACCCTCTATGTTCCAATATATGTTTCAAATTGACAATAATTTTTGTTCAAGAATTTTTGGGACAATTTTTTCTTCAAAAATAAAGTTTTATATCTTTTCTGTGAAATAAAGCAATGTGGGATATATTTTGAAGATGTCTTAATCAAATATATTGAATACCCTTGAAAATTACTATGATTTTTAGCTGGTGTACATTCCTTCAAAACCTCGATTAATTCACTAATCCTAGCTCAGAATGATTTAATCTCTGGTAATCCTGGTTGTGAATTAATAGTTTAACATTCCCCTACTAAACCATTTTTCAGAGTTCTATCTGTTGTAAAATGCTTCTTCTTTTTTAAAGATTCAGTTTTGACTGGTGTATTTCTGAATCTGATGTTTTCTTTGTTATTCTCAACATTTAAGGGCACATATCAACTCTGTTAATATAAATTAGTTTGGGAGATTTTAGAAAATGGTAAACAGTTCAACACCATACATTATGTTATATATAGTTACAAGTAGTTTTAGGAACGTAGTCTCACTGAGTGATATGTGCCTGTAAGTGTTTAGGAACATACTCTCAAGCTCATTCCAGTGTTGTGCTAACATTTTGTTCTTATTTGTTATTTGAGCAAAGCTTGCAATATGTTTTGTCAGTTTTCTAGTATTTACAATGGATGGTTTGAGTTGAAATGGTTAAGTTTATAACTGGTTGTATTGTTGATTATTACAGTTTTATTTTGGTGTACATTTGGACTAGCATTCCATGCTTTTTGTTGTTGAAGAGCGGTGTCCCACGAGTCAGGTAGTGAATGCACCGTCATTGCGACTTGCATTTGTAACATGGAAAGACTGGCAATATATTTACCATGCTTTAATTTCCTGATTTACAGTATTGCCGTGGGAGTACTGGCTGTACGAGCTGAGAGTAACATTGCTTAGAAATTGATTGTGGGTGATTGAAATATAGCTAGATTCGTATTTAGTTTGACTGTTTGAGAGTCATGTCATCGGTTTTCTCATTCATTCCTCAGTCAATTTTGGGAAAATTTGTGTGCAGAATAAATTGATGTTATATGTATATTGTTTACTTACTACGGAACTATTTTGTCATCAAAGATATTTGTTCTTGTTTGCCATCAACAGTATGTTGGTTCCCTGTATATTAAGACAGAGATGAATGGTGATTGTCTAGATGTGAGTGGAGGGTGACTGTTCTTGTTGTCATCAATACAAGTCCAAGTATATATTGCTCAAAATGTTTCCTCAACCGAAACTATGACGCATGATATTGTTGTATTAAAAAGTGAGTTATCTCCCTTTAGCAGATTTTTTATTTTAAGTTCCAACAGTAGTGTTAGGGAAAACATGGTCTCTCAGAGTTACCTCCCTTGTAAAAATTTAAGATGTAGTCATATGTACGTGTATAAAAGATGTATCAAAGATTTCAAATTGTGAACATCCTAAGGGGAGATAACTCATTTCTACCTTAAAGTATGGCATCTCTATGTGAGTAGTGTACGTGAGTTGTAGGTTCACTACACAGGCTGTAGCGCTACAAGATAAGCAATTGTATATAAAACCTAGAAGCTAAGAATATGCTGTACAGGTGTCCAGACTGTTGTTCTAGTTCTCAATACGGTTGTGTAATCCTCTGGACTATAGTATTTATTTGATGAGGGGGCTGGGTGAAGTGCTTCTGTGTAAGTTATTCAAAGTGTATATTCTTGATTATCCTGTGCATGTATGGCATACCTTATACAAATGTTGATAATACAGTTTTGTGGTTTTCTTATTAATCAGATGAACTTATTGCACAACATATCAACTTGAATGATTCCAGTGTAAGATAAGGCACAATTCGTATGTATGGTCACTGGCTCAATCTTCTGTTGATTTTGGTTCGGTTGAATCAAATTTTTGTTGAAGTTTGAAGCATGTTTCACATATTGATTCACATTTCAGTTGTCAACATGAGTCACATTTCAGTTGACATGTGAAACATGATTCACATTTTTGGTTGATATGTGAAACATGATTCACATTATCAGTTTTAGTAAAATGTGATTCACGTTTTGGGTTGACATGTGAAACATGTTTCACATTTTGGGTTGACATGTGAAACATGATTCCAATATTCTATATTCACCTGAACCATAAGTATGATGCACCTAAATAATTCTTACTATAACCTTTGTCCTGCTAGACTATATCTATTATATCCTGTGACTTGTGTTTGATCAAGCAATTATGTGATCATTCATAGATTTACATCTGTGATGTTTTAGCTGAGTCAACAATATCAACTAACAATGGCAATAGACTTGAACAAGCAAGTGACCTTGACATTCAGCTGATGACAATTTTCTTTCGTTGCAAATCCTCTGATGCAGTGTTTGAACACGCCATTGTCACAAAATCACCACAGTGAGAAGAATTCCAACCGACGTGTTGCTTCCTTGCTTCTTCATATTTCATTAGCACTCATTGCATGTATTAATTTGTGGATAGTGACCGACGCCACCAGATTGGTATGTATACAAATATGTATAAAAATATCTATGTTCCAGCTTCTCTTCTGTAATGCTAGTAGCAGTTTTAAATAATGTACTCTTATCTAGGAACAAGTTGTCATAATAAAAAATGAAACAAATAGCACCGTGCCTTGTCTTTAGTAACAACCTGTACTTATTTATAGCGACCAGCGACCGCCTCTGTGGTCTAGTGGTAGAGACTCTGCCCGGAGTGTGGAAGGTCTAGGGTTCGATCCAAGCCGCATCATACCTAAAGACGTTAAAAGATAGTACTTGCTGTTACCCTGCCTGGTGCTCGGCATTAAGGGGATAAAACAAGGACTGGTCGGCTCATTATACTGTGTCTGAGTGGGGTATTCATGGGTATAACTATAGCATGGTATCTCAGTGTGCTAGCACTATAAATCTGCATCAGTCCAGACTAGTACCATCAGCCCCCCCCCACACACACATCGCTATATAAGTGTAATAATCTTGGACGCACTGTTATACCCCATTTCACCTCACCTATAGCGATCAGCATGTCCATCTTTCCTCCATTCGTTTTGTGTTTCCAGACCAGAAGTCCAAAACTGTTGACTATTTCTAGATGAAACTTGCAATATAGATCGGACTAGTGTGAAACTGTTGTCTTTTGGTAACTTGGATTTTGAAAAATACTAAACATTATTATTTGTTTCTTCACTGAACTGAAAATATCCAATGGCAGTGAACCAAAAATGGGGTATGAGTAGTCAAACTTCATTTTTGATTGCACGAGAATGGAGGGATATGTCATCTCCTGATCACTTGTTGTATAGGTTAACTCCCTACTTTAGGTTGATATGGACTGTCAAGGGTTGAACTCCATCTTATCCGCAGACAGGGGTGCCAACCGACTTGCACTGAATGGTCCACAGAGACCATGCACATTACGCCACAATGCAAAACCTTGAACTGAGGCTCTCTCCCCTCTTGTCTGACCTCGACGCGCTGCATGTGCTGTGTTGTTATGAACACATATGGGCATACGGAACACATTTATGTTTCAAATTCCAAAATAGCAAAAGGCTAGAGGGGGGTAACCACTTCAGGGGGGGTAATAAAGACATTCCTGTATCCCCTCCCCCACTTCAGGGGGGGTAATAAAGACATTCCTGTATCCCCTCCCCCACTTCAGGAGGCTAATCAAGATATTCCTGTATCCCCTCCCCCACTTCAGGGGGGGTAATAGAGACATTCCTGTATCCCCCTCCCCCACTTCAGGGGGGTAGTCAAGGGCGTCCACTCTCCCCAGCTTTCTCAATACAAACAACCAGCAAATATTTAAATGTTTATTTTTTGTGTAGCTTGATACAAACCATCTGGTAAGTAACCGTTGAGGTTTCAAGATGGAGACACACTGCTGTACAGAATGTACAACGCATCTTCCTCACATGTACAATATTCAATATTTACAATTGCTGAGCACAACAGTTTCACACAAGAAGACACATTTCTTAACAAAATCCAAAACTCATCTAGGAAAAAAAACATGGTAAAACTGCAGTGAGCTTTGTTTTCAAAAACGACAAAAACGTTACTGTCCCAGACAGAACAAAATATTTTGATTGGACAATTTTGTGCACCAAAGATTACTGTGAAATGACATGAATATGGACAGTCATACAACACACTGACATGGGTCTGATAAATTAGATGGAACTTGGACCCAAATGGTACAAAAATGGTACAAAAATGGTACAAAAATGGTACAAAAGCCTAGCATCAATAGGGGCTCTTGTAGACGTAATGTCAACCTCAAACACCAGCCATATTAAATCGGGCGGCCATGAATAAGTAAAATTCAAAGATAAACATGTTATACTTAAAACAGTTAAAAGTTGTCCTTAAATGTGAAATTGACATGATTTGGAATAAATTTAACTCTGATGTTGAATAGAATTTTAATGCTAAGTCAGCATTGTTGTAGCTACATGTATTCAAAGAAAACATACAGAACAAGTGTTATTTTCCTATTATAGAAAAGAGATGTGTTTATTAAAAGATGAAATAATTTGACTTCTTAGACTATAACATAATAATTTTGTTGCTTAACGCTATATGACGGCGGTAGGTAAATAATTGAGTCTGGACCAAACAATCCAGTGATTGACATCATGAGCATCAATCTACCCAATATCCCTTAGTCGTCTCCTACCCACAATAATAAAGATTCATGACTAGCACCGTGGTTTGTATCCAACATTGACACCACATGCAACAGAGTAACAAAGGTCCACTGTGTTAGTTTTGAACTCTCCATCCTAGAACATGTTAAAATATCTTCAAATAAATTATTTCAAATTCAAACTTGATTGTTAATTATTTTAACTTCATAAAGGAATCATTTTTATAAACATATATAAGTTTATAAACTTTAGGACTATCAACAAGCCAATCTAACTTAAACAATTAATAATGAACAGTTTTAAAATCAAATACTATGTAAAAACTATTTTTGAGAAAAAAATATTTGTGTTTTATTTAGAACAATCATGTCTTAACAGACTTTACTTCCTAAAATTAATCTAGCAATATATACAAAGAATACAAACGTAGGGAATATATAGTTCATAAATGATACTGTGTTGCTCAATTTGCTCAATTAACTCACTCATCACACCTCAACTTTCCACTTTCATCACCCCTCAATATCAAATATCAACCTGAAAGAAATCTGGAATTGTATTCTCAGAATCACAAACTGGAACTTCCCCCACCAAAAGTCCTCATCTGATATGGCAACAAAACACAACCAATTTCAACTGTTAATTAATTGTGAGATACAAGATTACGACCATGGTCACACTGTAACATTCATCAAGCTTTCTTTTTTATTGGAGGGGGGTCAATAGATTTTGTGCTGTCAGGAGGTTGAAAGATAAAATAAAAAATAATTATTTATAAAAAATAATGTAAAACTTCCAATTTTAATTATTTTGTTCGCACTCCTCTCACATTTCATCATGATTAGTAATTTAGGAGTTTTTAAGAAAAAATTTCCAAGTCTTTCATTATATTAGTTTAAATAATTTCTCTGAAACCCCAGTAAATTATTCACCTTTAACTAATCATTTGCCTTATTTGGAAACCTTGTTTGAAGTGGCGTCACTTCTGACATGACGGTATTATATGTGGTATTTCTTATAATACAGCCCACAATACACACCAGTACAAGACCTTATGGCATATAGTATATAAGTCTCTTCAAGAATTAATCAGAATCGATGTGGTGCAAGCAACATCTGTTAATTGAGCACGACAGTATCCTTCCACATACAAGAGAGCATCTCAGCACGAGAACATCGCCACCAATCTCACAACATAAATTAAACATCCAAGCTCACTGACACATACATATCACAATAGCTGTCTTGGCATGTTAGTAATGGAGGCATGGAGTACGTCCTTCTGACACCTTACAAAATGTTATTCAAATATCGTCACAAATTTGATAGTAAATGAAAATACATTGAGTAGAAAAGAATACTTGTGATAATTATTACTAATACAAGCATCATGTCTGCCGTGGCAGAGGATTTTTTTAATTTATTACATTGAATTACATACTAAACAAATGGTTGAGTTGGGTTCAAGAACTTCAATTCCGCTTGAAGGAGTATTTCAGTTATATCATGACATTTATGGAAAGCCTAAAGTGATACAGGTCATACACCTACAATTTCAGGGAAATAATTATGTATTCAACAAGACCTGTTGACGTTCATATGGTTTTGTTCAACTATTCAAAAAACAAATATTATTTTTTTTTTTAAAATAACATAAATTTAAAAAAATAATAATAAAAAATATATTAATATCCATATATGCACCAACGATTCCTAGAAGTGCATTTCTAATCCTTTTAATTCTTTATTTAATTCTTATTAGAAAATATGTGTACGGGGAAAATTTCCTATTACAAAATTAGACCAACCAGTTTGACAGTTCGGCTTCACCAGTGAGATCAGTTGCAACACAAAACATCTCTACAGACAACATGGTGTGGATGACCAGTGGCATTAAAATACTAACAAAACTAAAATGAAGTTTACAACAATCTGTCAAACTATCCCAAGCAAATTCCTGATACAGTATCTGTAGTTTCGGAACATGATATGGTAGGAGCTGATATATTGAGAAGAAATCAGTACACAAACATGTTAGTTTATTTTCCACAATTATTAATGAAAGACAGATGCATGATATTAGTTCCCTTTCCTCTTTATATTCCAAATGACATACAAAAGTGTTATAATGAAACAAAAACTGAAACACCAAAAAGATAATATTTATCTTTAAGATCATATCTGCCGTAAGTCATTTTTATTTGCTATGTCATATTTGGCTGTGTGACCTGAACACAAGATTATTACACAGTGTTCAAATATAGGATGAGAAATCAGGGGGCCCCTGTGATAACCCTAATGTTTAATATTACAGATCAAAGGTTCAAACCCCCCTACAAATTTCAAATGCTTCTACGAAGCAAGGTTATTGACCAAACTAACTAAATACTAACTATGACACACATTATCTTGGAATAAAGTCACAATCTTTTTCACCATCTGATTCTCGAATTTCTTGAACATATTTGGGTATATTCCACAAACATTAAATCTGTAGTACAATATATCATTAAGGTAAGTGTTTAACACATTAAGTGTTTCTCATGATATTACATTTTAAAAGCATCAGAGACTCTGATATACAAGAGTAACCAAAGCCAGCCTATTTACAAATAAATAAGTGTGAATAATACTGAAATTTGAGTGAGACAGTGTTCTCGAAATATTATGAATACTAACTTATCATTAATCCCTCCCAATGTATCATGTGGTGGAAGTGGTCAGGTTTTGATTTGTCACAAGTTGACTGCAATGAGCAAAACTGTCAACAACGATGAGATGAAAGACTGAAAATCTTCATAACTGATAATCTTTATAACCTCCTACTAATCAAGATCCGTCCTTGACAAAAATATGGCAACATGTCTTATTGATTCAAATGGCATTCGAGTCATTCATTGCCATCCATCTTGGTTGTCTCCCTTTACAAGATGGCCGCCATCTCCATCAGATTTGAGTTTCAGCTATGGGCTGTATGATCACATGCCATAATTGTGTTCGTATCTGACTGATAAAACTAATCTAAAACTATAACTTACAAATAGTCCAACTATGACAAGTCTAGAACTGTCGTACATCAGAGCTCAAACTTCTAGAGTGCCTCGGCACATTAAGAAGTTCAATGACAGTTCATATACATCTGGCTAGAAACTGCCTCAAAGTCATAAACAACCTGGATTCCACATCTGCTGTTCAATCCATGATAAGGGCCTTCCTGCATCGAAAGCCCTGATTATGGACTGAAATAATCGTATCACAGTCTTGCAAAATAATTATCAATGCAAATCTGGTATGGCTATTCCATACAAAAATATTCATCCAGCAATCTCACAGGTCATTTTATCATTCTCACAAAAAGGTCACCGTTGTCATTCTGATTGTCTCTCAAATGCAAATATCGAGTCAAACATTGCGCCAACATCGAGTCACACTGAGTCAAACAGTTTCCAACTCTTCAAGAAACCTACAAGCTTGGATCCTCTACATCATCTTCAGGGGGAGCTAACTTGCATCTGAATCAACAATCTCCCCTTCGCTCTCTCCACTATCAACATCATCGGTGTCATCGCTGGCCTCGGGTGTGTCATCGTCCATGACGTCGCCAGTCAGGGCAACGCGGGCATAATCATCCGTGTCGATAGACTTGCAGAAGTGGACAGCGTACTTGAGTTTTTCCCGCAGGACAGTCTTGCAGGAGTAGCGTGGCATCTTCAGCAAGAAGAAGCAGGTGTAGCTCTCCGGGAGGAAGTGGTCCGGCGGATTGTACTTGTCCAACACCTGCAGATGAACGCTCATATCAATACTAGATACAGAAACTGTCATATACCCAATGTTTTATATCTCCATCCTATTATAACAATACCCAGGACCCAATCCCCACAATATCTTTCAAACATGTCCATTTTGAAATAGGCGAATATCAATGCAAAGTTACTGATAATGTTTGCTTGTCTGTTGTTTAACGCCGCACTCACCAATATTCCAGCTATATGACGGCAGTCTGTAAATAATCAAGTCTGGACCAGACAATCCAGTGACTGACATCATGACTAGCGATCCACGCAATTGGGAAACGACGACATGCATCAACCAAGTCAGCGAGGCAGACCACCTGATCCCATCGTCTCTTATGGCAAGCATGGGTCGCTGAAAACCTATTCTCTACCTTTGCGGGTCTACTGATAATGTCATCCTGTTTGAAGGAGAACTAACCTGCAAGACAAAGTCTCTTCCTCTGAAGTCGGCGATGGTTCTCGGTAGTCGTGTCCGACCCCAGACAAAGCGGAGGAAGAGTGACCTCTCGGCATTGGTGAACTCCTCCATGACCTCCCAGAACCACTGGATGAGTGGCGCCGTGGCATCGATGCCCTTGTACGTCGCCACGGACTTCAGCAGGTTCAGGGGAATGTCTGGGCTGCCACACACCTGCACAGATGTTACACAGATGTTACACAGATGTTACAGACATTACACAGCAATGTATTAGTCACATGTAGCCTACAAAGTGAAGTTGCCAACAATGGTCGATTGTGAGCAGAAACTGAAGCAGCGACATCCCCACATTTCAGTTCCTCCACACATCACGATTCTGGCTGAATCAATTCTGTTTCAGACACTTCCAGGGAAAACAAAAAGTCTACTGCAGCAGTAGGACATCACAACACACCACCCAACCCCAGATCACAGATTAAATACACATTCCATAGGTAAAGATGAACAATAAAGTTTGATCACACATTGACAGATTTGGCTTCTATAAGGCTTGTGTCGACCAAGCTGGACTCACCATAGTCTCGAGCTCAAATCCAGTGAAGAGAGACAGGAGAGGCACCGGGATCACCTTACTCATCCCCTCTCTCACCCACTTCACCTGCAGGTCGAACTCGTGCAGTCTGAAAACACACGTCACATGTGAGTACACAAAACATCATAGAGACTGACATCATAAACACTGTATACTAAATATGGGAACATGTGTAACACAACTGAAGAAAGAGTGCAATATCCGAGCTATATCACAGAGGCCTGTCAATACCAAGTCAACCAGTGGTTTGAAGCATAAGCACTACTGGGGCAAAAGACCCTTCAAGAATTGGTCTTCAGCAACCCATGCTTGCTGTAAGCGGCGACTAACGGGATTGGGTGGTCAGGCTCGGGTGGTCAGGCTCGGGTGGTCATCATATCTCAACTGCATCGATCGATGCTCATGATGTCAATCACTGGATTTTCTGGTTCAGACTTGATTATATACAGACCACTGTCATATAGCTGGAATATTGCTGAGTGCGGCTTAAATAACAAACAAACAAACAAACAAACAGGGGCACAATGACAAACTGTATCAGCTAACCTAACCATCAGGGCCCACTGTACTAAGTAATCATTGTGCTAAGATTCTTCGAAGCATATCACAAAGTATGGGAGTTATTGTTCCAGCGCTAAGATCACTCTGTGGAAGGAACCTTGACATTCATCAGTCAGCTCTAGGATAAGCAGGAGTAATGGGCGTCTTTTCAGCTCTGGAATCCCCACAAGGATGGATACACTCTATTTTACTTACATGTAAATACTTGGAATTTATTGTCAATGATGTTTTGATAAATTCCATGTATCCTGGTACAGCAGTTTGCACGACTGGTAAAAAAAGTCGCCATCATGGCAACAGACATTGTTATAATATCTGTAATTTCTGTATTTCAAGCTCGTTACCGAGAAACAATGTCACATAATGTACATCAACACTGACTTTGATGAACGTCTTCTGGAGCTCTCCTGGCAATAGGGCAACAATATAGTCAGTCAACTCCCTTGTCTAGGGAAGACGGCAATAATACAACACAAGCCACACCCATTCTCTATTAAACAAAGACACTACACATGCTGTCTGCATCCTGATGCTGTGTACCTGTAGTTCATGGCCAGCTTGATGTACTCTGCGCGGTTGTCGGACATGATGCGCGCGTACTTGGAGCTGAGCTGGATCTCCTGGCCCGTGGCGCTGGGGATGCTGAACGGCATTTCGTTGATCTTCAGGGTCTCCCCATCCATCTCCTTGATGCACATCAACCCTGCGGACACAACAGCTCATACGTCACACGGCCAGCAGGGGAGCCAGCAGGAGATGGAACATCACACAGCGAGCAGGGGATGGAACATCACACAGCCAACAGGGGAGCCAGCAGGAGATGGAACATCACACAGCCAGCAGGGGAGCCAGCAGGGGAGCTAGCAGGAGATGGAACATCCCACAGCCAGCAGGGGAGCTAGCAGGAGATGGAACATCCCACAGCCAACAGGGGAGCTAGCAGGAGATGGAACATCCCACAGCCAGCAGGGGAGCTAGCAGGAGATGGAACATCCCACAGCCAGCAGGGGAGCTAGCAGGAGATGGAACATCCCACAGCCAGCAGGGGAGCTAGCAGGAGATGGAACATCCCACAGCCAACAGGGGAGCTAGCAGGAGATGGAACATCACACAGCGAGCAGGGGATGGAACATCCCACAGCCAGCAGGGGAGCTAGCAGGAGATGGAACATCACACAGCCAGCAGGGGAGCCAGCAGCAGATGAAACTTGTTTGATAGGCATTACTTAGAAGATGAAACATCACACAGCCAGCAGGGGAGCCAGCAGGAGATGGAACATCACACAGCCAGCAGGGGAGCCAGCAGGAGATGGAACATCACACAGCCAGCAGGGGAGCTAGCAGGAGATGGAACATCACACAGCCAACAGGGGAGCCAGCAGGAGATGGAACATCACACAGCAAGCAGGGGAGCCAGCAGGAGATGGAACATCACACAGCCAGCAGGGGAGCCAGCAGGAGATGGAACATCCCACAGCCAGCAGGGGAGCTAGCAGGAGATGGAACATCACACAGCCAGCAGGGGAGCTAGCAGGAGATGGAACATCACACAGCCAACAGGGGAGCCAGCAGGAGATGGAACATCACACAGCAAGCAGGGGAGCCAGCAGGAGATGGAACATCACACAGCCAGCAGGGGAGCTAGCAGGAGATGGAACATCACACAGCCAACAGGGGAGCCAGCAGGAGATGGAACATCACACAGCCAGCAGGGGAGCTAGCAGGAGATGGAACATCACACAGCCAGCAGGGGAGCCAGCAGGAGATGGAACATCCCACAGCCAGCAGGGGAGCTAGCAGGAGATGGAACATCACACAGCCAGCAGGGGAGCTAGCAGGAGATGGAACATCCCACAGCCAGCAGGGGAGCCAGCAGGGGAGCCAGTAGGAGATGGAACATCCCACAGCCAGCAGGGGAGCTAGCAGGTGATGGAACATCACACAGCCAGCAGGGGAGCCAGCAGGGGAGCCAGCAGGAGATGGAACATCACACAGCCAGCAGGGGAGCCAGCAGGGGAGCTAGCAGGAGATGGAACATCACACGGCCAACAGGGGAGCTAGCAGGAGATGGAACATCACACAGCCAGCAGGGGAGCCAGCAGGAGATGGAACATCCCACAGCCAGCAGGGGAGCTAGCAGGAGATGGAACATCACACAGCCAGCAGGGGAGCTAGCAGGAGATGGAACATCACACGGCCAGCAGGGGAGCCAGCAGGAGATGGAACATCACACAGCCAGCAGGGGAGCTAGCAGGAGATGGAACATCACACAGCCAGCAGGGGAGCCAGCAGGAGATGGAACATCCCACAGCCAGCAGGGGAGCTAGCAGGAGATGGAACATCACACAGCCAGCAGGGGAGCTAGCAGGAGATGGAACATCACACGGCCAGCAGGGGAGCCAGCAGGAGATGGAACATCACACAGCCAGCAGGGGAGCCAGTAGGAGATGGAACATCACACAGCCAGCAGGGGAGCTAGCAGGAGATGGAACATCACACAGCCAGCAGGGGAGCTAGCAGGAGATGGAACATCACACAGCCAACAGGGGAGCCAGCAGGAGATGGAACATCACACAGCAAGCAGGGGAGCCAGCAGGAGATGGAACATCACACAGCCAGCAGGGGAGCTAGCAGGAGATGGAACATCACACAGCCAACAGGGGAGCCAGCAGGAGATGGAACATCACACAGCCAGCAGGGGAGCTAGCAGGAGATGGAACATCACACAGCCAGCAGGGGAGCCAGCAGGAGATGGAACATCCCACAGCCAGCAGGGGAGCTAGCAGGAGATGGAACATCACACAGCCAGCAGGGGAGCTAGCAGGAGATGGAACATCCCACAGCCAGCAGGGGAGCCAGCAGGGGAGCCAGTAGGAGATGGAACATCCCACAGCCAGCAGGGGAGCTAGCAGGTGATGGAACATCACACAGCCAGCAGGGGAGCCAGCAGGGGAGCCAGCAGGAGATGGAACATCACACAGCCAGCAGGGGAGCCAGCAGGGGAGCTAGCAGGAGATGGAACATCACACGGCCAACAGGGGAGCTAGCAGGAGATGGAACATCACACAGCCAGCAGGGGAGCCAGCAGGAGATGGAACATCCCACAGCCAGCAGGGGAGCTAGCAGGAGATGGAACATCACACAGCCAGCAGGGGAGCTAGCAGGAGATGGAACATCACACGGCCAGCAGGGGAGCCAGCAGGAGATGGAACATCACACAGCCAGCAGGGGAGCCAGTAGGAGATGGAACATCACACAGCCAGCAGGGGAGCTAGCAGGAGATGGAACATCACACAGCCAGCAGGGGAGCTAGCAGGAGATGGAACATCACACAGCCAGCTGGGGAGCTAGCAGGAGATGGAACATCACACAGCCAGCAGGGGAGCTAGCAGGAGATGGAACATCACACAGCCAGCAGGGGAGCCAGTAGGAGATGGAACATCACACAGCCAGCAGGGGAGCTAGCAGGAGATGGAACATCACACAGCCAGCAGGGGAGCTAGCAGGAGATGGAACATCACACAGCCAGCAGGGGAGCCAGCAGCAGATGAAACTTGTTTGATAGGCATTACTTATGCAGGGGAGCCAGCAGGGGAGCCAGCAGGGGAGCCAGCAGGAGATGGAACATCACACAGCCAGCAGGGGAGCTAGCAGGAGATGGAACATCACACAGCCAGCAGGGGAGCTAGCAGGAGATGGAACATCACACAGCCAGCTGGGGAGCTAGCAGGAGATGGAACATCACACAGCCAGCAGGGGAGCTAGCAGGAGATGGAACATCACACAGCCAGCAGGGGAGCCAGTAGGAGATGGAACATCACACAGCCAGCAGGGGAGCTAGCAGGAGATGGAACATCACACAGCCAGCAGGGGAGCTAGCAGGAGATGGAACATCACACAGCCAACAGGGGAGCCAGCAGGGGAGCTAGAAGGAGATGGAACATCACACAGCCAGCTGGGGAGCTAGCAGGGGAGCTAGAAGGAGATGGAACATCACACGGCTCCATTGAACAATGTAAAACATGCACCAGTGCAACCTATTATTGAAAAGTGCAACCTAATCTTTTTGTCTTTTTGTACCAAGCGCATGTACAAAAAAATCACATTTGTGTCTGACTAACCCTTACTTTTCCACACAAGTTTTGAACATAGTGAATTTCTACATCAATAATCCCAGTGTTGTGAAATTTGTCATACTTTCTAGGGCTTGACGTCATCAAACTGTGGATATTATGGATATCAAACAAGATTATGTGCACATATTTCTATTATGTTTTACATCAATATGATAAATATATTAAGACTAGTTAATGCATCTATCACGTCTATGTTTCAACAAAGATTTATTGGACCAGGGAATGACCTGGTTCTGTCTGGTGCAACTTGCTTTTCCTGTCAGCATGCACCTGGTGCAAATTACCGGGTAAATCAAGTTCCTATATCTAGCCATGCATTATGTGTTAACTCACGCAACCAATGATTGATGGACTGTGATTCTGCACTGTGAATTACTGCATCACAGATCACTGGGTTCAAGTAGTTTAGTCATGACAAAGATTCCTAACACAGGACTACAAATCTTTTTCTGACCTCTCTCAGCCAAAACATGTGCAGCAAGATGGTAAGACCCTAGCTCACCTGGAACAAAGTCCTTGTCCACCTCTGTCAGGTCTGAGATGGTTAGCGGCAGGCCAGCCAGTTGTTTCCATGCAGGCTCAGCAATGTTGAGACTCAGGGGGCTGCCGCTCCGGATTGCAATGCCAATCAGGATTCCTGTAGTGGAGGAATAAAACCTTACCAGTCAGACAGATTCAGTCAGGTTCCGTCAACCAGAGGAAGAAACCATCCCTTCCCAACCCAGAGTGATACACAACTAAATGACGAGGCAGGGATCGAACCCCAGACGTTCCGCTCTCCGGGCGGACGCTCTACCACTAGACCACGGAGGCGGTCTACATCCCATTTACAGTTTGTGTCAAGATGTTTAAGTCTACTTGTCCTTGCATCTTTGCCAGTATATTCTATTTTGAAACCTATGGACTATTATCAGTTGGAAACATAATAACTTTTATCAGTTGGCTTATTGGGATTACTTTCTACCTTTGAAATCCTATGAAGTGGAAATTCAAAGCAGAGAAAGATAGAATCAAGCAGTTGGAATGACTGTGGTGAGGAGATAGGTTCGGACTTTTGTTGGATGGAACCATTTTTTTTTGTACAAGACATTTATCCAGGACACCCAACAAACAATGTCCAGGTAACGATGTCTATATTTTTTCAAGGTAGGAAAAAATAATTTTTAGTATCCCCCACCCCCCTCCCCATCCCTCCAATTATAAACGGTTGGTCCCTTAATAGTTACTGGTGAATAAGAGGGTATTTATCTACACTTTAGTTAAGTGAGGTACTCCGGTTCTGACTCACCGAGGAAGCGGAACATGTTCTGGTGCAGGGGCTGCTTCATGATGGGGTTGAGGAGGAAGCAGTCTCGGTTGGCTCCGGACTCATCCCGGCCGTTTGGTGTCATAATGAGGAGTGGTAGGGAGCCGTTCTGGAGCTCGTCACACATTTCGGCAATAGACTCGCTGTATCCACCTCCACAATCATCAACACTCTCACCTAGATCAGGGGCATACTTCATTGTTATCTGACTTCCACATATTACACAAAATTCAATTGTTAGCTTCTATATATGGCTCACTTGCACAAAGCAAACCAAGGGCTAATTGATTAATTAAGAGATGACAGTCTGTGTTTTCAATGTAGAGCTAGGCTACTAGTAGATTTAATCATGCTTAACTGAATATGGAACCGAGTGCACAACCAATAATTGTACATTAAGAAAGAAGCCCTTTTCAATAAATATTACCTTCTGCAGTTTCAAACAGAGGTGGTTATTGTGATTTGAAACCTCTGACTGTCCAAACAGAATTTAATATTTTCCAACTTCATGGTTGAATTTGGGTTTAGCAGGAACGTATTTCAGTCATGTCTTAGTTCATAGTTCTGAGACTGATCTACTACACAGATTCACAAATAGTGAGTGAGTGAGTTGGATTTAACGCCCCTTTTAACATTTTTCCAGTTATATCACGGCGTGTCAGCTTAATGTGGGAGGAAAGCCTGAAGTGATGCAGGTCTAAGACGTTTACCACTTCGGTGAAACCCACGAGCACGGGTATGGTGCTGACAAACCTAGAAACATAATCGGGGCGAACCAGGATTCGAACCCACAATCATAGGTTTCTGGCGTGCCCAAGGGACGCAACTCTGCACAGCGAATCGTGGCGCCTTAGACGGCTGGGCCACCCGTGCCCCCGGTTCACAAATAGAATGTTTGTGCAAGTGGACACAGTACGTCCAAAGTAAGACAAAAATGTAGGACAAACCCAATCCTCCCTCCGCTCACCTACAAACTTGACCTTCCACACTCTGTGAGGCAGCATGAGACTGTCCGGCCCAAACACAGCCATCTTGGCTCCCATCTGGCCAAACACAGACTTGGTGCCATCAGGACCAGCATAGCCGCCCTTGCTGCGAGACCGCTTCACCTGGGAAGAGCAACAACAATAAACTATAACCCAAATTCAAAAACATCAAAGCCCTAAGTTGTCACACTCCATCTCAAGAAAAGGTTAACTCTGTCACAAGGAAAGGAGAACTCTGTCACAAGTGAAGGTTAACTCCATCACAAGAAAAGGTTAACTCCGTCACAAGGAGAGGAGAACTGTCACAAGTGAAGGTTAACTCTGTCACAAGGAAAGGAGAACTCTGTCACAAGAAAAGGTTAACTCCGTCACAAGTGAAGGTTAACTCCGTCACAAGAAAAGGTTAACTCCGTCACAAGGAGAGGAGAACTCCATCACAAGAAAAGGTTAACTCCATCACAAGTGAAGGTTAACTCCGTCACAAGTGAAGGTTAACTCCGTCACAAGAAAAGGTTAACTCTGTCACAAGGAAAGGAGAACTCTGTCACAAGTGAAGGTTAACTCCATCACAAGAAAAGGTTAACTCCGTCACAAGGAGAGGAGAACTCCATCACAAGAAAAGGTTAACTCCGTCACAAGTGAAGGTTAACTCCGTCACAAGAAAAGGTTAACTCTGTCACAAGGAAAGGAGAACTCTGTCACAAGTGAAGGTTAACTCCATCACAAGAAAAGGTTAACTCCGTCACAAGGAGAGGAGAACTCCATCACAAGAAAAGGTTAACTCTGTCACAAGGAAAGGAGAACTCTGTCACAAGTGAAGGTTAACTCTGTCACAAGGAAAGAAGAACTCTGTCACAAGGAAAGGTTAACTTTTCTGCATTTGTTTGCTTCGTTTGTTTGTTGTTTAACGCAGCACTCAGCAATTATCCAGCTATATGACAGCAGTCTGTAAATAATCAAGCCTGGACCAGTCAATCCAGTGATTGACATCATGAGCATTGATCCATGCAATTGGGATACGATGACATGCATCAATCAAGTCAGCGAACCTGACCACCCGATCCCATTAGTTACCTCTGTTGGAAGAAAAGGTTAACAGTCCAAATTAAATGGAAGCCACAAATGTGCACTCACAAAGTCACAGATTTAGAATTGAACACAGAAATGATCCAACAAATATGTTTCCATATTCACCCATAGTATTCATACAGACAGACAACATGGACGCAGCATGTGCCAAATAACTTCTAACTTCTTATGACAAGGATGAAGTAGTGAGGACCCATTCTGACCCAGACTCCCTGCAGGGATGATGTGTGAGAACTCCCACCTGTATTCTGTTGAGCTCCACCACAGGGCCGTGTTGCTTGTCTCGCACCATGGTGGCCTGTACGACCTTGCGGAAAGAGGTCTCCTGGAAGACACACATCATATTACACACACATATATTTCAAATATATATACACCAAAGAATGTTCCGTCCACAAACAATGCTCAATCTCTCAACAAACTCCTTCAAGATATAGCTGGTACATATTGACCACAAGAAGGACAGAAGTGGGGAGGGTGTTTTGACCAGAGTTGTACACACAAGCACAACAATACAAACCATTCCTCTACATTCACTTCATCTGTTGTCACATTCACTGTTGTTTAACGCACTCAGCAATATTCCAACTATATGATGAGAGTCTGGACCAGACAAACCAGTGGTTGATATTATGAGCAACGTTCATCAATGCTGACCAACCAATCCATTAAGTTACCTTTTATAGCCAGCATGGGTCGCTGGGAATGAATTCGGAATCTGGAATCCACATGGAAACTCACACTTAGAACTAAGAGTGTCCAGATCTGCACTCGTTTAGACATTGGTCCATTGATCCATCTATCCATTCATCCATTTAACCATACATTTAACCACCCATTTAACCATAAATTCTTTCAACCGTCCATTTCACTCATTCATCCATCCCTTCAACCATCCTCCCATCCATTTCTTATCCATTTACACCATCCATCTCTCCTCCATTTGCCAGCACAACTCACTCCTGCAGGAAACTGACCTTGGCTGTGGACACGAGGACTCCTCGGAGGGCGTCCAGACCCGTAGCAGCATCCCCAATCTCCTCATCCCTTCCTCCATCCTGCATGTCAAACATGGGGATGGATGGACAGAAGAGGTCGGAGAAGTGGTGCAGAAGGACCAGCCTGTTGCGGAGCGTGGTGACCTCGAGGCCCATCAAGTGGTTGTACTCCATGGGAATGATGGTGGGCAGCTTCCCTGCACTCACAGGCTTGTGTGTGGACCAGGCCAGACTGTGGGCTGACCCGCACGCCACGCGGTTGATCTTCTTGCCTGCAACACAAGCTTAGAGTGTACTATGTTCTGCATGGTAAGATTATTTCTGCACTTAAACCCAAACAATCCATGTGTTTAATCCGATTGCTCTGATCCTGATTAAATTAGGTTAAAGAGGTAAGTCTGAAATCTATTTAAGGCACAGCGCTTCTATTTGGTAGCCATAGATGACTGATGATGATCATCACCATGAGTGAGTGAGTGAGTGAGTATGGTTTATGCCGTTTTTAGCAATATTCCAGCAATATCACGGCGGGGGACACCAGAAATGGGCTTCACACATTGTACCCATGTCGGGTCCTCGGTGTAGCTTTAACTACTAGACTACCTGACCGCTTAGGTTAAATATCGAGTCATTTAAATTGACAAATGCCACTTTATGTATGCTTTAAAAAAAGGATATTATGATCAACAGACTAATCAGTTTGTTATAACATCGTGAGGTCACCTTGCAGCGCCGCCACTAGCCTGGGTCTCTGTATGGCGTTTGTTGTACCGTCTCCCAGCTGTCCCTCATCGTTGTCTCCCCACGTGTACACCTCACCTGGAGATGGCAGATACACATTGACAAGTCTTCTTCAATATTAATTACATTAGTTCTATAACGAGATCTATCACAGACCAGAAAATACCACAGGTCCGAGTACTGCCATAGGGCTAAGTACTGCCACAGGTCTAAGTACTGCCACAGATCTGAGTACTGCCACAGATCTAAGTACTGCAACAGGTCTGAGTACTGCAACAGGTCAGAGTACTGACACAGGTCTAAGTACTGCCATAGGGCTAAGTACTGCAACAGGTCCGAGTACTGCAACAGGTCTGAGTACTGCCACAGGTCTAAGTACTGACACAGGTCTAAGTACTGCCACAGATCTAAGTACTGCAACAGGTCTGAGTACTGCCGCGGGTCTGAGTACTGCTACAGATCTGAGTACTGCCACAGATCTAAGTACTGCCACGGGTCTGAGTACTGCCACAGATCTGAGTACTGACACAGGTCTAAGTACTGCCACAGAACTGAGTACTGCCACAGATCTAAGTACTGCAACAGGTCTGAGTACTGCAACAGGTCAGAGTACTGACACAGGTCTAAGTACTGCCACAGAACTGAGTACTGCCACAGATCTAAGTACTGCAACAGGTCTGAGTACTGCCACAGGTCAGAGTACTGACACAGGTCTAAGTACTGCCACAGGTCTAAGTACTGCCACAGGTCTAAGTACTGCCACAGGTCTAAGTACTGCCACAGGTCTAAGTACTGCCACAGAACTGAGTACTGCCACAGGTCTAGGTACTGCCACAGGTCTAAGTACTGCCACAGGTCTAAGTATTGCCACAGGTCTAAGTACTGCCACAGGTCTGAGTACTGCCACAGGTGTAAGTACTGTCACAGATCTGAGTACTGCCACAGGTCTAAGTACTGCCACAGAACTGAGTACTGCCACAGATCTGAGTACTGCCACAGATTTGAGTACTGCCACAGATCTGAGTACTGCCACAGGGCTAAGTACTGCCACAGAACTGAGTACTGCCACAGGTCTAGGTACTAGCACAGGTCTAAGTACTGCCACAGGTCTAAGTACTGCCACAGGTCTGAGTACTGCCATAGATCTGAGTACTGCCACATGTGTAAGTATTGTCACAGATCTGAGTACTGCCACAGGTCTAAGTACTGCCACAGAACTGAGTACTGCCACAGATCTGAGTACTGCCACAGATTTGAGTACTGCCACAGATCTGAGTACTGCCACAGTGCTAAGTACTGCCACAGAACTGAGTACTGCCACAGGTCTAGGTACTAGCACAGGTCTAAGTACTGACACAGGTCTAAGTACTGCCACAGGTCTGAGTACTGCCATAGATCTGAGTACTGCCACATGTGTAAGTACTGTCACAGATCTGAGTACTTTCACAGATCTGAGTACTGCCACAGATCTGAGCCATTTCTGAGCGTATTGTATATATGATGTATGTATCTCAACACAGATAGGTATTTGCTGATCACACAGCATCCAAGAATCCTACAGTAACAGGTGAGTGATGTAGATCACAGCTTCCTACCAGCATCAGAGCAGGCCACACAATGCAGAGATCCACACGCCACGTCAATGATCTTCTTGCCCTGGAGTGCCGACACACGGCGAGGTCGGCGGACGTGATCGTCTGTACCGTGACCTAGTCGGTGGTAGTCTCCCTTGCCCCTGAAAGGCAATTTGGATACTTAAGTCAAAATGCAATTAAGGGAGGGATTACACAGAACAAAAGGGGGATCGTCAAAATTTGATACAGCTTTACAAGCTCTAAGACTAACCCCACCAGCCCACCCTAAACCCCAACCCACCCTAAGAAGTGACCAGTCCCTTATTTCTCTCAACCACTATCACAATGATATCTTGTCTTGTCATACCGAGCAATTGTTTGCCACTGTAGCTGTTCTCGTTTTTGTAGCCACTATAATGCATCCAGCACTTATCATGTATAGACAGCCCCTGACTTGGTGAGATCCACGGAGAACTGGGACCCACACTCACCATGTATAGACAGCCCCTGACTTGGTGAGGGCCACGGAGAACTGGGACCCACACTCACCATGTAGAGCCACAGAGAACTGAGACCCACACTCACCATGTATAGACAGCCCCTGACTTGGTGAGGGCCACGGAGAACTGGGACCCACACTCACCATGTAGAGCCACAGAGAACTGAGACCCACACTCACCATGTATAGACAGCCCCTGACTTGGTGAGATCCACGGAGAACTGAGACCCACACTCACCATGTATAGACAGCCCCTGACTTGGTGAGGGCCATGGAGAACTGGGACCCACACTCACCATGTAGAGCCACAGAGAACTGAGACCCACACTCACCATGTATAGACAGCCCCTGACTTGGTGAGGGCCACGGAGAACTGGGACCCACACTCACCATGTATAGACAGCCCCGGACTTGGTGAGGGCCACGGAGAACTGGGACCACACTCACCATGTATAGACAGCCCCTGACTTGGTGAGGGCCACGGAGAACTGGGACCCACACTCACCATGTATAGACAGCCCCGGACTTGGTGAGGGCCACGGAGAACTGGGACCCACACTCACCATGTATAGACAGCCCCTGACTTGGTGAGATCCACGGAGAACTGGGACCCACACTCACCATGTAGAGCCACAGAGAACTGAGACCCACACTCACCATGTATAGACAGCCCCTGACTTGGTGAGGGCCACGGAGAACTGGGACCCACACTCACCATGTAGAGCCACAGAGAACTGAGACCCACACTCACCATGTATAGACAGCCCCTGACTTGGTGAGGGCCACGGAGAACTGGGACCCACACTCACCATGTAGAGCCACAGAGAACTGAGACCCACACTCACCATGTATAGACAGCCCCTGACTTGGTGAGATCCACGGAGAACTGAGACCCACACTCACCATGTATAGACAGCCCCTGACTTGGTGAGGGCCATGGAGAACTGGGACCCACACTCACCATGTAGAGCCACAGAGAACTGGGACCCACACTCACCATGTATAGACAGCCCCGGACTTGGTGAGGGCCACGGAGAACTGGGACCCACACTCACCATGTATAGACAGCCCCTGACTTGGTGAGATCCACGGAGAACTGGGACCCACACTCACCATGTATAGACAGCCCCGGACTTGGTGAGGGCCACGGAGAACTGGGACCACACTCACCATGTATAGACAGCCCTGACTTGGTGAGATCCACGGAGAACTGGGACCCACACTCACCATGTATAGACAGCCCCTGACTTGGTGAGATCCACGGAGAACTGGGACCCACACTCACCATGTATAGACAGCCCCTGACTTGGTGAGGGCCATGGAGAACTGGGACCCACACTCACCATGTAGAGCCACAGAGAACTGAGACCCACACTCACCATGTATAGACAGCCCCTGACTTGGTGAGATCCACGGAGAACTGGGACCCACACTCACCATGTATAGACAGCCCCTGACTTGGTGAGGGCCATGGAGAACTGGGACCCACACTCACCATGTAGAGCCACAGAGAACTGAGACCCACACTCACCATGTATAGACAGCCCCTGACTTGGTGAGGGCCACGGAGAACTGGGACCCACACTCACCATGTATAGACAGCCCCTGACTTGGTGAGGGCCATGGAGAACTGGGACCCACACTCACCATGTAGAGCCACAGAGAACTGAGACCCACACTCACCATGTATAGACAGCCCCTGACTTGGTGAGGGCCACGGAGAACTGGGACCCACACTCACCATGTATAGACAGCCCCTGACTTGGTGAGGGCCATGGAGAACTGGGACCCACACTCACCATGTAGAGCCACAGAGAACTGAGACCCACACTCACCATGTATAGACAGCCCCTGACTTGGTGAGGGCCACGGAGAACTGGGACCCACACTCACCATGTATAGACAGCCCCTGACTTGGTGAGGGCCATGGAGAACTGGGACCCACACTCACCATGTATAGACAGCCCCTGACTTGGTGAGGGCCACGGAGAACTGGGACCACACTCACCATGTATAGACAGCCCCGGACTTGGTGAGGGCCACGGAGAACTGGGACCACACTCACCATGTATAGACAGCCCCTGACTTGGTGAGATCCACGGAGAACTGGGACCCACACTCACCATGTATAGACAGCCCCGGACTTGGTGAGGGCCACGGAGAACTGGGACCCACACTAACCATGTATAGACAGCCCCTGACTTGGTGAGGGCCATGGAGAACTGGGACCCACACTCACCATGTAGAGCCACAGAGAACTGAGACCCACACTCACCATGTATAGACAGCCCCTGACTTGGTGAGATCCACGGAGAACTGAGACCCACACTCACCATGTATAGACAGCCCCTGACTTGGTGAGGGCCACGGAGAACTGGGACCCACACTCACCATGTATAGACAGCCCCTGACTTGGTGAGGGCCACGGAGAACTGGGACCCACACTCACCATGTATAGACAGCCCCTGACTTGGTGAGGGCCACGGAGAACTGGGACCACACTCACCATGTATAGACAGCCCCTGACTTGGTGAGGGCCACGGAGAACTGGGACCCACACTCACCATGTATAGACAGCCCCTGACTTGGTGAGGGCCACGGAGAACTGGGACCACACTCACCATGTATAGACAGCCCCTGATTTGGTGAGGGCCACGGAGAACTGGGACCCACACTCACCATGTATAGACAGCCCCGGACTTGGTGAGGGCCACGGAGAACTGGGACCCACACTCCACCTTGATGACCCCCAGGCCCTGCAGAGACTCAATCTTCACCGGTACCTTGCAGCCGTCACTCCCTCCACGACCTGTCACACACACATCGTACATTAGCTTACTGCTGCACAATGGTTCTGAGTTACACCAAAAAAGTTCAAACACCTCTACCACTTCAAGAATGGCACAGGGCTCCAAATAATTATTGGAGCCATTGAGTATTTACTCACAAGTTATCATTCACATTGGGTATTGATAGTTTTCTTGGGGTATTCAATTTATACTGCTCAACTTTTCATAGAGATAATCAGTTACATCAGATATATCTAAATATATATTTGACATATGAGAATCAGTTTTGTGTATTAAGAAAAGAAAAAAAATATGCCTATCGAAAATAGAGTAGTATATATTTACTCTCTTTGGTCTAGTCTATTGGGTTTTGTTGAAAATGATTCTACTTCTATGCTGTTTCAGGAAACTTCTAAGAGCATGTGCTCTAGGGCTGCCCCGAGTGAGTCACGTGTCACCTCATGACCTCATAGCAGTGATACATGTTGCAATGTTTGTTTGTTTGTTGTTTAACGTGGCACTCAGCAATATTTCAGCTATATGACGTCGGTCTGTAAGTAATCAAGTCTTGACCAGTCAATCCAGTGATAGATATCATGAGCATCGAACTACGCATTCAATGCTGCATTCAGTCAGTAAGAAAAGATTTGTAAAGAGATACATGTGACCCGATAACCTGGGACCTTGCTCTTAATATTAAGCTTGATTATTACTGAATACAGCGTCAAAAGAAACAAAAAAACAAAAAACAAAAAAAACACACACATCTCAAAATAAAGATATAGTTATATTGGTCCAAGTAACTTCAAGTTCACAAGTCGAATATATTTCATTATGGATGTTAAAATTGGAACAGTTTATATCAATGTTAAGAATTGTTAAGCAATGTTTTCAGTAGCATTGTACAATTTTTTTATCAATTCATATATGTTTTTTCTTAACCCAACTGTGTAACTGAAGAGGCTTTCTTGTTAAGGAAAACCTATAACAATCTCTTGAGGAGCTTGTAATATGAATTGACTTCTATGAGTCTAAAGTTGAAGATCTGTCTACTGAGAGAATGTCGTACCAAGTTTGCCATAGTCTCCGTCTCCCCACGACCAGACACAGTCGTCCTCCGTGATGCATAGACTCTGAGCATCCCCGCTCCCACACGCCACATCAGTCACACGCGTCGTCTTCAGGGTTTCAACCTGAGGTCAACAAGCAACAGATGACCTATTAGGTGTCACAACACGAATATAAGTAGCACTAGGTTATTAAAGCTTCCTCTAGAAGTTAGTGAGTGAGTGAGTGAGTCCACCTCACATATCGGGTACCCATTCCCTGCTGTGTGAACAGAGGCACATTTGAACTAAGTCACCTGTCCAGGGTGACACCACACGTTTTGACACTTGTGTTTCGGGGTATGTACGTATTCATGTTTATTGAAAATGAAAATCAGCTGATTCATTTTAAATGATGTTCTTGATATAACATTCACGGTATGTAGTGATAATTGAAGTCATCAGCTCTTGACTGGGCTAGTCTCTGACTTACCAGCCTAGGTCTTGGTTGGTCTTCACTGTCTCCATGTCCGAGTCGCCCGTAACGACCCTTCCCCCAGGTGTACAGTTCTCCATTAGACGTGATGCAGGCGCTGTGTGCTCCCCCCGCTGAGATGTCGATCACCTCCTTCCCTCGCAGAGACTCTATCACTCGCGGCCGGTCACAAGGGCTGGAACAGTCAGTGACATGCTTTACAATCTTACCAATACTTTCAGGCTGCAGTAAATGTGGAATACAATCCAATATCCCTCATATCTACTCTTCACACCTTCTACTTGGCTCTCCCTCCCTCCCTCAACAACTCAACTCCGCCCTCAGACCACACCCTCAGACCCCGCCCTCAGACCATGCCCTCAGACCACACCCTCAGACCTTCCCATCTTCAACACCCTCCTTTCACCTTCCATTTCAATGTCATCTTCTCCCTCCCTCAACAACTCAACTCCGCCCTCAGACCTTCCCATCTCCAACACCCTCCTCTCACCTTCCATTTCAATGTCATCTTCTCCCTCCCTCAATAACTCAACTCCGCCCTCAGACCACGCCCTCAGACCTCCCCACCTCCCACACCCTCCTCTCACCTTCCATTTCAATGTCATCTTCTCCCTCCCTCAACAACTCAACTCCGCCCTCAGACCACGCCCTCAGACCTCCCCACCTCCCACACCCTCCTCTCACCTTCCATTTCAATGTCATCTTCTCCCTCCCTCAACAACTCAACTCCGCCCTCTGACCACACCCTCAGACCTCCCCACCTCCCACACCCTCCTCTCACCTTCTATTTCCGTGTCCCAGCTTGCCATCTTCTCCCTCCCCCCACGAGTACACCTCGCCCTCGGAGGACAGCGCCAGACAGTGTTTGCCTCCCGAGTTGACAGCAACCTTCTTGATGAACACGTGTTGTATGGACTCCAGTAGTGTAGGAGTGGACACAGACTCGGTGCCACCAATACCCAGGCGCCCTCCGGCTCCGTAGCCAGTACCATACACCTGTACACAGAACCAGGGTCCATCAACGCTCACACAGGTACCAACACAAACTACGGGCAGAACCAGAAATACCCCATAGTGGTTTTACGCCGCTTTTAGCAATATTCCAGCAACATCACTGTGAGGGTCACAAGAAAGGGGCATCATATTGCACCCATGTAGGGAATCAAACCCGGGCCTTCTGTGTGACGAGCGAACACTTTAACCACTAGGCTACCCCACTCCTGAGCCCATCCCAATCTTTTTATGAAAGAGTTATCTTGAACCATTTTAACTTTACCCAATCAGGTGCCAGCTGACCTCAGCAATATATAAACTCCATACATCTTTGATCAATAATGCCTTTCTAATGCTTCAAGCTTCCCTAAACACAAGCTCCAAGCACTTCTAGTTTCATAGTATCATTGCCATGGTTTGGAAAACAACACATGTACTGTGATTATTGCACTTATATAGTGACGTGTGTGTGTGTGTGTGTGTGTGTGTGTGTGTGTGTGTGTGTGTGTGTGTGTGTGTGTGTGTGTGTGTGTCTGTGTGTGTGTCTGTGTGTGTGTCTGTGTGTGTGTGTCTGTGTGTGTGTGTCTGTGTGTGTGTGTGTGACTGCTTGTACTAGTCCGGACTGATTTATTGTGCTAGCCCACTGAGATACCATGCCGCAGTTTAACACGAATACCCCACTCAGACACAGCATACTGACTCCGAGCCGACCAGTCCTTGTTTTAGCCCCATAATGCCGAGCGCCAGACAGGGTAACAACAAGTACCATCTTTTAACGTCTTTTGGTATGATGCAGCCGGGGATCGAACCCCGGAACTTCCGCTCTCCGGGCGGATGCTCTACCACAAGACCACGGAGGCGGTCTGTACTGATTTGAAACAAAAAGACCTAATCCTCTAACTAACTCTACAACATAGATATTAGCACTTCTTTTTAAATATCACTTCAGTTTTGCAAACTACAACACATGTCTCGCTAACAGAGGAACAGAGCATGCTACAAGCTCCGCGTACCTTCCCATCAGCTGTGACGGCAAACAGTGTCTGCTCTCCACCAATCAGCTGCACGGGGCGGAGACTTGCCAGCGACTCGCAGCTGACTGGGAGCTTCACCTTGGCCCCCTCGACCCCGCCCAGTTGACCTCGGTGGTTGTGACCCCACACCCAGATCTGTCCACTCCCTCCCCAGCTCAGTGTCCAGTCATCAGGCTTCCTGGAAAACAACATCAAACAACATTATGAGGTGAGGTGAAATTGGGTTTAATGTCGCGGCCAAGATTATTTCACTTATATAGCGACGTGCATGCACGTGTATGTGTGTGTGTGGCTGATTGTACTTGTCCGGACTGATGCCGATTTATAGTGCTAGCACACTGAGATACCATGCCGCAGTTTAACATGAATGCCCCACTCAGACACAGAATACTGACTCCGAGCCGACCAGTCCTTGAGTTAGCCCCTCAATGCTTAGTGCTTCCAGCGTAACAACAAGTACCATCTTTTAACGTCTTTTGGTATGACGCGGCCGGGGATCGAACCCCAGACCTTCTGTTTCTGGGTGGACGCTCTACCACTAGACCACGGAGGCAGTCTATGAAGATGTTAGTGGCTGGAAGACAACATCAAGTGTGACTGTCTCTGAGGGCGCAACTTCATATTATAGTGTTGCTATCCATGAGAATGACCATTTTACATTGAAAAGAAAATTGAATTAGTAACTCATCTCCATCTGAAACATCCCAAATATAATAAATTCTATCAAATATGAATATGATAGTGCATTGTATTTTTTGCATTCAATAGTCTCCAATCATATTCGTTTTCGAGTGAGTGAGTTGGGTTTAACGCCGCTTTTAACATTATTCCAGTTATATCACGGCATGTCAGCTTAATGTTGGAGCAAAGCCCGAAGTGATGTAGGTCTCAGACGTTTACCACTTCGGTGAAACCAACGAGCACGGGTATGGTGCTGACAAACCTAGAAACATAATCGGGGCGATCCGGGATTCAAACCCACAATCATAGGTTTCTGGCATGCCCAAGGGATGCAACTCTGCACAGCGAATCGCGGCGCCTTAGACGACTGGGCCACCCGTTCCTCCTATTCGTTTTCGAGATAAATTATATTTGCTTGTCTGAATGCTTTGCTCACTTGTAACGACAATTAGGAAACCTTGACACTGATTGGCCAATAAGAAAATCATGTGACCCAACCTCTATGGTCTACAGATCTTCATGCAGAGAGGTATCACATCAGAGTAAAAGATTTGATTTGAATAAGACAGACTGTTGAGTAGAGTCATGGTAGGCAATTAGTGCTTGTGTGAACTTAATCCTTGAAGGAGGGGAATCATTTATTGCTGATATAACAAGCATGAAATACTCATATCCCCCACCAATATGACATGGCCAGTTGTGAGCAAGGCATTAGCCCTCCAGAAAAAAATACTACTGCCATTTTCAGTCAAAGTCAAAGTCATTGCCATGGAAACTCGAAAAATATATCTAAAAATGCACCAGATCACCACTAGGCCTATCTATGTGCCAAGTTTGGTTAAGATATCCCTAATGGTTTGGGAGATCTGTAGGGAAACGAAACGTGACGGATGAATGGACGGACAGGACCTATTCCTATATCCCCCTTCCAATTCGTCGGGGGTGATAATGCACAGACATATAAGATGTTGCATAAATGTTACTCGGTCTGCCAAATGGCGGAACTGAGTCTATACTGAGGGCGTACCTGTTCATCCACATGAGGAGCTGTTCATCCTGCATCTGTTTGAAGATGGAGTGAGATTCGTGGTCACGGGTGATGTTCTCGCCCTCAGAAGCGATGTCCTGAATCTTCTTCATCACTTCCTCTGCAAACACCACGGGGAGCTGTGTCCGCTTGACGATGGCGGCAGCCACACGGGCGGCCATGCAGTAGCGGCGGAACCACGCCCACTTGTGGGCCTCAGCACAGCAGTGTAGGGTGTCCATGCCCAGATCACACGCCAGGGCCACAAGCACCTGTAAGGGGGAGGTGAAGGTCAGGTGTGAGTGTGTGTCTATCTGTCTGTCTCTCGGTGTGTGTGCATGTGGCTGCTTGTACTAGTTCGGACTTACTCAAATTTTATAGTGCTAGCCCAATGTGATACCATGCTGCAGTTTAAAATGAATACCCCAAACAGACACATACTGACTCCGAGGAAACCAGTCCCGCTTTTATTCCCTTAATGCCAAGCACAAGACACAGGATCATAGGATTCTGACACAACAAAGGGATTCAACTCTGCAAAGTCTCCTCAGAGGACAGTGTCACCCAAACACAATCCTGAAGTGCAGTATGTTCTATCAACCTGCATAACACTGACTTGAAGCTTGAACTGACTTTCATAAAAGAGGTGAGGTGAGGTGAAATTGGGTTTAACGTCGCGTCCAAGATTATTGCACTTATATAGCGACGTGCATGTACGTGTATGTGTTTGTGTGGCTGCTTGTACTAGTCCGGACTGATGCCGATTTATAGTGCTAGCTCACTGAGATACCATGCCGCAGTTTAACATGAATACCCCACTCAGACACAGTATACTGACTCCAAGCCGACCAGTCCTTGTTTAAGCCCCTTAATGCTGAGCGCCAGACAGGGTAACAAGAAGTACCATCTTTTAACGTCTTTTGGTATGACGCGACCGGGGATCGAACCCCGGACCTTCCGCTCTCCGGGCGGACACTCTACCACTAGACCACGGAGGCGGTCCTTTCATAAAAGAATATCTAAAATGAAACTACATCAAAATCCATTAATCTTTATCATCAAGAAAGAAAACAGCATCTGGATTTTGCATAATTGTTCTTCGGATCCACGACCAGTTCATCTGATGATGCATGTAGCAATTGAGATGTATAGTGATGCATGCACCTGTCACCGTGAAGTTACATTCAGGCATACCTTGAAGAATGGACTATGCATGAGATGCTTGCCGCTGCGGACGATGGGGTCCTCGTACTCGTACTGCCTCTGGAGAGCCTCCGGGAGCCCCTTCACCAGGGAGGCCAAGGCCGACCCACTCAGACACTGGCGAAGGGAAACACAACATGTATGGCTCTATGTGTCCAAACATAAATTATGTTGGAAAAAAGAACCATCTTCTCATTTACTAGGTACATGTTGTTATCACATTATGTACAATGAAAGTTCAAAACAAATGGAAACACAAAGTACACATATCTACAGACCACTACGAAACCTAGTAAATTATTCTTAGATATTTGAATCTACATACTCTGTCATATAAGATTGCATTGAAACAAACCTGCTGTAGACTCTGTTAGAGAATGAGTGCCCTCTGGTTGCTTATACTTCCAAGATAGCCAGAGGAATTTCAGCGAACAAAAAGAATGCACATACAAGGACCCCCAACCTCAGCCCCCACTCCCTCCCCCAACCTCAGCCCCCTACTCCCTCCCCCAACCTCGGCCCCCTACTCCCTCCCCCAACCTCGGCCCCCTACTCCCTCCCCCAACCTCGGCCCCCTACTCCCTCCCACAGCCTCGGCCCCCTTCTCCCTCCCACAGCCTCAGCCCCCTACTCCCTCCCCCAACCTCGGCCCACTACTCCCTCCCCCAACCTCGGCCCACTACTCCCTCCCCCAACCTCAGCCCCCTACTCCCTCCCCCAACCTCGGCCCACTACTCCCTCCCCCAACCTCGGCCCACTACTCCCTCCCCCAACCTCGGCCCCCTACTCCCTCCCACAGCCTCGGCCCACTACTCCCTCCCCCAACCTCGGCCCCCTACTCCCTCCCACAGCCTCGGCCCCCTACTCCCTCCCCCAACCTCGGCCCCCTACTCCCTCCCCCAACCTCGGCCCCCTACTCCCTCCCACAGCCTCGGCCCCCTACTCCCTCCCCCAACCTCGGGCCCCCTACTCCCTCCCCCAACCTCGGCCCACTACTCCCTCCCCCAACCTTGGCCCCCTACTCCCTCCCCCAACCTCGGCCCCATACTCCCTCCCCCAACCTCGGCTCCCTACTCCCTCCCCCAACCTCAGCCCCCTACTCCCTCCCCCAACCTCGGGCCCCCTACTCCCTCCCCCAACCTCGGCCCCCTACTCCCTCCCCCAACCTCGGGCCCCCTACTCCCTCCCACAGCCTCGGCCCCCTACTCCCTCCCCCAACCTCAGGCCCCTACTCCCTCCCCCAACCTCGGCCCCCTACTCCCTCCCACAGCCTCGGCCCCCTACTCCCTCCCCCAACCTCGGCCCCCTACTCCCTCCCCCAACCTCGGCCCCCTACTCCCTCCCCCAACCTCGGCCCCCTACTCCCTCCCCCAACCTCGGCCCCATACTCCCTCCCCCAACCTCAGGCCCCTACTCCCTCCCCCAACCTCGGCCCCCTACTCCCTCCCCCAACCTCAGGCCCCTACTCCCTCCCCCAACCTCGGCCCCCTACTCCCTCCCACAGCCTCGGCCCCCTACTCCCTCCCCCAACCTCGGCCCCCTACTCCCTCCCCCAACCTCGGCCCCCTACTCCCTCCCCCAACCTCGGCCCCCTACTCCCTCTCCCAACCTCGGCCCCCTACTCCCTCCCCCAACCTCGGCCCCCTACTCCCTCCCCCAACCTCGGCCCCCTACTCCCTCTCCCAACCTCGGCCCCCTACTCCCTCCCCCAACCTCAGGCCCCTACTCCCTCCCCCAACCTCGGCCCCCTACTCCCTCCCACAGCCTCGGCCCCCTACTCCCTCCCCCAACCTCGGCCCCCTACTCCCTCCCACAGCCTCGGCCCCCTACTCCCTCCCCCAACCTCAGGCCCCTACTCCCTCCCCCAAATCAAGTCTACCTACCACAGAGAATGTCTAGGCAATATCCTGTTCTACCTTCACAACAACTTACCACAGAGTATGTCCGGGGCATCTCCTGGTCTGGACTCTCCGAGGTGGGGCTGGCTAGAAGGGCGTTGACGTTGATGGAGGGTCCGAAGTTGGCCGCCATCAGCTTCCTCAGCTTGTGCAGAGCCCACATCCTCTGGTTCGCTCCTAAGTCGAATAAAGATTATGTCACTACCAGGTTAGAAGAGCTTCAGATTAAACAACACCACACAGGGATGAAGAAGCGAGAAGCTGAATGAAGACTACATTATTCACAAATGTTTCACTGAGCAATTTGGTTTAAAGCCTTGTCGCCAATATATCAGTTAAATTATGGAAGCTGGAAATGAGGGTCAAGGTCATCAGGGACAGATTAATGCAGACAGGACTGTTAGGGCAACACAGCCTGTGTCCCCACTTGGCAGCCATTGTGGCCTGCTGATCCCCGTCCGACTCTATCTTAGTCCCCCTTCCTACAAGAATGAGTCACTGAAGACAGAAGTCACATGATCTTTATTGACTAAGAACATCCATAATCCCTATTTCCTACAAGAATGAAATACAGAGGACAATTTCTGCCTCAGACTATCACCAATCCCATCATTCTGCAAAGAGAAGGGGGTACTTTGAGCCAATTCTGCCTTCAAATATCACAATCCCCATCAATGACCACCTCCGAACAGGATGAGGACCTTTGGACCCATCTCTCCTAATATCAACAATCCAATCTACCAGGACACAGTACTGAGGATCTATTCTGCTTCAGAATATCAATTGGATACAAATTATCCTAACCAACTCATTTTCAAAAACAAAAAAATATATCAGATGTTCCTTGTCACCTAGAGAGCTGAGTTGAGCGCACGCAGCGAGCGCGGCCGCCAGTCGGGGGATGATGTTCCTGTCCATGGTCAACTCCAGCTTGAAGTCCAGCAGACAGGTGACCAGGTCGATGGAGGGTCTGGACAGGATGGTGCGGTCACTCAGCATGTCCAGGGGAGCAGCGGCCGGCATGACGGGGTACACGGTGAACAGCCAGCCCCAGCCGTTGACGGAGCCATCGCTGATGAACTTCCACCGGAGCTCGTCACCCTGGACACGTAGTTCCTGCGACCAATCAGACCATTCCCGACCTGGAAAACAAGATGGAAAGTGAGCATGGATCACTAATACCCCTGACTTAGACTCAACCATATTTCTTCACAGTTCAAAACATGAAAAAAGCAATATTTACTCAGAAAATCCACTTATCAAAATGAAACTTTGCAATGCACCTCTCCTGGAATAAAAACTGTTCCAGCAATTGGAAAAGAATCAATGAAGTAGTTTTCACGTTACATGTCACACAAATGTTTAAACAAAAAAATTCTAAGTAAGAAATGATAAAAAGTTGTATTTTGTCAGCAATTACAAATATTAAAATCACACTTTGCAGTGCACCTCTCCTATAGGTATAAAAAGTGTTCACCAACTTTGAAAAGAATCTATGTAGTAGTTTTCAAATTATAGGTCACACAAAAAATTTGTCCTTGGAAGGAAGGACATAAGGATGAAGGGACGGACGGAATTCCTTGGTATAACTATATATCCCCGCCATCAATCTCAATCTTTTTACACCACTCTAAGCCACATTCCAGCAACATCTAGTTCAACCATCATATCTCCTCTAACGACAAGCATAGGATACTGGGGACCAATATTCTCCCCGGAAACCCCTCTCTCCTTGGTTATAACATGCAGCAATGAGTTGTTGGAGGCATGGAGGGCTCGGTACAACTCACCTGATCTGGTGGCGACTGTCCTCCCTGACCCGTCCATAATGGTGAGAGGATCATGGCGTCTCTCCGTGGAACAGCGCCGGTCAAACTCTACACGCAGCGCCTCAGCCCCTGAAGCAATAACAATAACCATGAGATTGGAATAACATTACTCTCAATCATGTTAACTCAAGTCATAGACGCCATAGAAGGGGCGTGAGGGTCAGTCTAGTGTTCACTTGTCAGGCCAAAGTCCTTGGATCCATTCTCCACATGGGTAAAATGTGTGAAGCCCATCTCGGATGTCCCCTGCTGGAATTCTGTGAAAGTAGTGTAAAACCCCACTCACTAACATAATCTTACAGAATTTGTCTTGGGTGCTTCCCATCTTTAACAATATACTTTCTTTTTGTGTGTGAAAAAGTGATACTGATAGTTTATTTCTGAGTCCCTGTCACTAATAAGACCAGACACCCAGTGTAGTGCCTGGCCCAAGTAAGAAAAGATATTCCGACAATTTAGAAGTGAGTGAGAATGGTTTTATGCCGCTTTTAGCAATATTCCAGCAATATCACGACCGGGGACAGAAATGGGCTTCAAACATTGTACCCATGTCGGGAATCGAACCCGGGTCTTTAGCGTGACGAGGGAACACTTTAACCACTAGGCTACCCGACCTCCCGAGACAATTTAGGAAACACAAGCAAAGTTATGATATGAGTTCCATAAGTTAATGCTTTTCATATTGATACTGACAGTAAGATTGATATTAGAAGTGTGGCTTTTATGGCTATTATGGACTTTTACTTTTAAATTATGTTTTTTTAAACTGGACACTAGCATAGATACTCATTCCTACTCACATCCACTCACTTTGTGTACTAACCCCCCAAAAAGGTTTAACACAGTCACATCTCAACATAATGAACTATGTACATATTAAATCAAGATCACTGAGATCCAGAAGTAGACTGATCTTCATTAGCTAGTTCATGGTAACACATCCTCTTGACATAGAACTAGCTTGTTGTCATTGCAAGAAATATCTCTTATAGCAAAAGCCATGTATGTTGTGAATATAATGTTTAAAGTTATTAAAATTTAGGGGACCTTCCAAACTTCACATTCATGAATAAAGAATTTAGCCAAAAGCACACTTTACTAACACTCTAACTTTAGAATCAGCTGATATTACTTAGTCAGCAAGTAATGGAGTGACTCAGTGACTGAGTGTGTAATGCTGGTGACATATCCCAGCTATATCATCACTGAGGACAATGCATGAGAGGAATCCACCCCAGGTTTCTTCAGTATGACTACTGGATGTGACCCTGCCAGCCCTGTTGTTATGGAAGTGTAGACTAGACACTGACCGGGTATCTTGACGTGTCCAAGCTGTGATGTGTCGTCGGTGTAAGGGTGTGGACTCTCCTGGACTACTGGCTGGGCCGTGGCGCGGCCGGAGTCGGTGTCTGTTGAAACATCCTCCAGCTCCGTCACACACAGCTCCAGCACCATCTCTGCAACCTGCAACATCCACGTCATACACATGGTCATAAGTAATAACAATACAAATATCTGTATCAATATTCAAAAATCTGAAACTATGGAAATATATTTCTCATAAATCACAGGTCATTTTACTTGAGTGAGTGAGTGAGTGAGTGAGTGAGTGAGTGAGTGAGGCTGGATTTGTTGTTGGGGTTGAGGTTGCTGTTGGGGATGGGTAGGAATTTGTTGTTGGGGTTGAGGTTGAGGTTGGGGTTGGGGTTGGGGTTGAGGTTGGATTTGTTGTTGGGGTTGAGGTTGCTGTTGGGGATGGGTAGGAATTTGTTGTTGGGGTGGAGGTTGAGGTTGGGGTTGGCGTTGAGGTTGGATTTGTTGTTGGGGTTGAGGTTGGATTTGTTGTTGAGGTTGGGGTTGGGGTTGGGGTTGGGGTTGGATTTGTTGTTGGGGTTGGGGTTGGGGTTGGGGTTGGTGTGTTTGAAGCGTGTGTCTGTAGGCACTGGGGAGATATGTACAATAGTCCAAGAACCAGGTCGGTCCAAACTGGAATGTGCATGTATGAGCTTTGGGTCAATGGTTGGTTGGGGTAGGTGTGTTGTGGGTGAGAGGGTGGAACCAAGTATACTCCAAAAATATTGATCAAATAATGAACTTCTTTTGTTTCTTTTGAAAGCTTAAACTATTTACATGAGGGTAGGCCTTGCCCAAGGCAGTGAGGATCTCGGACATGGTCTCCTTGCCCTTCTCCCCGACCCGGCAGGCCACCGCCAGTTTGAGGAGGTCGACCAGGATCCGAGAGTCATCGGCTGACATCCTGCTGGTGAACTCATCCAGCCCCAGTGGGTACGCCGTGCTCACGCTGTCCATGGTGCGGGTCACCTCGTCAGGCGATGTGAACGTCTCTGCAATGATGCTTGTGGCTGGCGACACCTTCGCCGCGAGGCTGTGCATGCTCCGGAACAATGACATGTCCATGGAGAACTGACTCTGGAACATCAGATACAAATGCAAACAATTGTGCTTATTCACAACCAACACATTTACTGGATACTGAATAAGGAGGGTCGTGTAGCTTAGTGGTCAAAGCATTCGCTTGTTATGGCAAAGGCTTAGGTTCAATTCTTCACATGAGTACAATGAGTGAAGCCCATTTCTGGTGTCCCTCGCCAGGATTTTGCTGGATGTAGAACTTTGCGAATAAACTTTATAGACATATAAACACATACACACAAAATTTTACAAGGCAAATTTTTAATCAGTGCTTTATGTGAAGTGCATGAAGATTGCCAATGCTGCTTCAGTGTCTGAGGTGATTTCTTTTTAAGAAACCTTGATTTAGCGGATGTTGGGATATTTCAAAGAAGAGGGTTTGATTTTCATATATTTCACATATTCACACCCAAAAATAAATAATCGAAAACACTTACATGTCCACTCTGTTCCATAGTGTCAACAATGGAGACGTCGATGTCTGTGTGGTCGACCACCCCTTCCGATGCCGTCACAAGGGTGCTGGTGTCCGGGCTGGGTGTGACCGTGACGGGGACGCAGGACTTGGTGTCGGCCAGCACCTGAATCTCCTGGGCCAGGGAGCCTACTATAGCATCTCTACAACACAGGACATACGGGATGAGTCAGCAGGGTTTGTCTGTGTTTGGCTGTGTTTGTCTGTGTCTGTCTATGTTTGTACAGTAATACAGTGAGTCTTGCATCCATGGTGGGGATTGGTAACAAGACATCTGCCTGAGGCAAGGCAACCATCGATCATAGCGCCACTAGTGGCTATTATGAGTTTTGAGCCTTCTATTTGCCGCCTATTGACCAATCAGATTCCACCTCTCATATCAGCTGCATTTGTTTCAAACAAACTGGCAGCACCCAGTCAAGACGATCTGATCTGATTTCACTATCTTGATTGTAATCAAACATGTCTTACTTAGCGAAGTGCACCAAATCACGTGAACACCTTGAGTAAAAACATGAAGAGATTTGGAATATATATGTTGACGCTAAATTGACGGTACACATGCTTTACAAATCCTGCAATGACCAAAATCTGCATGGCAGTTGATGAACCAAGGGTGCAAGGGTGGAAACTGTACATTTATAGTCAGTTAACTCAGACTACTGGAGTTAGTGAGTAAATATTGCTTTACGACTCATCAGCAACCTGGCAGCCATTTGTGATGGGTGAGATGGGGGGACTGCGGCCTACCTGGCATATAGAATCTGTAGTGCTGTCAGGACGTGTGCCAGCGCCTTCTGCTTCTCCACGTCCGACTCTAGGGACAGGAGGATCTTGGACAGTGATGGCCGGCTGTTCTTGTTCTGGAGCTGTGGAACCGTCGCAGGCAGAGCCCCCTCTTCTCCCTGGGGCTCGAACAACCCTGTGGGAAGGCAAACAACACGGGATCATACACAGGAAGAACAGGGCCACAGCACAGACAGCGCCGACATCATATAAACATCCCGACCTGACAATTAAACTTCTGACATATTTCGCATAATCAGTAACAACAGCTGGGGAAGAAGGTTTCCTAAGGCTTTGACATTATATATGAACATAATTTCTGAGGACCCCCCACCCATTCCCCACCACCCCCACAAACAAATTGTGATTAATATCTAAGCGGGAGAAGCCAGCTAATTTTTTATAATCAACTCGACTTGACACACTTACGACTACATGAGGAGAACCACCATCACACTCCATCACAGTCACTTGTTTAATGAAAAGTGATTCTTCTGTTGCACAAAGAAGGCCTACAGTTAGAAAACAGTCACATATAGTTTTCCTAAGCTTGCATAGCAGTCAGCAAAAAGTGGTCCCTTGGCATCAATTTCAATCGGTGCTTATGGTTTCACCAAAGTGGTAACTGTCTAAGACCTGCATCACTTTGGGCTTTCCTCCCACATAAAACTGGCATGCCGAAATATAACTGGAATACTGTTCAAAGCAGTGTTAAATCCAACTCACTCAGTTTCAATACACTCTAATCTGATTTCATATGCTATTATATGCCACGCTCACTAGACCCAAATTTAGTTGTACAAGATTACAACTTGAGACTAATGGCTACAGAGAAACCTTTTATCAAATCAGACTTGATAAATAAAAAAGTTTTGATGATATAGAGGCACAGAAACCTTCCTCAACCAGTACTTCCACATTGTAAGTAATCAGTTTGGTGTACTACTGAATAACAGGAATAGCGCCTTCAAATGTACAGTAGCATACAGTTGGTCGGTCCTCTCCTCACCTAGCAGGGTAGCACCAAGCGCATCCTTGGATGCGGAGAACAGAACAGGCTCGTGTGTCGTTGGTGTGGACAGATCGGTTGTTGCCCATGCCACGCTATGGGATGACCCACATGCCACCCGGGTGATCTTGCTTCCTTCAAGGCCTTGCACCAATGCCGGCTTCCTGTTGACTGTGGTGGACCCGTTACCCTGCTGGCCGTGGTCGTTGTCACCCCACGCATACACCTACACAGCATATATGTACAGTCAGAAATAGCCTTTCATCAGTATTGTATTAGGTCAGTCTTGATTTTGGGGGTTTACAAAAACAGTTATGTAATGGATGCACTTCCTGATTTATTTGATAAAACAAACTTTCAACAAAGTGATATATTTTTTTATTTACACCAAGACGCCATGGTGAGAGATCATATTTTTGAAAATATTCCTATAACCAAATTTGCTGTCACAACTCATGTGACCCCTGTGACCTCTTATCCCCATGACCTCTGTGACCCCTATGACCTTTGTGACCTCTGTGATCCCTATGACCTCTGTGACCCCTATGACCTCTGTGGCCCCTGTGACCCCCATGACCTCTGTGACCCCTATGACCTCTGTGGCCCCTGTGACCCCTGTGACCCCTGTGACCCCTGTGTACGTACATGTCCCTGGTCTGTGACAGTGAGACAGTGGAGGGCCCCCACCGCCACGTGGATGACCTTCTTGCCCTTAAGGCCTTCCACCAGCTGGGGCTTCCGAACATGTGCGTCTGTCCCGTGGCCCAAGCGAAAGTAGTCCCCCTTACCCCTAGGAATGGGAAGAAAACACTGTTAACACAGAGGGAGACAGTCTTAGTTCTCAACATCAGCAGCTACATCATCACTCACTCACATCACAAACCATCTTTTGAAATAAAAGTATTTGATAAAAAGAGTATTAAACCCTTAACCTACCTTCCTAAATAACATTATATTTAAATAATTTTAGTTCAGTTATAATAATAATAATAATAAATGGCTCTCAGTTGCTCACAACCTCATTTTGGCATTTATACTTCACCCCATGGCAACACTCACATGGAGTGAGTGAGTGAGTGAGTATGGTTTTACGCCGCTTTTAGCAATATTCCAGCAATATCACGGCGGGGGACAAAAGAAATGGGCTTCACACATTGTACCCATGTTGGGAATCGAACCCGGGTCTTCGGCGTGACGAGCGAACGCTTTAACCACTAGGCTACCCGACCGCCCCTCACATGGAGTGAACTAAGTATCCCCCAAGTAGTACAGGGCACATAGCTGGGATAGTTCGGGTCCACGACCCCAGGGCATCAAATCCCACGAGATAGTCCAGGTCTTCGACCCCACGACAACGCATCTCGGGCTATGGTCCTATACTACCCCACCTTTAAATGCAACCGAGTCCAAATTTTTGCCAAATATCATATTAATGAATAAATATATTCCGTTTACTCCTTCTTGTGTTGCTACTGCACAAATAATAAATAATCCGCCAAATCCACTACCTCAAGCATGCTCAAAGCGCTATATTATTACCCCAGTCAGAGGATCAGTGTGCACTTCATTCTCAGCTCCCTGGGGAGGATGCAACACAATCTGCCTGTGAGAGCTAGAAGGTTAATAGTTACCAACACATCCTACTGGGTACCCATTCACTGCTGAGTGAACAGAGGTATAGCAGACATTCCAGCTGACCGCCAACTCACCATGTCCAGACTTGACCTGTCTTGGTGAGGGCAAGAGAGAACTGAGCGCCACACTCAATCTGACACACACCCAGTCCCGTCAGCCGCTCGATGACATGGGGGGAGTTGCAGCCGTCACTGCCGCCCCGCCCCAGCTTCCCAAAGTCCCCGTCTCCCCACGAATACACATGACCCTCGTCAGTGAGGGCTAGGGTCTGGGCGTCCCGACTCCCACACGCGATCTGGATCACACGCTGACCAGCCAAGGCCTTCACCTAACAGAGGAACATTTTTATCATCCAAAACTAGCATCCACAGGAGATGTTGTTTTCCCTGATTTGCAGAAGTTTTCATGTGACATATAAGATACAGAACAAACCATATATTATTTTCCTACCTACAAACATCTGTTTATTTCTCCTGTAAGTCTGTGGAGTTATCAATGATTTATTTACAAGAACATTTATTAACTTTTTGTGGGGATCTGTGCGCACACTTTGTAAATCCTTGTAAAAAGTACTGAAGTCAGTTATGTCAGTAAAGATTCATGGTACATATTGTTGTAGGTTTGTCCTTGTCTTCGCCCACCTGTTTGGGTTTCAGCTGTGTGGTGTTGTCTGCGTGTCCGAGACGGCCGTAGTCTCCCAGACCCCAGGTGTACAGGTCGCCGTTAGAGATGATGGCGGCACTGTGTGAACTGCCACAGGAAATGTCGCGGACTCGCTTCGACTTGAGAGCCTCGATCAGCTTCGGGGTATCACAGTTCCTGTATCAGACAGAACGTGTTACACAGTAAATCAGCTGCATATGTAAGGAGGCGAGATGAAATGGGAATAATGTTGCCTTCAAGATTATTGAACTTATATAGTGACGTGCATATAGACGGGGGAGGAGAGGGGGAGGTTAGTGGTGTGGGGGGATGAAAGGTGTGGGGGTAATGGGGGTATCATGACAAGTACCTGAATACATAACACATGGACTAGATTCCAGGGAGTCCAATACTATCAATCAAATATTTACAAGTGCTTTGAAATCAATTTTCATAATTCAACATTGAAGTACTTTTCTAGTCAAATATATAAAGGGAGGGCAGGGCAATGGATGTATGATGATAAGTTTCTGAAAAAAATCATGATTCATTGATAACTACAACTACAAACTTGACTTAACTGGAGTTTTAATGCTCGATAACTGCGCTAACCGACTTATATGTTGGCCAAGAAGGCCATGCTCTTTACGAGACGATGCAATACTGTTAAACCAAGGCTAGTTTCCTTTGTCTCAATCAAATCATGTGACCATGGTGCATTGCATGTGTTGATTCGTTACGAAGAAAAACGACCCACCAAAACAACAGACATAACACACCCTAGTGGTATAACCATTGGTAGCCATCACATTATTTGGACACACACTATTGCACAGTCAAGACGGGTACACAGATGTACTCCAGGTTCTAACATCCATAAACTGAACAAATAAATTTACTTGACCCAACATCTAAAATTGACTACAAACCCAGATTATCAATCAAGTATTTACAAACACTTTGAAAACCATTTTCATATTAATTCAACACTGCAGTATTCATGTGACAAGTATGGAGCTATGGGCATGTGTGTTCTTCTGTCAGTATCATGGCAACGGGAGGCAGTAATGACGTGAGGGATGCTAATGATGTTGCTGATGGTAAACATGTTGCTGTGGTCCACCTACATCCTGCTGGAATGTCCCAGTTTGCCGTCGTCCCCCTCCCCCCAGGAGAACACCTTGCCATCCACTGTCAGCGCCATGGCGTGACGCCCACCTGGAACACACGAGGAGACATGGAACTAAAAGTAACAACAAAAACCCTGTCTATATAGTCAAAATGAGCCTTTTGAAGGTTGGATTCCCACAGAGCACCAGTAATACATATGTTTGCTTCTCCCTGACAAAGGAGTCCCACCGGCCTAGCTTTACCCCAACATACAGAACAAAGCAGCATAACATTAGAGTCAACTGCTTTAGCTAATGCCAGTGACTGAATATAGCTTAGTGCCCCAGCCAGGAATATAACAGTTATTTCAAAGTTGTTAATACATAACCTGGCTTAGACAACCTAGTGGTTGATAGCATGAGCAACAATCCACATGACGACACAATCAGCATGTCACATATCATAACTACATTAGTCTCATGCCTCAGCAGGAGTATCATTCATTCATTCATTCATTCATTCATTCATTCATTCATTCATTCATTCATTCATTCATTCATTCATTCATTCATTCATTCATTCATTCATTCATTCATTCAAATTTTTTTTGTAAATTTTTAATTAATTCATTTATTGTTTTTTTCATTTATCAACAACCTAAATACTCATTGATCAATGTTACAGATGGGTGTAATACAGCCACAATACCTGAGTGCACAGCGACCTTCTTGATGTGATACTGACTGAGAGAAGTCAGCATTCTGGGTACAGAGACGTTGCCTGCGTTCATTCCGAGGCCCAGACGGCCATTGGTGGCTTCCCCGCAGGCATACACCTTCCCGTCCTGTGTCACTGCAGAAACAGGGAGTATGAGCATTGAGCAACACTGGAGTTTGTTTGTTTGTTTGTTTGTTTGTTTGTTTAAAGCCCTGACCTTCTGGGCAGACGCTCTATCCACAAGAACATGGAGGCAGTCAATGAAAAAGAGAAGTTGATCATCAAACTGTTGTCATAGTTACGTATCCAACTTCTAAGTGACACTCAAGAGATACAGATACGAGAGGGTTGAGTGAGTGGATGTTGTTGGAGCTATCCTTGTACACAGTAACATCACAGCAGCCAGTACATTATTGAGTCTGGACCAGACAAACTTGGGTTGATACAAGGACATACAATGAGCAGAAGGCACAACTCACCACAGAAAAGGCTCTTGGAGCCGCCTGCTATCTGCACACACTTCACCCCTGACAGACTCTCATTGAGGACCGGCATCTTGATCTGGGAACATCAGCATCAACTCATCAAGATTCACACTCAGACTGATATTAAAACATTAGTATTTCAACATTAACTAGTCACTTCATGCAGTGTTTACATGTTGACTGCACATACAATCAATTACCTATCAGATTTAGATTTCAAAATTGTTGTCCTGCTTTGAACTCATTGGCAGTTACCTTCGATCCCTTGGGTCCCCCAAGTTGGTCCTTGTCGTTCAGTCCCCAGACAAACACGTGAGTCTGGATGTCCTTGTTGCCGAACGCCCTCAGCTTCTTCCTGCCGGGCTGCGTGGCCGGCCGTTCGTCATCATCCTCCTTGTCTGAGGCCAGGAACGAGAAGCTGGCGGCCGAGTCCTCCTCCTCGGACCGATGACGGCCCACAATCTGGAGGCCGTGGACCTTGCAGTCAATGCCGCTGCTGCGACACTGGCGGACATCTATCTCAATGAGGCGGTAGTACTGAAAGTATATGGTGAAATTCAAGCACCAAGGACATACATCTTCAACAATCTGGCAGATCTTAATTTTCACCTATGGATTAATAACAGCTGTGTACACTAGGCTAAAATAATGTCTACTAGACACAGGCTTCTGAAGGCAGATACAGCAGTCTGAACTAAGTACCATCACCATACTGAGAAAGTGAGAGTCCTCTCTCCCCAGCCATGATGACACAGAAGGATATATATATATATATCTTGGAAAATTCTCTCTGTTCATAAGCCAGGAATAAATCTGTGTGGGGGGAGGTGTGGACAGTACTCACCTCTGTCATCTCCTGCAGCAGGGTGACCAGTGTGTCCGTAGGGGAGATGTGGACAGTGCGTAGCTCCTTCATGTTGTGGATGGACTCCCCACCGAGGATGTCCACCGTGGACGGCATGTAGCTGGAGTCGCTGGGGTCCACCCGCATGTACAGCCGGTTGATGAGGATGTCTGGCTGCATCTCCAGGCGGATCCAGTGCTGAGGGAAGGGAAGTTACATGGTACTGGGCTATTGTTAAAGCTAAGTAAAATCTAAATATTTCTTACATTTGTACACTTATCCTGCATTACTCCATAATGTATTTACTGCTTTCTTTTCACAGACAAAACAAAGCTGTGTGAGTTCGAATTATATAGGTGACAACTGAAGCCTACATTTGGGGGAGTTACCTTTCCTTGAGATCCGGAACTCTGCCAGTATCCGCTGTTTCCGTCGATGAGCTTGGAGGCCTGGTTGTCCCGGGAGGACACGTGGATGGTCTTGCAGCACATGTGCCAGTTGTCCACTAGAGATCCGCTGGCGACGCGCGGCGTGGGTCGATGCTGCTTCCCTGGCTTCCCCACGTACACCGGCTCACCACCTGGGGAACATACAACACTGTGAGTCCCACATCCTCATCAACGACTGCGTCACACACAACGACAACACCATGACTCCCACATCCTCACCAACGACTGCGTCACAATGTGACACAATCCACACCATCAGGTCACAGTGACACACATTCAGGTCATGATGACACAATCCACACATTCAGGTCACAGTGACACACAATCCACACATTCAGGTCATGATGACACACAATCCACACCATCAGGTCACAGTGACACACAATCCACACACTCAGGTCACAGTGACACACAATCCACACATTCAGGTCATGATGACACACAATCCACACCATCAGGTCACAGTGACACACAATCCACACCATCAGGTCACAGTGACACAATCCACACCATCAGGTCACAGTGACACACAATCCACACCATCAGGTCACAGTGACACACAATCCACACCATCAGGTCACAGTGACACACAGTTCACACCATCAGGTCATGATGACACACAATCCACACTATCAATCACCATTAATTGACCTATTCACACAGGAGAGCCGATGACATCCTCATTTACAATCAGATACAAGGCTCACCTGGCTCTGTGATCCTGTTGAAGGGATGCTTGTGAGTCTTGTTGTTCTTGAAGCAATTTTCACAGAAGTCAAAATCATCACAGATTTTACACTTAAACCTTGGCCCTGTCAGCGGCGACACTTGGCAACCATTACATCTGAAACCACAAGAACAATCATACAGACACAGATCTCTGTGTGCATTATCCAAGGGACAACTTTGCGTCTAGATTACAGTATACCTAATACCTTCCTCCATTTTGGTAAGGGATCAGAGTACGCACCTTCCTTAGTAATGGTTTCTAAGATGTTCAGTCAACATTTTTAGCCGACTCCCTAAATTGAAATGGGGTCGGGAGACTTGACCCCTACAGAAGTCCTTTCAATGAAATGGTTTGTAAGTAAATGTCATTTTCAGTTGCCAAAGTTAACGAAAAATATTACATGTTTTGTAAGTAAATGTCATTTTCAGTTGCCAAAGTTAACGAAAAATACTACATGTTTTGTAAGTAAATGTCATTTTCAGTTGCCAAAGTTAACGAAAAATACTACATGTTTTGTTTCAAAACAGCTTCTGGGCAGGTCTAGATAAATCCCTTGATCTAGTAAGGATAACAATAATGATAATAATATAGACTGACGAGATTCTGGGATGTGTGCTGGGCACGAGTTCCATCTCCTCGATGACCCCGGTCCAGTGTGCCTGCTGCGGGAAGTCCACTGTGATATCGCGGCCGTTGGGGTTGATAGCTGGACATAAGAATACAAGCATTGAAGTCCCGACCTCACATTCAAAACGTCTGTTCACTAGTAATCAACAACTTTATCATGTTTATCAAGGATTGGTGAAAGGTGAGCTGAGGTGAAATGGGGTTTAACGTCCCGTCTAGTAATAATGCTTCATAATGCCTCATAATGCTGAGCACCAGGCAGAGTAACAACAAGTTACATTTTTTAACGTCTTTTGGGATGCCGCTGGGGACCAACCCAGGACCTTCCGCTCTCTGGGCGGACGCTCTACTAGACCACAGGGGCAGTCTTGTCGAATTTATACATCCAATCAAGATCCAACAACAGTGTATGGTACCAAGCCCATTGGGCTATCAAAGAATATATTCTGGTAGCCCAGAGTGTGAGTGAGTGAGTGAGTATGGCTTTACGCCGCTTTTAGCAATATTCCAGCAATATCACGGCGGGGGACACCAGAAATGGGCTTCACACATTGTACCCATGTCAGGATTTGAACCCGGGTCTTCGGCGTGACGAGAGAACGCTTTAACCACTAGGCTACCCGACCGCCCCCTGGTAGCCCAGAAGCTTGGATGATTCATGTAGGACTGTAGTTCATTTTACTGCAAACAATTTATGACTTATGTAATTTGATAATGATGGGTTATCATTCAAGAGTATGTGCCTAGCTTTGCAGACACATTGTTACACATGTATTTCTAAGAAAAACATTACTTCATTCTGTACAGTGAATCTGTATGGTAGGCAAAGACCCAGAATTTAGCAAAATATAATGATACAAATTTGAAGAATTGGATGCGAATCCCTCCGGGGCAGACATGTTACAACAGGGTGCAAGTGTACCTGTTACAGTCCCTACACTGCCGTGTGTGACGGACCCCCACTTGTAGGTTGGTGTGGACACGGATGGCTTCACTCGCACCTTGTCGCCAACCTTGATATTCTGACTACCAACTGAAATTAAGAATATAATCTATTCATTATGTGCTCAAAAGTAGGTGTTTTCAAAACAAACAAAACATAAAAAGGTTCAACAACTTATATCAAAGAAATTGATAAATAATTCAGAAACAATTCACAAATTTAACAACAGGAGAATTAACTGTAACAGATTGGAAACAAACCTATTGCAAACATAACAAAGACAAACAAAGTGCTGGATGAAATGCCATGGTTGTGAAAGGAGGAAGGGGAAATTAATAGAATCAAGAACTGATCCAAATAGGGTCCAGGTCGGGTCCAGGTCAGAGAAGGTCAGATCCAGGTCAGGTTAATGTTGGGTCCAGGTCAGATTCAGGTCAGGTCTATGTCAGAACCAGGTCCAGTCAGGTCCAGGTCAGGTCTAGGTCAGATCCAGGTCAGGTCCAGGTCAGATTCAGGTCAGGTCTAGGTCAGGTCCAGGTCAGGTTTAGGTCAGGTCTAGGTCAGATCCAGGCCAGATCCAGGCCAGATCCAGGTCAGGTCCAGGTCAGATCTTGGCGAGGTCCATGTTGGGTCCAGGCCAGGTTCAGGTCAGTGCAATCAGATGCAGTTTGGGTCCAGGTCTGACCAAGGTCAGTGTATGTCAGGTCCAGATCGGGTGCAGGTCAGGTCCGAACGGGTTCATGTCGGGGTCAGGTGAAACTGATTCACTCCACAAAGTAATCTGAGCCCTGTAGAATAGCCCAGCTGAAAATACTCAACTTCACAAGGACAGCTGCAGACTTGAATAACATAAATCCCTGGCCCAATATTTCAGATACTTGTCTTTACAATTATTGGACTCAAATACATATTGGTCCCACTTAACCCAAACATATTCCACACCAATCAGAACTCCATAATTAACATTGGCTTAGTCCCAGGGCTGTGGAGGTAGTGATCCAGCAGGCGTGGCAGTTGTGGCAGTTGTGGGCGGTGCAATGACACCATGTTGGGGAGGGGGAACTGGGCGTGTGCTGGTGCAGCAACAGAAGACAGTCTCCACTTACACTCTGTGCGGTTACCTGACGTTATGTTAGTGAAGCCCAGGAGCTCCACGTGGATGTAGCGCACCCAGTACGTCCCGTTCTTCCTCTGCCAGTCCGCCTGGATGTTCAGGTCATGGAGGCCATCGCGGTCAAGCTGAAGCACAACAACCAATGTATATGAAGAGTGACATGTGTCAATAGAAGAAGCGTGAAGACGTATCAGACCTGTTTCCCCCTTGTGAGTGAGTGAGTATTGTTTTACGCCGCTTTTAGCAATATTCCAGCAATATCATGGCGGGGGACACGAGAAATGGGCTTCACACATTGTACCCATGTGGGGAATCCAGATCTTCGGCAAGAATAGCAAACACTTTACAACTAGGCTACCCTACCACCCCTGTTTCCCCCTTACTTGCCATACCAGGAGTTAACTAAGAATTCAGTTACTTGTCAGAAGTTGTTATTACCAGTGCAAGGGAAGTCAATCTCACACACTTCACAATGAAGAACAGTCCCTTCTTTGATGCAGTAAGACATAGCCAGATCTCAAGGTATGAATCCGTGTATCACTGTGTTGAATTCACATGCAGTCTTAGCCTTAGTTGACATCAACTGACCAAGGTCGTCAACCTTTTGTTAGGCTATTCATTTTACCCCTAGGGCTTTACAAGATTTTCACAACTGGCCAATCAGATTCCATGTCGCGTAATGATTCAAGTTTGCACCGAAGTTCTGGAGCTTGTTACAGCTGAACGTAAATAGGTGAGGTGAGGTGAGGTGAGGTGAGGTGAGGTGAGGTGAGGTGAGGTGAGGTGAGGTGAGGTGAAATTGAGTTTTATGTCGCGTCCAAGATTACTGCACTTATATAGCGATGTGCACGCATGTATTTGTGTGTGTGTGTGTGTGCTTATACTAGTCCATATTGATGCCGAGTTATAGTGCTAGCCTACTGAGATATCATGCTGTAGTTTAACATGAATACCCCACTCAGACACAGTATACTGACTCTGAGCTGACCAGTCCAGGCAGCATAACAACAAGTACCATCTTTTAAAGTCTTTTGGTATGACACAGCTGGGATCAAACCCCAGACTTTCCGCTTCTAGGCGGACGCTCTGCCACTAGACCACCGAAGTGGTCGAACGTAAACAGGAAGCTGGTACTCACTTTGATGACTTTTCCGATGTCGCCTTCATGAACTTCCTCGTATGTGCGACAGCACCGGACCATCATTCCCACCTGGATGTGGTCGCGGACAAACACGGCGTACTCATCGTTGCTCAGGAAGTCAGTGCGCTTCTTGAAGGGTGTGGGAGCCCCGGCTGCACCGCCTCGGTCGGACGGCAGGAACTGGAAAATACATCAGCTTACACCAATGACAGTGAAGATATGTGTCATGCCCGAGCGAGCGAGTGAGTGAGTGAGTGAGTGAGTGAGTGAGTGAGTGAGTGAGTGAGTGAGTGTGTGTGTGGTGAGTGTGTGGTGAGTGTGTGAGTGAGTGAGTGAGTGAGTGAGTGAGTGAGTGTGTGGTGAGTGAGTGAGTGAGTGAGTGAGTGAGAGAGTGAGTGAGTGAGTGTGGTTTTACGCCGCTTTAAGCAATATTCCAGCAATACCACGGCGGGGGACACCAGAAATAGGCTTCACACATTATACCCATGTCAGGAACCGAACCTGGGTCTTTGGCGTGACGAGCGAAAGCTTTAACCACTAGGCTACCTGACCGCCCCTTCATGCCCAAGACAATAATATTGCAGAAGTAAGTGAATAGAGTCTGAAACATTTGTGACAGCATTTCCGTCACATCCTAGTTTTAGACTTTGGTGAAACACCTGAGCATGAGTGAGTTAGTGAGTTTCGGTTTTAGAACTTCACTAAATGAAAAGTATTTAGATTATGTCAAGGAACGATCTTCAAGTGAAAGACAAGCATTATTACAACAAAGACAGGCAAAAACCTGCATAAAGTCTGCTGCTGCTGAAGTCCTTTGAAATAACATGTGTACAAGACTCACATCATATGTGTCAAAGTCATCAAAGTCCTCGGACATGGAGTCACTCTCAGAGTATCCATCGATGGAGGATAGACTGTCCGTGTCCGACTCTTCCTGGCCTGGAACCTCCTGGTGCTCGATCAGCCAGCTCACCAGCGCCTCGGCACTCCGAGAATCGGTCGAGCTGAGGGCTATACAAAACAAATAGAATATTCATGTGTTGTTGACTTGATTACAGGACCAATGAAGATGGAAAGGCCTCGGTGCTTAGTGTAAATTAATGCAGTGTTTGTTTGTTTGCTTGTTAATACCACACTCAGCAATATCCTAGCTATTTGATGGTGGTCTGTACATAAATTAAATCTGGACCAGAAAATCCAGTGATTGATGTCATGAACATCGATCAAGGCCATTGGGATACGATAGGTGGCTTCACCACCTGATCCCATTAGACGCCTCTTACGGCAAGCATGGGTTGCTGAAGACCAATTCTATCCCTGATCTTCATGTAGCCATTATTGCATTGAATGCAATGTTAAATACTGTATTTTCTGGAGTACAGTGTGCACCCAAGCATAATGTGCACCCCACTCTAGGGGATGCAGTACTTTGGAAAAACATTTTTTTCAAGAATGATTCCCAGTATTTAGATCCTCCTAATTTAAAAAAAATATAAACTATAAAGCATTCCAATTTAACCAGTTTTATCCCCAATACACTTCTATTTGTTTGGAATTCTGGATGAATCACTGCATTCCCGTTGTCTGCCCAGAGCGAAATAGGACTTCGTACCTCCATTGCCAATGACCTTGATGGCAAACTCCACGTTCTTCCTGGGGAAGCCCATCTCTATGATTTGCTGCACCAGGGATGATGGAGGGGGCTGTGAGGGCCTCATCTTGCGTGGGCGTGGCACCCTGGGTACAGGGGCTGCAACCGGCGGGGTGTTGAAGGAGGTGATGGACGATATCCCAGAAGCCATCATCTGGTCCTCGTCAGAGCTGGTGTCTTCGTCGGAGTCGCACGGCTGCCCTGCTTCAGCAGTCAGATACTGACATGTGGCCAGTGCAGCTGCCTGTAGCAAGAAAACACAGTCAGTTGTCACAAAGCAAGAGAAACAGAATGAGATAAGAGGATTTACAGATTATCTGTCCCTTGTGGTTGGTTGGTTGGTTTGTTGTTTTACACCGCACTCAGCAATATTCCAGCTATATGACGGCGGTCTGTAAATAATCGAGTCTGGACCAGACAATCCAGTGATTGATATCATGAGCATCCATCCACGCAATTGGGATCAATGACATGCTTCAATCAAGTCAGCGAGCCTGACCACCTGATCCCGTTAGTCGCCTCTTACAACAAGCATAGTCGCCTTTTACGGCAAGTATGGGTTACTGAAGACCTATTCTACCCCTTGTGGTTGGTTGGTTGGTTTGTTTTTTTAACCCCACACACAGCAATATTCCACCTATATGACAGGGGGCTGTAAATAACTGAGTCTGGACCAGACAATCCAGTGATTGACATCATGAGCATTGATCCACACAATTAGGATACAATGACACGCATCAACCATGCATGGGTTGCTGAAGATCTATTCTTCCACAGATCTTCGTTTTGTGAGAAAATGAAGGTAAATGTGTTTCCTTATTTGGCACATAAAATCGTTAGTGACAACATAAACATAATGCTTGTACATGCCGGAGAAGTAAGCCGGCCATCTTGGCGGACAAGTACGTGTCTGGCCAATCACACATCTAGATTCCATAATGAGAACTGACCTCCATCTCTTCCCTGCTGAACATGGCCTTGAGAGGCGAGGGCTGAGTGGCAGCCATCAACAGCTGCTGCATCAGCGACGTCCCTTGTGATGTTTCCGTGTTCACATCCTCCTCGATAACGCCGAAGCCGTCGTGGAGAAACTCACTTGCGACCGGCTGAGACAAGATCTGGCGCAGGTTATCTTGACGACTGAACAGGACCCGCGCCGCCCGGAGAAGACTAAGCCTGATCTGCTGCTTCCGCAACTCTTTTGGGTTGATGGTGAATCCTCCTGGCACAGGGTGAAGGGGGGCATGGGTTAGTCATCACCATCATTTCAACGAGGTATTAGCAGTGATAGGAAAGATTTTATTCAGTGATGATTTTCTGTTCTTTACAAACTCTATGATGAGAGGAAAATCAGGTTATTTATGGTTGTATAAATAAATAATGTTACAAAGGGCAGTCAAAATGTTCAACACAACAAAAGCTGGGTAAAGATGACTGACAGTGTCCCGGACACAGACTCTACAGAACCTACCGACTGACGTTGTCCCGGACACTGACTCTACAGAACCTACCGACTGATGTTGTCTTGACATAGACTCTACAGAACCTACGGACTGACGTTGTCCCGGACACAGACTCTACAGAACCTGCCGACTGACGTTGTCCCGGACACTGACTCTACAGAACCTACCGACTGACGTTGTCCCGGACACTGACTCTACAGAACCTACCGACTGATGTTGTCTTGACATAGACTCTACAGAACCTACCGACTGACGTTGTCCCGGACACAGACTCTACAGAACCTGCCGACTGACGTTGTCCCGGACACTGACTCTACAGAACCTACCGACTGACGTTGTCCCGGACACTGACTCTACAGAACCTACCGACTGACGTTGTCCCGGACATAGACTCTACAGAACCTACCGACTGACGTTGTCCCGGACACTGACTCTACAGAACCTACCGACTGACGTTGTCCCGGACACTGACTCTACAGAACCTACCGACTGATGTTGTCCCGGACACAGACTCTACAGAACCTACCGACTGATGTTGTCCCGGACACAGACTCTACAGAAACTACGGACTGACGTTGTCCCGGACACAGACTCTACAGAACCTACGGACTGACGTTGTCCCGGACACAGACTCTACAGAACCTACCGACTGACGTTGTCCCGGACACAGACTCTACAGAACCTACCGACTGACGTTGTCCCGGACACAGACTCTACAGAACCTACCGACTGACGTTGTCCCGGACACAGACTCTACAGAACCTACCGACTGACGTTGTCCCGGACACAGACTCTACAGAACCTACCGACTGATGTGGTCCCGGACACAGACTCTACAGAACCTACCGACGGACGTTGTCCCGGACACAGACTACAGAACCTACGGACTGACGTTGTCCCGGACACTGACTCTACAGAACCTACCGACTGACGTTGTCCCGGACACAGACTCTACAGAACCTACGGACTGACTTTGTCCCGGACACTGACTCTACAGAACCTACGGACTGACGTTGTCCCGGACACTGACTCTACAGAACCTACCGACTGACGTTTTCGGACACAGACTCTACAGAACCTACCGACTGATGTTGTCTTGACATAGACTCTACAGAACCTGCCGACTGACGTTGTCCCGGACACAGACTCTACAGAACCTACTGACTGATGTTGTCTTGACATAGACTCTACAGAACCTACTGACTGATGTTGTCTTGACATTGACTCTACAGAACCTACCGACTGATGTTGTCTTGACATAGACTCTACAGAACCTACTGACCGATGTTGTCTTGACATAGACTCTACAGAACCTGCCGACTGACGTTGTCCCGAACACAGACTCTACAGAACCTACCGACTGATGTTGTCCCGGACACAGACTCTACAGAACCTACCGACTGATGTTGTCTTGACATAGACTCTACAGAACCTACTGACTGATGTTGTCTTGACATAGACTCTACAGAACCTACTGACTGATGTTGTCTTGACATTGACTCTACATAACCTACCGACTGATGTTGTCCCGGACACAGACTCTACAGAACCTACCGACTGACGTTGTCCCGGACACAGACTACAGAACCTACGGACTGACGTTGTCCCGGACACTGACTCTACAGAACCTACCGACTGACGTTGTCCCGGACACAGACTCTACAGAACCTACGGACTGACGTTGTCCCGGACACTGACTCTACAGAACCTACCGACTGATGTTGTCCCGGACACAGACTCTACAGAACCTACCGACTGATGTTGTCTTGACATAGACTCTACAGAACCTGCCGACTGACGTTGTCCCGGACACAGACTCTACAGAACCTACTGACTGATGTTGTCTTGACATAGACTCTACAGAACCTACTGACTGATGTTGTCTTGACATTGACTCTACAGAACCTACCGACTGATGTTGTCTTGACATAGACTCTACAGAACCTACTGACCGATGTTGTCTTGACATAGACTCTACAGAACCTGCCGACTGACGTTGTCCCGGACACAGACTCTACAGAACCTACCGACTGATGTTGTCCCGGACACAGACTCTACAGAACCTACCGACTGATGTTGTCTTGACATAGACTCTACAGAACCTACTGACTGATGTTGTCTTGACATAGACTCTACAGAACATACTGACTGATGTTGTCTTGACATAGACTCTACAGAACCTACTGACCGATGTTGTCTTGACATAGACTCTACAGAACCTGCCGACTGACGTTGTCCCGGACACAGACTCTACAGAACCTACCGACTGATGTTGTCCCGGACACAGACTCGATGCTGCCAGTGCTGGTGGCTAGTGGAGCACGGGGGATTTCCTCCTTTCGCTCTGTACGGAAGCCGGCACCGGCCAGACTGACAAGTTTAGCCCAGCTGGTCAGCAGACTCCCAGTCAGAGGCAGCCTCTCGATGCTGAACTCCACCAGGGGGAGCTGCAACAACCCACAGGGAGAATGTGAATGAGTGAGAGACAGTGAGAGTGAGGGAGAGAATGAGTGACAGTGAGTGTGGGAGGGAGTGAAAAATGCGAATGAAAGTGAAAAGAGAGAGAGCAAGAGAGAGAGTGAGAGTGTGACAGCGACAGCAAGAGTGAAAGATTAAGAGAGAGTGAGTGAAAGAATAAATGAGAGTTGGTGAGAGTGATAGAATGAAAGGAAGAGAGAGAGATGGAGTGGTACCATCAGTGACTGCTAAATTCGATGCATTAGTGCTCCTTGGAATTTTAAACTTTTATTGACTTTCATTGATAAATTTGATATCGAGCATATCTATATACTGACTTCATGGAGATTGAGTTTCTCCTAACTTCACATCGGTTAGATCACCAATGATGGCAGCTGCTTGGGGACTTACCGACGTGAGCTCCGTGAGACGACATACTTGAGCCGAGCCATCGTGAAACTGGACGTGTATCTTTCCTTTGGGTGTGATCTTTGATATTGTGCCAACTCCGTAACCATCATGAAGGACGAGACCCCCAAGCCGAGGTCGGTTGTCCACCCCGCCTATCATGGCCAGAACGGCCATCACTATGGCGACAGTCTCCTGGTCCTGGCCCAGTCGGCTGTCATCACTCGGTGGCTGGGAAGAACAGCAAGACGTGTTACACAGAGATACAGAGTTTTGTTGGTTTGTTGTTTAACGCCACACTCAACAATATTCCAGCAATATGACGTCAGTCTGTAAATAATCTAGTCTGAACCAGACAATTGAGTGATTGACATCATGGCCATCGATCCATGCAATTGGGATACGATGACATGCATCAACCAAGTCAGCAAGCCTGACCACATGATCCTGTTAGTTGCTTCTTACGACAAGCATAGTCGCCTTTTACAGCAAGCATGACGTACTGGGGACCTGTTCTACCCCCAAAGTTTTCTTAGATTTTAACTAACAGAATCAACAGACATAAATATTACTGCCAGCAAGAGAGATGAGTGGGATTTTATGTATGGTACCGGTTGGGTTGGTCTGTCTTGTATGAGGTCCACGATGCGTGGCAGCTGACGTTCGATGAACTTGTTGATGTGGATGTTCCATGTGTCGAGGGAGTGTAGCTTCCTCAGCAGAGCAACAATCTCCTCCGTGATTGTGCTGGTGTAGGACGCTGTGATGGACACTGGGGCTCGTACCTGCTTCCGACATGGTCGTGGGCTCTCATCTGTGAGAAGGAAAATGTTGGGATTTGAGTCATTTTGAAATGTATTTGAGCATCAGTATCTGATGGACAGAAGTGGGAGGAAAGAGGTGCAGATGCCAGACAATTTCCTGCGTGGTGAAACCCACAACGGGTATGGTGCTGACAAACCAAGAATGGCAATCAGAGCAAATCTGGAATCTAAACTCACAATCATAGAATTCAGCAGTACTGCATGGTCCATATTGACTTCAGCAGTATTGTAGATCCAATACTAGCTTCAGCAGTACTGCATGGTCCATATTGGCTTCAGCAGTATTGTAGATCCAATACTAGCTTCAGCAGTACTGCATGGTCCATATTGACTTCAGCAGTACTGCATGGTCCATACTGACTTCAGCAGTACTGCATGGTCCATACTGGCTTTAGCAGTACTGTATGGTCCATATTACTTCAGCAGTACTGTATGTCCAATACTGGTTTCATCCATCATTCATTACAAATCATTTATATGACTACAAAGCTGGAAATATCCTGGTACAAAAGAAAACGTGAGAGTGCATTACATACAAGGCAGATTTATGTATGCAAAGGAAGTACATCCCTATGGCAACAGGGGAGACAACTTACACTGTGAGATGAGAGTGGGGTCTGTTGAGCACGCTGTCAGCACAGAGCCCAGCAGTTTGAAGAGGCGATGGATGATGTCGTTGATGCGGGTGATGTCCATGCTGTGGTCCCAGGAAGGTAAGACAGTGCGGAGGAGCTTCAGGGTCAGAATCTGCAAAGAGTTCAATCTAAGTCTTTGAATTTCAGTCATATCAGATTCATGTGGGAGTAAATCCTGCAGTTCTCAGACGTTTATCTACAATGTAATCAGTACGAACGGTGATTCAAACCCAGGATCACAAGGCAGATTAATGGATGCAAAAACATACGTCTGTTTGAATAAATAAAACTGCTTCAATTGCAACAGCTGCAGGTGTCTCAGATTGAGAGACCCAGGTCAATCCTTATCCTAAATAAACATTCACAAACTGATCAGGATCCTAAATGCCTTTGTGAGAAATGTCCTGGGTATGGGCACTCAGTTACACAGGCAACTACTGACCAACTCAACTGGTCAGGTGTCTCGGCACAGACTGATCTAGTATACAGGCAACTACTGACCAACTCAACTGGTCAGGTGTCTCGGCACAGACTGATCCAGTATAAAGGCAACTACTGACCAACTTAACAGGTCAGGTGTCTCGGCACAGGCTGATCTAGTATACAGGCAACTACTGACCAACTTAACAGGTCAGGTGTCTCGGCACAGACTGATCCAGTATAAAGGCAACTACTGACCAACTCAACTGGTCAGGTGTCTCGGCACAGACTGATCCAGTATACAGGCAACTACTGACCATCTCAACTGGTCAGGTGTCTCGGCACAGACTGATCTAGTATACAGGCAACTACTGACCAACTCAACTGATCAGGTGTCTCGGCACAGACTGATCCAGTAGACAGGCAACTACTGACCAACTTAACAGGTCAGGTGTCTCGGCACAGACTGATCCAGTATAAAGGCAACTACTGACCAACTTAACAGGTCAGGTGTCTCGGCACAGACTGATCCAGTATACAGGCAACTACTGACCAACTCAACTGGTCAGGTGTCTCGGCACAGACTGATCCAGGACACAGACAACTACTGACCAACTCAACTGGTCAGGTGTCTCGACACAGACTGATCTAGTATACAGGCAACTACTGACCAACTCAACTGGTCAGGTGTCTCGACACAGACTGATCCAGGACACCGGCAACTACATGTGACAATCCACTATAGAACAGCTATGTAATTATCCAGGTTATCCCTCACCTGTCTGTAGACATTCTTGACATGCTTCACGCCCTGCTCCTCCTCCAGGATCTTCATCAGCAGGGAGATCCACCTGGGTGTGCTGAGAGCCTGGCTGATCACCTGCCCCGTTGCGATGCTGCGCACAAACCCCAGGCTGCACCAGTTGAAGTGCTGCTCGCTGGCAATCTGGATCGCTGTTGAGTTGACATCTAGAGACCAGAAAGTAGCAGTATTGAAACCAGCCCCTTAATACACATAAAACACACTGAAAACTTAATTAACATCTAGTACAATCTTCTTCCCACCCTCCCTGGTGACACATGGCAAGTTCCACAACATACGTTCTAATGTATGTAGACAAACATGCTTCCTTATCTACATGATTTCAACCTTACATGGTTAAATTCCTGGGCCATGTTCCACAGGTTAGGTGAGGTGAAATAGGGTTTAACATCATGCCAAGATTATTGAACTAATATAGCGACTGGAAAACTAAAATGTCAAATTTAAAAATTGCAGAAAATATTGGTATGAAAATTATGGGACATATTCAAATGACTGACAGATTTTTCTTAGACTTGCAAGCTTTGGGTTTCTGACATGACTGAATGCTCATCATTTTACAAGTGATCTTACCAAAATTAATATACACAATGAATCAAATTAAGAATAAAATTCATGAAATGGATTAAAAATTCAAAGGCAGAATTACACTGAAGACTTTTTGTCACCTAACAGCGCAATAACAGGACTGACTGGCATACGTCAATATGGAGTTGTTGCCCTGCAATATGCAATGTTCAGTGTTTGCAGTAATATTTTTTTTGGGGGGGAAATATAAAACTCACTGTCGAAATGCATAAACATCACTCTACAAAACTTTTTTAAATTGTGCATTATACACACTAGAACACGGTACTCACTGAGACCATAGTTACAGCCACAGTCCACAACGTTCCTCATGAGGCCACACAGAGACCCTATAGCCTCCTTCTGAGCACGGTCGGAGTGGATTCCTGCACTCACAGACAGGGAGCACAGCAGCCATATCGTTGACCGTCGCACCAAGGACGTCGGGTGTTTGCTCTCGGGTTTGCACTTCTCTGTAATGAGGTAAGACATCTCCACCAATGTCAGGGATTCAGTTTACTAATGGAGTATGAATGGTTATGAAGGTGTGACAGATGAAGGGGTGAGGGATGAGTGAGTATGGTTTTACGCCGCTTTTAGCAATATTCCAGCAATATCACGGCAGGGGACACCAGAAATGGGTGTGCCAGATGAAGGTGTGAGGAGATGTGAGAGATGAAGTGTGAGAGATGAAGTGTGAGAGATGAAGTGTGAGAGATGAAGGTGTGAGAGATGAAGTGTGAGAGATGAAGTGTGAGAGATGAAGTGTGAGAGATGAAGGTGTGAGGAGATGAAGTGTGAGAGATGAAGGTGTCAGGAGATGAAGTGTGAGAGATGAAGTGTGTGAGATGAAGGTGTGAGAGATGAAGGTGTGAGAGATGAAGTGTGAGAGATGAAGGTGTGAGAGATGAAGTGTGAGAGATGAAGGTGTGAGAGATGAAGGTGTCAGGAGATGAAGTGTGAGAGATGAAGTGTGAGAGATGAAGGTGTGAGAGATGAAGGTGTGAGAGATGAAGGTGTGAGAGATGAAGGTGTGAGAGATGAAGTGTGAGAGATGAAGGTGTGAGAGATGAAGGTGTCAGGAGATGAAGTGTGAGAGATGAAGTGTGTGAGATGAAGGTGTGAGAGATGAAGGTGTGAGAGATGAAGTGTGAGAGATGAAGTGTGAGAGATGAAGGTGTGAGAGATGAAGTGTGAGAGATGAAGAGTGAGAGATGAAGTGTGAGAGATGAAGGTGTCAGGAGATGAAGTGTGAGAGATGAAGTGTGAGAGATGAAGTGTGTGAGATGAAGGTGTGAGAGATGAAGGTGTGAGAGATGAAGTGTGAGAGATGAAGTGTGAGAGATGAAGGTGTGAGAGATGAAGTGTGAGAGATGAAGAGTGAGAGATGAAGGAGACTGCAAGGTGACCCACCTGACTCAAGTTCCTCTTCATCTTCTTCATCATTGTCCGGGAGTTCCGGAGGCTCGGCCAACTTGAGGTCATACTTGCCCTCCTTGCCCATCCGGTAGCTGTTGGTGCTCCCCGTGTCCCACTGCACCCTGATCCAGCCGTCCTCCCCGAGCTCCCCGATCACACGACCCAGCCCCGGCGGTGGGCCATCCTACATGCAGCAAGCATTAACGAGTCAGACTGCTATTTCAGTTTAGGATGAGTAGAGTCCATAGTCAAAATTGTTACTGCTACGTCATGACAACAATGAATAAAAATTCAAAGTTTTTGTTCAACATTCAGTTGTCATTTCAGTTTTGATAGTAATTATGAGTTTTAATATTACAGCTATATTGTTCAATTGTCCTTCCAGCTTTAATTTTAACTTAAAACTAACCTGGTCCCCCCACTTCCAGTCAACACCTCTCATGACCCGAGTCCCGATCTTCATCATGGCGGCCAACTCGGCTCCAGACAGCGGCATCTGCTGCGTCTGCTTCTTGACCTTCTGTTCCTCCGGCACAGTGCACACCACCATGTTGTTGTCCGGGATCAGCAAGTCTGGGTCAGGACCTGCACACAGGATGAACATCTCACTTGCAGGCAGTGCCATTGCCAACCAAGTTTACTATCATCTCAATGTAGGACACACACCATGAGTCGGTTGTAGACCAGTTTACGGCATGTCATAAACATGACATGGCTGTTTGACAGCTGATGTCGTTACAGTGCTCTTAACAACTATATTGTCGGGGGTTTAGTCATGATTCGGGTGGGGATGACAATCTAGTAAATAATTATTGTGGCCTTATCTAGACAAGAAGTAATACAGAATCATCTTCAAAATTATATAAAATTGTTTTGTTACTGAAAATATGTTACATCATTACCAAAGGATAAATAATTAGTAAAAAACTCTCCAGTCTGAGTATGCTCTGTGTCACTTACCTGCAAGCCTCAGTATGCTCTGTGTCAGGGCGAGGACTCCGCTGTTAAGCAGCAGACTGAGACTACTGGACTGGTGTTCTGCCATCAGAATGCCCAGTGTTGCCAGGATGAACCGCGCCACAGGCAGCGCTCCAAGACTCAGCCGCTCCTGTAGAGGAACCTGAACATTGCAGTCAAAGACCTGACACAACTCACACTTACACCACATACATGGAACAAGAATACTGGACAGAACTGCCAGGATGGATGTTGCTTTGCACTGCAGTCAGCAATATTTCAGATCTCAATAGCATTTCCTGCAACACTACACATGTTTTATATGTAGAGACTAAGATAATCGCATGTATTTGCTTCATAAAATAAGCCATAAATTGCAATCAGCTCTTCACATGCTGTACAATGATTCAGTTATAAGGTACCCAACAAAACAACTTGAAAGAATTATTATGCGAGGATCAGAAGAGTGAGTGAGTGAGTATGGTTTTATGCCGCTTTTAGCAATATTCCAGCAATATCACGGCGGGGGACACCAGAAATGGGCTTCACACATTGTACCCATGTCAGGATTCAAACCCGGGTCTTCGGCATGACGAGCGAACGCTTTAACCACTTGGTTACCCGACCGCCCCTGAGGATCAGAAGAAATCATGTCTGACACTATTCTGCCTCGACAGTAAACCAAAGGACTAATTTGCCACAGAGATCCCTACAAGAGTCTGCTGGGAGCGTCAGCTGGATAGAAGGGTACAATACAGTCCTGCAACCCATACAGTGTCATAATACAGCTTGCATTGAAAATTTACATCACATCTACAATGATACCAAACAACAGACTTGTGGGGCTGGGGGCTGAGGTTCAGGCAATCTCAATGATGCTAGACATCACCTGATAATCAAGTTCACACAAAGATGTTCCTTTCACAGAAATGTGGAATTTCTGACTCCCCACAGTTGTGGACAAAACGAAACATAACTGCTGAAACTGAAATGCTGACAATACATAACCCAGTGTGAAATACTTGACAACACATGTTCTGCCTACCTTGGTGTTGTCCTGAGCTGGTTGGGAAGGGTTAACTCCCTTTGCCTTGAAGGTCATGTCAGCGGAAATGACACAGGATCTAAGTTCACGAATGGCCCAGCGGTACAGTTCCGCAAATGTCATCTCCAGTAGGATCCGATCACAGGGTGGGATGAGCTTGACATTGGCCAGACAGTGGGGGAGGGGGGTGTTGAACTTGCGCCCCACCGTCAGGAGTCCCTGCCAGCCACACAGGACAGCGTACTTGACGGAGGGCACCAGGTGGTCCTTGTGGACCAGACACAGCATGTTCTGGATGCCCTTCAGTCGTAGCTCAGCCCTCGCAACCTGCAAGTATAGGGCCGATGGGTTACCTTAAGCATTTCATAAGCTGTGTCATGTTTGGTAAAGTAAATACAAAGTATTTTGTTATAAATAATACAATACAGTATTTACATTATATCAAAACAAACTGATTTGTTTTTCCATTATTTTGCAATTATTCGAAAAAATGGAAGTGGCAATTGAAAAATACATGGCTGAAATGGTCGCACATTATTCTGAACTCATAACTCGATTTATAGGTAACATTTACAGGAAAAATCGTATGATTTATTTTATATCGCAAGGCTTATTTTCATGATTTTTGTATCATAATCATAATTACAGCCCGCTCCTCAATTTGAACTGAAATACTTATAGCAAATATTCAATTTATAGCTGTTATAGATTGCATTTTATTGTCACAGGCTGAATATTAAACCATAATATTTCTTTAAACATTGTAAGCATGGTGGTTGCTGACAAAGTGTTACCTGATAGTGCAGAGATCTCCGCAGCTTGTCGATGTCTATTGGGTGTTCGTACATGACAAACTCGATGATCTTGTTAACCAGTGGCATCTCGGGATGGGCCCCGGTCAGTCGCTGACGCAGCGCCTTCAGCCTCTGGGTGCTGGTCACTGCACTGACCACGTGATCCCAGGGGTCAGTCTGCAACAGGGCAAGAGGGTGAGTGAGTTTGACAGCAATGTAAAATAGCGGCTGTCATCAAGTGGGAGTGAGTGGGTGAGTGGGGGATCGAGAGTGAGTGAGTGGTTGTGTTTGGGAGTGAGTGGAGGGGTGGGTGGGTGAGTGAGTGGAGGGGTGGGTGTTCGAGAGTGAGTGGCTGTGTGGGTGAGTGAGTGAGTGAGTGGGTGAGTGGGGGATCGAGAGTGAGTGAGTGGAGGGGCAGGTGTTCGAGAGTGAGTGGCTGTGTGGGTGAGTGAGTGAGTGAGTGGGTGAGTGGGGGATCGAGAGTGAGTGAGTGGTTGTGTTTGGGAGTGAGTGGAGGGGTGGGTGGGTGAGTGAGTGGAGGGGTGGGTGTTCGAGAGTGAATGGCTGTGTGGGTGAGTGAGTGAGTGAGTGGGTGAGTGGGGGATCGAGAGTGAGTGAGTGGTTGTGTTTGGGAGTGAGTGGAGGGGTGGGTGGGTGAGTGAGTGGAGGGGTGGGTGTTCGAGAGTGAATGGCTGTGTGGGTGAGTGAGTGAGTGAGTGGGTGAGTGGGGGATCGAGAGTGAGTGAGTGGTTGTGTTTGGGAGTGAGTGGAGGGGTGGGTGGGTGAGTGAGTGGAGGGGTGGGTGTTTGAGAGTGAGTTGCTGTGTGGGTGAGTGAGTAAGTGAGTGGGTGAGTGGCGGATCGAGAGTGAGTGGTTGTGTTTGGGAGTGAGTGGAGGGGTGGGTGAGTGAGTGACTGAGTGGGTGGGTGGGGGATCGAGTAAGGAGAGAGTGAGAGTGAATGGGTGGTCGAGTGAGTGAGTGAGTGAGTGAGTGAGTGAGTGAGTGAGTAGGGTGAACGGGTGAGGCCTGATAATTTATGGTATTGATGAGTATTACTAAAAATAGAAAGGGATTTACCCTCAAGTGGTATTCTCCAAACCTAACCCAATCTCCGCTTGTTGGAACCTCCTAACATTATTGTAGCAACATTTCCTGCAACTGTACCCTATGAACAATTTGGGATTTGGTAAGGTAATGAGTTGTCACCATGCCAGCATTAAACAGAATGGATGCTGGGCTCTAATAGACGTCAGGTTGATGCCTTGTGTGAAATTAACGTCTGGGCGTCTAATAGATGAAATGCAGTAACTACAAAGCAGTTTGTACTAGTGTTTGTTAGTTTGTTGTCTAACGCCGCACTCATGCATATGAAGGCGATCTGAAAATAATTGAGTCTGGACAAGACAATCAAGTGATCGACATCATGAGCATCAATCCATTAAATTGGGATATCATGTATCAACCAAGTAAGCAAGCCTGACCACCCGATCCCTTTAGTCGCCTCTTAAGGCAAGCATGGGTTCTTCAAGGGCGAGTTTGTACAAGAGTATTTTTCATTCTTGCTGATTTTACCTGTTTCAAAGGGGGGTGGGCTTTCTCCATCTCAGAATCAGAACCGAGCAGAGCATCTGGATCCAGGTCGAATCCCTCATCAAAACTGTGTTCTCTCTCCTGCATCTTCCCCACACCCGCCTCCTCCTCCTCACTCCCCTCCTGAGCCTCTGCTGCAGCTGTTGCCGACTTCTTCAGCTCAGCATTCACCTCTTCCTTCGCTGCGGTGGAGCCCCCAGCGGCCTGCAAGGTGTCCGTCTCGTCCTGGTCTCGCTCCTTGTCCTCCCTGGACTCGGCCAGACCTGTGGGTTATACACATCGAGTCAAAACCAGCCGTAACATTTTAAATATCAGTTGATTATTATGGCAAACTTATTTCAGCAAGTGCCCTTGTCAGGAATATGCCCAACAGTACTGTGGACAAAATAGTACCTTGGGGAGATATCTATGACAATGAACCCTTCTGCAATACCAAACAGTCCTGGGCCCACTTGCACAAAGCGATCTTAGCGCTACAACCATTGTAAGCCTTTGTTAAAGTATGGGAGTTACGGTCATCTTAGCGCTTAGATCGCTTTGTGCAAGTGGGCCCAGGTTACATCACAGGGTGAGTGAGTGAGTCACCAAGATTTTGATTTTACATAGTGAGCAGGGGTTGTGAACCACACAAGGCTAGTGTTTAACTAATGGCAAAAATATAGGGTTGGAGATTGGTCACAAAGTGTAGCCAAAAAAAAACAAGGACTGGCTGACTCAGAGTCAGTATGATGTGTCTGAGTTTGGTATTCGTGTCAAACTGCAGCATGGTGTCTAAAACCGGCAAAAGTCTGGACAAGTACAACAAGAGTTTGCCACTAACCTTGGCTATATCCCCAGCCCCTGTTGCAGAATTTATGACATAATTAAATCTAAACAAACCCTAACCTTTTTTAACACAGATGGAACTTGTCATGGAAATTGTAAAAAAACAGAAGAGCTTGGAACCTAAGTCCATCTTGTTGCCATGGAAACTAAAAAAATAAAAATTTCTAAAATTTCTAAATAGCAAAAGGCACCAGTTCAGCATGTACTTGACAGACCTGCAAAGTTTCATGAAAAAATATTGAACGGTTTTGAGTTATGCTCCGGAAACAAAACGTGACGGACATACGTACGGACGAACGGACGGAACCCGTTTCTATATCCCCCGCCAACTTTGTTGGGCAGGGGATAATCAGACACACACACACACATGCATGCATGAGTGAAATGATCTTGAATGCGGCAAACTCCATTTCACTTCACCTAAACCTCTGCATAAAGTCTATGCCAGCTGTTTGTTGAGAATTCCCTGACCAGAACACTCACGTTTAGACTTTTTCTTGTCCTCTAGGAACTTGGTTATGACTTCCCTCCAGCGAGGCAAAGACCTGAGCATCTTGGATCGGGCAAATGCATTAACTTCGTCACCGACAGCAGGTCGGAGTTCATTGAACAGAAAGTGGCACCTCTCGATGACAGGTGCACATACTTCCTTATACGACCGCCCCTGGTCTTGATGTGCCTGGGGGAGAACAAACATGGCATGAGTGAGTGAGTGAGTTGGGTTTAATGCCGCTTTTAACAATATTCCAGTTATATCACGTGTCAGCTTAATGTGGGAGGAAAGCCCGAAGTGATGCAGGTCTCAGAGGTTTACCACTTCGGTGAAACTCACGAGCACGGGTATGGTGCTGACAAACCTAGAAACATAATTGGGGCGAAACTGAGATTCGAACCCACAATCATAGGCTTCTGGCGTGCCCAAGGTATGCAACTCTACACAGCGAATCGCGGCGCCTTAGACGACTGGGCCACCCGTGCCCCCAAACATGGCATGAGACATTGAAACCTCCACTGTCTGCATGCTGGATGACAACCCTGGTGAGTATTGACAAGCCTGGACACTCCCGTCACACTCACTGAAGAGGAGTGAACTCAGAGCAAAAGGAATACAAGAGACATTATTCAACATATACAGAGGACTACCAGAATGTTCCATTCTTATATCAATAATGTGTTTGTTTGTTGTTGTACATCACACTCAGCAATATCATAAATTTATAATGGCGACTGATAAATAATTAAGATTTGAGAAGGAATCCAATTATTGAGACAAGCAATGATTCACACGATCTGGGTACGATGACATGCTATCAACCAAGTCACTGAGTGTAACGGCTCAATCTATTAAGTCACCTCTTATGACCAGGATATTCTAACCTGGAAGTCTGTGCCCAAACCTGATTACATCTCACCTTAATCAAGGCCTTCTTGGTCTGTGCGATGACCCTGCAGAGTTCCGCGAGAGACCTCGGCAGGCTGTGCTTGCTGCCATGCTCCCCCTGGCCGTGTTCAATGAGACCAAGGACGACATGGCCGAGATCGTGGTGCTTCAGTATCACTGCCATCAACAACCTGTCCACACAAACAGGATCACACTGTCACACAAACAGGATCACATTGTTACACAAACATGATCACATTCTTACTCAAACATGATCTCATTGTTACATAAACAGGATCATATTGTTACACAAACATGATCACATTGTTACACAAACATGATCACATTGTTACACAAACATGATCACACTGTCATACAAACATGATCACACTGTCACACAAACATGATCACATTGTCACACAAACATGATCACATTGTTACACAAACATGATCACACTGTCATACAAACATGATCACATTGTCACACAAACATGATCACACTGTCACACAAACATGATCACACTGTCACACAAACATGATCACACTGTAATACAAACATGATCACATTGTTACAATCATGATCACAATTATACACACACATGATCACACTGTCACACAATTTTACAGACATGATCACACTGTCACACAAACATGATCACACTGTCATACAAACATGATCACATTGTTACAATCATGATCACAATTATACACACACATGATCACACTGTCACACAATTTTACAGACATGATCACACTGTCACACAAAGATGATCACATTGTTACACAAACATAATTATGTTGCTACACAAAACATGATCACTGTCACACAAACACGATCAAAGTGTTCCACAAACATGATCACATTGGTACACAAACATGATCACACAGTTACACAAACATGATCACATTGTCACCCAAACATGATCACACTGTCACACAAACATGATCAAATTGTTACAAAAACATGATCACACTGTAATACAAATATGATCACATTGTTACAATCATGATCACAATTATACACACACATGATCACACTGTCACACAATTTTACAGACATGATCACACTGTCACACAAACATGATCACACTGTTATACAAACATGATCACATTGTTACAATCATGATCACAATTATACACACACATGATCACACTGTCACACAATTTTACAGACATGATCACACTGTCACACAAACATGACCACACTGTAATACAAACATGATCACATTGTTACAATCATGATTACAATTATACACACACATGATCACACTGTCACACAATTTTACAGACATGATCACACTGTCACACAAACATGATCACATTGTTACACAAACATAATTATGTTGCTACACAAAACATGATCACTGTCACACAAACACGATCAAAGTGTTCCACAAACATGATCACATTGGTACACAAACATGATCACACAGTTACACAAACATGATCACACTGTCACCCAAACATGATCACACTGTCACACAAACATGATCACATTGTTACAAAAACATGATCACACTGTAATACAAACATGATCACATTGTTACAATCATGATCACAATTATACACACACATGATCACACTGTCACACAATTTTACAGACATGATCACACTGTCACACAAACATGATCACACAGTTACACAAACATGGTCACTCTGTCACACAAATATGATCTTTTTCATATGAAGTCAAAACTGATATAAAATTATTTTCGAACGCGTTACCTGCCAACCTCCTCCACGGGGTGGTCCTGTGGGAAGGAGAAGGGGAACACCAGGTGGTTCTGCTTGAGGAAGCTCTCCACGATGCCCAGGAAGGCCTTCACCGTGGGGTCCTGTATCCGGCCCTCCGCCAGGGCCTGCAGGAAGGGGCGTGCCACGTCGGTGCTGGGGTTCTCCTGCTGGTACAGGCGCTCCTTGTCCATGGCCTGGGGGAGGTGACACTGCTCCGACGTGGGTGTGGCACCTGAGAGGCAGGGAATGAGAGCAACAACTGGTGACACTGGTGAACAAGGCAACAGAGAGTAGCTTGTCACAGGTGGTCCCCTAGCCAAGAGCTATTCATACTTAGCATAGTACCCACACTGCTGCATCTTCCCGAGACAAGGGAGTTAACTGACTGCAAAAGTCCAGTTCCTACCCTTGCTGAACTAAGCAGGAATTAAGAAGTTATATTTAGGCTGCACTAACAAGTCTATGCATAGTCCAATTAAAATCGTGTAACAAAATCGCCATCCAGTTCGTAAACTGCTGTGCAGATTAGGGTCTATTGCAGGATTTGCAAAGCATATGTACCGCCAACTCAGCGTCAACAGATATTTTCCAAATCTTTTCATGTTTTTAATCAAGGTGCTCATGTGGCGCCGCCATTTTTTCTAAGCAAATGCAAGTGATATAAGAGGTGGAATCTGTTTGGTCAGTAGGAGGGATATAACTTGTAATAGCCACTGGTGGTGCTTCGATTGAACCCAGAAATTTCTGCCTACTTTAGCAAGGGTTGAAACTGGACTCTTACAGTAAGTTAACTCCGTTGCCTCGGTAAGATGACACTGCCGTGGAATACCAGGTTATAAAGACACAAACATAGACTAATAGTGTGGCCATTCATTTTAAAAAGAAGTTTGATCTCTTTCAACACATCAGTAAAGCTGATATTCTCAATTTCCAGGGCATCATTCCACAAAGCAATTGACCACACGATTCAGGACAGGATTATGGGTATGGCACTCAGAGTGGTTGTAGCATTAACACCACTTCATGTCATGGAGCCACGGCAGTCATCTTCATTGTCACCTGGCTCGTGACTGAGATGGATTTCTGAAGCTCCTGATTATTTTCATCCTGCTTACCTGGTGTGGTGGTGCATGAGCTGGGAGTCCGACTCTCGCCCTTCTCTTCATCGTAGCTGTTGTGAGGCTGAAGAACCTGCAGCCCCCCACTGAAGAACTCGGCCTGCAGCCAGTGTCGACTCTCCAGCTCATCGCTAGACAGCTGGGAGCTGCGAGCCAGCTCAGCGGCATGGAGACCCAAGAGAATACCCAGCGTCCTTTCTGTGTCCATCAGAGGTGACGACATCGTGTTGGAGTCTGTGGTCTGAATCACCTCCTTCTCGGGCTGAAACAGATGATAACGGCTTTACAAACTCGTCTTAATTCAATTATTGTTCAATATGAATATCTGAAATATTTATTCAGTCTTGCTGATATAAAGTTGAAATAGTCGCCTTGCAAGTATTAATTCAATTATAGTTCAATATGAATATCTGAAATATTTATTCAGTCTTGCTGATATAAAGTTGAAATAGTCGCCTTGCAAGTATTAATTCAATTATAGTTCAATATGAATATCTGAAATATTTATTCAGTCTTGCAGACATTAAGTTGAAATAGTCTCCTTGCAATGATGCCATTAAGAGAATGGCTGCTTATCTTTGATCTAACAATGAAAACAGTCACTCAAAACAGAATCTCAGCCCTGCTGGTGAAGGAAACACTCACGTCCACATACTGCCCCACATAGAAGGCCATCATCATCTCCCTCGCCTCCTCGGAATGGTGGGCAGCCTCAAACGCTGAGGATGCATCTCGACCTGGAACAATATTGTACTTGTCATAAAACCACTTTTTATGTCAGCATCAACACTCCCACAACTACCTCTCTAATCATCTTTGTACATAGACAGAGTGTATTTGGCAAATGAAACAACTCACATGTGAATTGTTTGATAGGCATCACATAGAAGTTGACGGATGACAAAGCAGACACAATTTATGGATAGCAACTTCTTTAGTTACTGTAAAGGCAACGTTTTGATATAGATCATTATACCGTTGTCAAGCAAGACTGATTGATGAACATGGTACAGAATATAAATAATAGGTAGAGGATTAACAGCAACAACAATTGCAGTAGGTAGATTGGTTGGTTGGTTTGTTGTTTAATGCCGCACTCGGCAATATTCCAGCTATATGACGGCGGTCTGTAATATTTCGTGTCTGGACCAGACAATCCAGTGATTAATATCATGAGCATCGATCCACACAATTGGGATATGATGACATGCATCAACCAAGTCAGCGAGCCTGACCACCCGATCCTGTTAGTCGCCTCTTATGACAAGCATAGTCGCCTATTACGGCAAGCATGGGTTGCTGAAGACCTCTTCTACCCTGGATCTTCACAGGTCAGTAGGTAGATTGACATGAGTAGGTTAAGTAATCACAACAAAGGGGTAATACTGTAACAACATGATTGACAGAGAACACATGATTGGGGGGGGGGGGGGGGGGGGGGGGGAGATCTATACCCAAATGTCGCCTTTACAGTTATTAAAGAAGATGTTATCAATAAACTGTGTCTACTTTGTCATCTCACATGTGGCATAGGTTCCAAACAGTCTTGTTTGTCTGATCTGTTTCAACATGTCGTTTTCAGGGTTCGTGAGTTAAAAATGTTAATACCCTTTCAGCAATATTCAAGCCATAGCAACATAAATGTTGAGAATCGAATCAAACCAGCATCCACTGAGATGGGCAAACACTGACCACACGGCCACTCTACAACTCAACTCGAACACTGTATGGCTTATTAAGGTCAGTAGATTCAAGTCATTGTTGGATGAGATGCGAGCACTAAGGGACATGAGGACCCACTTACCAGCATACTTCTTGAGGAGATCTCTGCCACACGGAGCCAGTGACTTGAAGTCGTGCACATCATACACCTTGCCGTGGATCACTACCCACAGGCCGCCATCTTTGTTGTGGTTCTCCACATCCGCCTTCCTGATCATCTGAACGTCGTCAAACGAAGTCTGAGTGTATCTCTCCAACGTGTGACCTGCCGGAGTGTGACCAGAGTGTGACCAGAGCATAATAATAGTAATCCAATAATGGACGTGATGTAAAGATGGATGCATCTAACTGTGACGTGAGACAAACATAAAACTGGACAACTACCGTACTTCCTTGATTAAACGCCTGGACGTACATTTCTTTCAGACACTCTCTACCCCAGTGTTTAATCACTAAGATAATAATGGAGAGAATTACGTGCATGTAAGTACCCAGTGATTAATTGAGACCAGGCGTTTAATCAAGGAAATACGGTAATATGATCATTTAATGATTGACATTGTGTGGGGATTCTTGAATCTCGAACATAATTGAAACTGTATCATAATGAGAGAGTGAGCTTGGTTTGACACCGCTTCGAACTAAACTGTATCAAAAAGCTGTGAGGTCCAATAATCAACCGATTACAATGACAACATAAACCAAACAGGAAATAGACCAAAATGAGAAATCAATGTATGGAGACAAGAAGCAGTTCCTGCTAGGCAACCTCATTTGCATACTTATCGGATCATATCAAGTTTATCTGACCTGTTTATCACATCGATAACAACCATTTTTTTATCTACACGCAACATACACATCCAAAGTGAGCGAGGCATCTTCATGTTCTTGTTAGCATTATTTTGGAATAATCAAATCGGTCATTGACAGAACACACATCGAGTTTACTTCTAAGTGTGATGGCCAACTCACTCCACACTCCAGGCCAGGCAAGATCCTCCTTGTCATCCCGGTCCAGTCCTGGTGCCAGGCGGTTGAACTTGTCCAGTATATCCAGGATCTCCTCCAACACAGGGACTGCTTTAGACAGCGTCACAATTTCCGGACTGCGCAGGTTCAGCAAGATCATGCAGGTGACCATCTCGGGCAGCAGTACTCCTGCAACAAATACATCAGGGTATTTGCTGTTGTAAGTGGAACAGATATGCATAAATCAGCATCAACCATATTTCTTGAACAAATGACATTTTCACTATGACTGTGTACAGGGTTATGATCCAATTGTAAACAATCAAATATCTCCAATGCTTATAATACAGTAACAAAATTTATAAGCGAGAACTAAATTTATATTTTCCTGTTTCAAAAGGCTGCTTCTTGTATGACTGTGACTGAATGCTTATTTATGTCTGGGAACAAATTACTGGGAGTATTGCCCGACATGCGATACAAACCTGTGACATCCTTGACGATAATCTTGGAGACGAGGGAGAAATGGCGGCTGCTGCTACTGGCGATGCTGGCAGCAGCGGGGAGGATGTCCCCGACATGGGTACACAGCAACATACAGTACTTCTTGAGGAGAGCCGCCGCTCCCCGCATCTCCAGGCCTGCAACAGAACGCACAATATTATCCACAGTGGCAATCATATCGGCGAACTATTTTCAGATATTCTCAGTGAGAACCCTGTTTTTGCTTCATGCCGATTGGCTAGTTCATGCCAGTTGATCAACAATCGATTGACTGAGCTGTCTCCACTTGTGATCAGAAAAACCTAACACTTGACTCTAAGGCTTAAAAAAATAAATGAATTGGTTCTCAGGAAATGACTTTTGAAAATATAGTGCGCGCTTGTTCAAACCAGAGACCCCATAAAAGAGATCTATTATATGGTCTCTGTTCAAACTAGTATGAAACCAAATAACAGTTGTGTACCCTCCACCTGGGAAAGGGCCTCCCTACACGAATAAACTATTGGAATTTACGGATTATTTATCCCTGGGATATAATGCTGAAAGTGTAATTCGCAAGTCTTCACAGCACATTAGTTAATCTCTACATCATCAAATACAGGATCACCATAAACCAAGAGTTGCATCATTCCGAAGATTAGTAAAACATAAATTGTATCTCAGAAAAAACACAGCAACCTGCAAAGTTTATCAGAACCAAAGGGTGAGCAAATGAAAGTTGTTTTCCTTCTAAGTCAGCCATATTCCAGCCACATCAATGCAGCCTGTAAATAGGAACTAGTGTGAGGAAGCCTTTTCTCATGCACATTGACATTACCATTTTGCATAAACCCATAATCCAACAGACAAAGATTCATAATTAGGGTGAATCCTGGATTCAACCCAAGAACCAGCAGATCCTGGCAACTAAGGGATGCAACTCTGCCCAGTCCCCTCCGACAATTGGTACTTGTAGCTGTCCTACCTATTTCCGACGAGGGTTTGGAGGGATCTTCGTCATCCTTCACATCAAGAATACGGGAGATTTCGTTTGTTTCTTTGACAAATATCTTTGAGACCAGGAGTCTTTGAAACTGCAGCAGCAGGTCCAGTGACGGCGACGTCTCCACCGGCTCAGCATCAGGCGACTTCAGCGTGCTGTCCCGTGACACGTCTTGTAGCTTGGAAAGTGTGTGAGTCGAGGAGTTTCTGAAACACAGTGAGTGAGTGAGTGAGTGAGTGAGTGAGTGAGTGAGTGAGTGAGTGAGTGAGTGAGTGAGAGAGTGAGTGAGTGAGTGAGTTTGGTGCACAGATTCACAGTTTGTCATCTGGGAGGAAAGCCTGAAGTGAAGCTTTGGTGAATATGTATGAGTGTAGTACAAGTACTAATATTGCCTGTGTGTGGCCTCCTCCTGCCTACCTGAGCAGCTGCTGTATCAGCTGAAGCAGTGGGATGGTTGCCTTGGTATCCAGATCTCCCCCCTTGACTGTGGGGCTTGCTTTCTCGATCACTGAGTGCTCCGACTTCTCCCCATTGGTGGCCTCACTCAACTTGCCATCCTCGGAGTTGTCTTCCCCTGTCTCACTCTCCTTCTCCTGGAGGTGGAGAAAGCTTGTACTAATCACAGGTCAACATGCCTTAGCAATAACTGTCACGTGAGTATCAACGATATTACTTCCCAGACAATCATACAACCATAGTGATGTAACACCCTGACTGAAGTTAAATTCTTCTAACAAAACCCTGAAGGTACACTTGGGTCTAATAAGGCGAGTCAGAGCAACAACCATGTTGTTTATAATTACCGTATTCGATGTAATAAGTGCCCCGCTCTAATAAGCACCCACGGCGATATTTGCTAATATATTGGCAAGTGAATAATCCCAATTAGCACCCCTTCCGATTTATCAATGTACACAAGACTTATTTATTCGTGTATAATACGCACTCGTGTGTTATATGCACCCTTAATTATGGGCAATTAAATTCTGAAAAAATGTATGTCGTATATAAACAGTTCAGACTGTCAGCATAAACCACGAAATTTATCTTTCAACTCTGTTTTTTCCACCAAAATAATATTCTAATAAGATCCCCCTATTTCTAATTTTGAGAGCACCCTGGGTGCTTATTACGTTGAATACGGTACTTCACTCATAGGAAACAATGTTTCAGTGTCTGGTGCCAATTTTCTCTCTGTTTCTAAATACAGTAACTAAATTATATACTTCTCAAAAGAGAACCCTTGATTTATTCATATCAATATTTTCTATCCGTTTCTCAATACAGTAACTGGATATATTTCTCAAAAGAGAACCCTTGATTTTTTTCATATCAATATTTTCTCTCCGTTTCTCAATACAGTAACTGGATATATTTCTCAAAAGAGGTTGAAGAACACTTGATTCTTTCATATCACAATAGTTAATCTGTCTATTGGGTGTTCCTCAACTTCTTTTGAGTAGTTAAAAATGTCTCTGTACAAATGATGTTGTCATTAACTGCTAGACTGATACGCATTACAAAACTGAACTAGCAACGGACAAAGCTGAGTTTGAGGGTCTTGCATCAATTTGCTGGGGCTGCCAAATAGTGGGAGCCTGGTCCCCTTTAACACATGAATGCCTTGTAGTCCTCAACACTGCCAGCAGTCCTACCTTCTTGTCTTCTATTTCCTGGATTTCCTTCTTGATGGCCGCCTGCAGCGCGGACTCCAGGCCCCCCTCGGCCATCAGACTGCTCACCAGCAGGTCCGTCATGAACCTCTGACCCGGACTCATCACGGTCAGGTCACGACCTGGACACAACCGGGAACGTAGCATCACATACATGGCAGACAACATCAGCAGATTCCACTGGACATAGCACATAAATGTATCATACTGAATAAATAAATACATATTTTCATATTACTATGAGGAATATTAGCCTGTTACATAATGCAACTAGCTTGAGTGTGTGTAAATACAAGCGTATGACATATTAGAGCTGTGGTAACTGATAAAATAAATCTTACAGACAGTACAAGTGTATGACATATTAGAGCTGTGGTAACTGATAAGATAAATCTTAAAGACAGTACAAGTGTATGACATATTAGAGCTGAGGTAACCGATAAAATAAATCTTAAAGACAGTACAACTTCACATTGAGTGAAATGAGGAAAAAGAAAGTCAAGCGTTTATCAAGAATTCATATGCATTGAAAAACCCTTTAAGACTTCAGGTTTTCAAATCCAACTTTAAACTTCTTTCTGCCAATCATATAAGGACACAGATGCATTCATTACCAGTGATTAAAAGTAAGCACGAAAGTCAAGAGATCATTGTAATAACCCTAATGTTAAAAGTTCAAGATTTAGGGGCCCTTTGATACATAGAAGACCTCAAAGAACCCAGGACTTCCCCCTCTATTTGGAACACTGCATTACTGTGTGTATCCTGCAGCTGCTGCCTATACTCACTTCCAGTGGCCAGTAGTGAGGACAGAGCCCGTGCCCGCTCCTCCGCCGTAGGGAGCAAAATGGACCAGCCGCTCTGTAGTGTGGCCTGTGCTGCCATCTGGACTGTATTCAGTACACCAGAGTTACTAGCAAGGGCCACAACTCTTTGTTTCAAGCTGACCACCAGGGGGCTGCCTTGCCCCAGACCGAGACACTCCACGTCCTCCGCCTGAGACACTGTTGCATGGAGCTGGAACAGGATGACATGGTTACCTTGTAACTTGTTCTCTCAATCTCAGTATCGGTTGAACACGCGTGTTTATCATCCAAAACTGGCTCCCACAGGAGATATCGCTTGGGTGAGATCAAGCGATATCTATACTGTAGAAATCGCTGCAATGAAATTGCATCACAATTTGCAGACCATTGCAGACGATTGTGAGGTCATTGGTTACCATGACGTCACAATCAAATGACATCACTAATGGCTCTGTTTGAGACGAGCTTGTTTATTGTACATGTAATCCCCTTCGATAAATATGGCATCTGTGGAGGTCAGAGGTCAAAGTTGTGTAAGTATGGCCTGTCAATCAGCGAAACGTAAGCGACACGCAGTTACAGCACGCAAAAAAAGGGAAATTTGTCTGTTTAAAGAAAAACACCCGTCAGCAAGTTTAGAAACCATCAGTAAGCATTATGGCACTGAATTTGGACATACCATAGGAAAATCGACAATTGGTGACAGTTCAAACTTCCATGACAGACTTTTTGAAACGTGTATGAATAAAGATTGAGTGGATGTATATGTTTGTTCTGTCATCTGTCATGAGTTGCATAATTGAAGGGAAGTAACTCTTCCAGTAAGAAGCTGGTTTCAGTTATACGGAAATTTGTTTATACGGACGAATTGTGAAATGACGCAAGTGTCCGTATAAACGAGGCACGACTGTAATCTGAAGTAAGACGTGACATATCTGTACCTGTAGATTGAGCAGGTTGAGGCCTGCTACAGCCATGCACTCCTTCTCCTGGGGCGGCGGCCAGTCGCTCCGTCCATCCATCCCCTCGCACACCTCCGTCAACATCTCGTTCAGCTGCTCAAAGGTGGACTTGCAGGTGTCGACAGTGAAGGGGATGCGAGACCCAACTGACCAGTGGCCACTGGAGGACCAGATGAAGGTCTGTGGACAGGAATATACAGCCATATAATGTTTTATCCTTTCAGAATGTTAACAGTATATGCATCAAAAACTAATTAATTCTGTTAGTTTGTCATTATGTTTCAAGGTGTTGTTTCATAACTAATATACAGGTAATGAAATATTTTGTAATGGAGGTGTCTTCAAATAGGCAATGTGTCTGTTGACCAATCTAATTTCTTTCTTGAAATAAAATAATGTGTATGGAGGCCATATGCACCCATTCTAGGCACACACACTCCTAAGTGACAAATATTTTTTTATAAAGAACATTTACTTAGACAAAACTCCTCTTGTACATATCAAAATGTTTTTTGTTTGTTTGTTGGTTGGTTGTCTAACACCTCACTCAGCAATATTCCAGCCATATGACGACAGTCTGTAAATAAACAACTCTGCACCAGACAATCCAGTGATCGACATAATGAGCATCAATCTCTGCAATTGGAATACAATGACATGCATCAACCAAGTCATTGAGCCCGGCCAAACGATCACAATAGTTGCCTCTTACGACAAGCATGGGTTGCTGAAAACAGATTCTAACCCGGGTCATCAATATGCCATGGCAACATGAACATTACAAATTACATAAAGAACATAAAAAACCACAAGCACACGAAACAGAGCTTGACAAACCTGAGAGGGTCCACACGATGCCCCAACAATGTTTCTGCTTTCACAGCCAGACATCAGCGTGGGTTCGATGATGTTCCCGACGGAGTTATCTCCCAGTTGCCCCTGCTCGTTCTTCCCCCAGCAGAACACCTCCCCATCCTCCGTGATGACCACGCAGTGCATGGACCCCACGGCAACATCCACAACCTTCTTCCCCATCAATCCATCAATCTGCTTCGGGTGTCGTACATGGTCCTCTGAGCCGTGTCCCAGGCGGTAGTTATCTCCCTTTCCCCTGTTGGTAATTTAACAAACATGTTATCCACACAAAAATGCTACACTGGTAAACATGTTTTATGTCTAAGTTTCTAAAGGTCTGTAGATGCTGCATGTATTGACATGAATTTGATCATAACTGATAATTTATAAAAGACACATATTTATTACTGAAGATTGTTTAATATGCATCAGACACTTTTGCTTGTATAGGATTCAGAGCACTGATGAGAAAAAGAATTCAAACATAATTTCAGTTATAACATAGCTGTGTGGGAGGAAAGCGAAAAGTAGAAGTGCCTTGAGTTGTAAAAACAATTTTTGTTGGTTGTTTAACGCCGCACTCAGCAATATTCCAGCTATAGGACAGTGGTTTGTAAATAATCAAGTCTGGACCAGCTGTCCAATGTATTGACATCATGACCATTGATCCACACAATTGGGATCCTGTTGGTTACCTCTTACAACAAGCATAGTCGCCTTTTACGGCAAGCATGGGTTGCTGAAGACCTATTCTACCCCGGATCTTCACGGGTCGTCATGCATCAACCAAGTCTGCGAGCCTGACCACCTGATCCTGTTGGTCACCTCTTACAACAAGCATAGTCGCCTTTTACGGCAAGCATGGGTTGCTGAAGACCTATTCTACCCCGGATCTTCACAGGTGTGTTAAAAAAAAAAAAAACACATGGTGAAACTGATAAGCAAAGGGCTGAAAGAACTAAGGTCTAAGGTCTAAGGTCTAAGGAATCCAAAGAAGCCAGGCAGGGTAACAACAAGCATTATGTCATTTGGTACGACGCAGGGATAAAACCACTGACAATCTGCTCTCCGGGCAGACACTCTATCAACCATACCACTGTGGTGGTACTCAAAGAGACAAGATGGCCGCATATATTCTCACCATGAGAAGAGAGCCCCCGCCTTGGTGAGGGCGAGGCTGAACTGAGCCCCACAGTACACCCTGATGATGTCCTGGCCCATCAGCTTCTCCACCAGCTTGGGGGTCTTACACCCGTCACTGCCCCCTCGACCCAGCTTCCCGTAGTCCCCGTCCCCCCACGAGTAGACAGCACCTGTGGGTAGTTTCATCAATACATGCATTTGTTTGTTGTTCAATGCTGCACTCAATATTCACGCCATGTGACACGCTGTAAATAATCAATCCTGGACAGACAATGTAGTGCATGAAATTATGAACTGATCAATTAGAAGCTACTTCATCAGGAAAAATAAATAAAATTTCAGTAAATTGCTCCAATATAAATATTATTGAACTTTGTTAATTCCATGGAACATCAAACATATTTTGCATATGATCATTAATACCAGACGTCTCTTAATAACAAAATGTATTCGCCATCTATTTACCAGTATCTGTGACAGCGACTGTCTGAGCGTCTCCGCTGCCACATGCAATGTCGATGACGCGGTGACCCTTCAGTGCTGTGACGAGGCCGGGGTAGGTGCTATCCTCGCTGCTGCCGTGCCCAAGACGGCCGTAGTTGCCCCGCCCCCATGTGTATAGTTCCCCGTTGGCTGTGACGGCGGTGCTGTAGGTGCTGCCGCTGCAGATGTTCACGATGTGCTTCCCAGAGATGCCGGTGATGAGGGTGGGCTCGTCACGGGAGCTGCAAGATGGAGTACATAATGATCTCATAGACTCACATTCCCGCTGCCTCAAGTCGGAAACAGATCTGACATTGTAGTAGACATTGTTTGTTTTGTTTGTGGTTTAACACCGCACTCTGCATTATTCCAGCTACATGACAGCAGTCTGTAAAAAATCGAGTCTGGATCAGACAATCCAGTGATTGACATCATGAGCATCGATCTATGCAGTTGGGATACGATGACATGCATCAACCAAGTCAGCGAGAGTGACCACCCGATCCTGTTAGTCGCCTCTTGCGAATAAGCATAGTCGCCTTATCAGCAAGCATGGGTTGCTAAAGACCTATTTAAACCTGGACCTTCAGGGGTATAGTCTGTTATTAAACAAGTTCATATCTAATACATTTGTGTGCTCACATCAGTATAATACTGCACATTTTAAATTTTTTGTTGGATGTTACAATACATGCATAATAGACACGGTATATATACACAGGAAGCTGGTAATGAACAATTTTGCCTTTTTGATCACAGGAATCAATCAAGTTGCTAATTTCTGAATTTAATCATTTCAATCTGACTTTACTTTGTAAACTTTGCCAACTTTGCCAGTAAATATGCTTGATTTTTTCAAATGCAATATACTGGTATTTCAAATTGTGGCAAAACTGTAATACAGTGCACCATAAAACATTAAAACATCAACAATAGCAAATACAGCATCTTTGCATTGGTACGTTCACATGAGTATACACGTTTGTATTTATGTAGTTTTCTTAACGTTTACATCCATATATTTTAGATTATTCACATTTAGTATATTTGAAAATACGCTCATTATATTTTCAAATACATTACATATCTGAATATTATCGCAGAACATTTTTTATATTCAAATGTAGTTACTCTCCCTGTCACTCATGCAGTCCCTTGCTTCAGCAGATGAAAGATGAAGGTGAATGAGTAGTGAGAACACAGCCTAAAGAATCCTATTGCTACAGCTGAACAAAGAGTGAATCTTACATGCAGTCCCCATGGCCCAGCCTCCCACCATCGCCGTTACCCCAGGAGTAGACGTCCCCCTCTGCCGTCAGGGCCAGGAAGTGCTTGCTGTCGGGGTGGGCGGCCAGCTTGATCACCTCCTTGTCTCCGAACCCACCCACAGGTTGTGGGGACTGCAAACAGAGGCATGTGTATAACAATACATACGACTGAGTGAGTGAGTAAGGTTTTACCGAGGCTCATTGCCTGAGTGGGTTAGATCGCTGACTTTGTGTGCTGGCGATTAGGTGCCTCACTCTGGCAGTGTGGGTTCGAATCCCAGAAGGGACTAAAAAAAATGTATGAGAATCTGTACTTTACTAACAAAGTGTTACCCAAATATAAAATTTGTTCCATTTGACCACTTTCTAAATGGCATTGTGTATTCACAGTGGTTGATAGTAAGGTAAACACCTTTGGGGATTGATGACACACAATATGCCATGTCAGTGCACCTGACCAATGATTCCTGATCATTCGTAAAGCATCAAGTACTGGGAAGTATTCTGACCTGGCATTTCTACAGGGGCATGGAGTTAGCAAGGGAATGTAATCTGGAAATTTCAGCCAAGAATCCATAGACATCTTCACTGCCCTACATCGACGCCTGGTGTACGCACCTGTGTCTCAGAGCTGTAGAACATGGTGTAGACGCGACCGGTTCTCGTCAGCGCCAGAAGACACCTCTCGGCACACGCCACCTGCTGGATGCCGCCCATGTCGTTGAAGAAGTCCAGGAGGTGCGGTCCGTTGTTGCTGGTTCCGCCCATCCACCCCAGCCAGCCCCACCCCATCACTTCCTGCGTCACTGCCGACCGGTGGTTCTGGGGAAACAAGCTCAAGATGACATACACATCATAAGCTTAACGACACACATCAAACCCTGGGATCCATTCCACAAAGCTATCTTAGCACTAAGGTTATTGTAATTCCCATATTTTAACATAGACTTACGACTGTCGTTGAGCTATGATCACTTTGTGGAACGTGACCCTGGTCCAAAAGAGGATCTTAGTGCTACACATGTCCATATGAACATTTTGGAATTACAACTGTCTTAATGCTATGATAGCCTTGTGAAGAGAGTGAGTTGGGTTTAACGCCACTTTGAACAGTATTCCAGTTATATCACAGCGTGTCAGCTTGATTAGGGAGGAATGCCCAAAGTGATGCAGGTCTCTGACGTTTACCACTTTGGTGAAACCCACGAGCACGGGTATGGTGAGAAACCGAGAAAACATAATCGGGCAAACCAGCTTTGAAGAACAGGACCCAGGTCACTATCCTCGGTGTAAAAAAACTGAATGTTAAAAGATATGCACGGACTGACCTTGTGGTTGGAGCTGGGGGGGAGGTAGGGTGCATGGACTGACCTTGTGGTTGGAACTGGAGGGGAGGTAGGGTGCACGGACTGACCTTGTGGTTGGAGCTGGGGGGGAGGTAGGGTGCGGCCAGTCTGTCCAGATGGGCCATGATCACCACGGCACTCTGTCTCAGGTCCACGGCCGTGTTCTCGTCTTCAGGGTATGTCAGATATCGCAGGAAACATTCCGTGGGGCTCACATGGAAGGAGCCCGTCTGTAAACAAGCAGGTGAATATCAACCTCACAGAACTTGTCAAGGACGATTTGTACCATAGGTTAATTAATAAAACTACCTTTGCATCCCCTCTTGTAAAACTACAAAACACCATGACCTGTAAAGATCCGGGGTAAAATAGGGCTTCAGCAACCCAAATTTGCCATAAAAGGCGACTATGCTTGTCGTAAGTTTTAACTAAAGGGATCGGAGAGTCAAAGCGTTACAAGTCCTTTGTGAAATGGGGGTCTGGATATGGTTTTATGTCCACAAAAAGTGTGATATTCGTTTTATGCCCTAGTCATCAAAATTACAGCCATATCATCAGTCTGTGCCAAAGACCTTTGAGTCTACTTGCCTGAACTTGTTACTTAGCACCATTTTCAGATGACTTAGTCTCATTTAACTGATCACTATGAACTGAGTTTACTGGACTGAACAGATCTGATCAAGCCTGGCTTCAAACTTATCAGTGATGTCACAGACCGTAACTTGTCACGATGAAGTGACCGTATCCGGAGCAGACAAACCAGTGTGGGAGTCTCACATCACAGCTGAGATTTGGTCACCAGCCACTGGGGCCCCCTCACCCACAGTAAAGTTTCCTCAAATGATAATCACAGGGCTCTGTTTGAGTTCATAACAAATATTTCCATCTTCAACAGTGATTAAAATTCCCCCAAATGTCAGTCAGACAACCAGACTGGCAACGCTGCAAAGTTACCAGACCAGATAAAATGTTGCCAGTCAGAATTTTCTTAACATTAAACATAAGAATAGTACTGTTCAATGTTAATTCTCAGAAACTAACAATAAACTGGTGGACTGTCAAGTTAGTAGCTTTAACGCATTAAAATTTTATTCATCAATAATATGTTAAACATTTACTGTTAATTTACCTCTTATATTGAATAAAAACTAGACTGCTATGGTAATTTAGAGAACAAAATAAAGACAACTTTTCAAAACTGACCGTCCATTAGCAAAATAGACCGTCGTGGACTGCGGATATTTAAACACTGCCTTCAACTTACATCATCCCATCTGGACATTTCAAAGATCCGAGACTTGGAATTGTGGACACTCTCGAAACGTTTGATCAGCGGCAGCAGTGGCGCAGAGATGAGGCTGCTGCTGATGCGGTTGTCGTATTCATGGTGACTGTTGTTCCAGAGGTTGAGGAGAAGTAATACTGATGACAGGATGTGACTGAGAGATCCTCGCTGGACTGCTAGTTCCAGGAGGAGAGCTAGAGCAATCTGCTGGTCCTGGACTGGAATCTTACTGGAGCCGCGGGCACTGCTGCTGCCGCTTAGGTCTCTGCAACAACAACAAGAAGAGTGTGAGTGAGTGAGTGAGTGAGTGTGCAGATATATCACTCAGAATGTACTTCATATATTGAACTCAGATCTCTGCACCAAGTGAGTGAGGGAGTGAGTAAGTTGGGTTTTGTAACAATTTTAGCACCTATTCCTGCCATATCACACCTGGAGATATCCAAGATGGGCTTCATATATTGTACTCAGGTCTTTGAAACAACAATTTTATTAGTTCGTTGTTTAACGCCTCACTCAGCATTATTCCAGCTATATGACAGTGGTCTGTATGTCATCAAGTCTGGACCAGACAATCCAGTGATTGATATCATGAGCATAGATCCACGCCATTGGGATACGATGACATGCATCAACAAAGTCAACAAGCCTGACCATCTGATCTCGTTAGTCACCTCTTACGACAAGCATAGTCGCCTTTTACGACAAGCATGGGTTGCTGAAGATCCAGATCTTCAAGGGTAGCAACAACAAGTGTGTGAGTGAGTGAGTGAATTGGGTTTCACCGTTTGATTGTCATTCTAGAAGTAAGTGAGTTATCAAACTCAACCTTGATGCAATAAACCAGTTGTTATCCATAAAGTTGTATGTTATCTTATGAACTGAGTTCAATGCCGACTTCTGCACTATTCCAATCATATCATAGCTGGAGACATCCGGTATGGGCTTCACATATTGTACCCAGGTGAGATGAGCCGATATTCTAACCAGTATTCTAACCAGTATTCTAACCAGTATTCTAACCAATCCAATCCAATCCAATAGGCTCCCTGACTACATGCCTCAATACCTACACAAATACATAAAAAATGAGGTGATCCAATAAAAATAAAAAAGCTGACAACCTTTCTTTTAACAGAAAAGTACATGGGTACTCTCTTCGTCTTTCCTAAGCACAGGGATTTTCTTTACTTTAGTGTTACTGATTTATTACCCCTGAAAGTGAATGAGCTGGGTTTGTCTGCCGTTTGTGAACAGTATCCAAGTTGTGTCTCTCTGCCTGCAGGAAGGAGCTGGAGGAGGACACACTCACCCTGCTACCACCGAGTGGAGGACACACTCACCCTGCTACCACCATGTGGAGGAGGACACACTCACACTGCTACCATGGAGTGGAGGAGGACACACTAACCCTGCTACCACCGAGTGGAGGAGGACACACTCACACTGCTACCACCGAGTGGAGGACACACTCACCCTGCTACCACCGAGTGGAGGAGGACACACTCACCCTGCTACCACCATGTGGAGGAGGACACACTCACACTGCTACCATGGAGTGGAGGAGGACACACTAACCCTGCTACCACCGAGTGGAGGAGGACACACTCACACTGCTACCACCGAGTGGAGGAGGACACACTCACCCTGCTACCATGGAGTGGAGGAGGACACTCACCCTGCTACCACCGAGTGGACGAGGACACACTCACCCTGCTACCACCGAGTGGAGGAGGACACACTCACCCTGCTACCACCGAGTGGAGGAGGACACTCACCCTGCTACCACCGAGTGGAGGAGGACACTCACCCTGCTACCACCGAGTGGACGAGGACACACTCACCCTGCTACCATGGAGTGGAGGAGGACGCACTAACCCTGCTACCATCGAGGGGACGAGGACACACTCACCCTGCTACCATGGAGCGGAGGAGGACACACTCACCCTGCTACCACCGAGTGGACGAGGACACACTCACCCTGCTACCATGGAGTGGAGGAGGACACACTAACCCTGCTACCACCGAGTTGAGGAGGACACACTCACACTGCTACCACCGAGTGGAGGAGGACACACTCACCCTGCTACCATGGAGTGGAGGAGGACACTCACCCTGCTACCACCGAGTGGACGAGGACACACTCACCCTGCTACCACCGAGTGGAGGAGGACACACTCACCCTGCTACCACCGAGTGGAGGAGGACACTCACCCTGCTACCACCGAGTGGAGGAGGACACTCACCCTGCTACCACCGAGTGGACGAGGACACACTCACCCTGCTACCATGGAGTGGAGGAGGACACACTAACCCTGCTACCATCGAGGGGACGAGGACACACTCACCCTGCTACCATGGAGCGGAGGAGGACACACTCACCCTGCTACCACCGAGTGGACGAGGACACACTCACCCTGCTACCATGGAGTGGAGGAGGACACACTCACCCTGCTACCACCGAGTGGAGGAGGACACACTCACCCTGCTACCACCGAGTGGACGAGGACACACTCACCCTGCTACCATGGAGTGGAGGAGGACACACTCACCCTGCAACCACCGAGTGGAGGAGGACACACTCACCCTGCGACCACTGAGTGGAGGAGGACACACTCACCCTACTAGCACCGAGTGGAGGACACACTCACCCTGCTACCACCGAGTGGAGAAGGACACACTCACCCTGCTACCACCGAGTGGAGGAGGACACACTCACCCTGCTACCACCATGTGGAAGAGGACACACTCACCCTGCTACCACCATGTGGAAGAGGACACACTCACCCTGCTACCACCATGTGGAGGAGGACACACTCACACTGCTACCACCGAGTGGAGGAGGACACACTCACACTGCTACCACCATGTGGAGGAGGACACACTCACCCTGCTACCACCGAGTGGAGGAGGACACACTCACCCTGCTACCACCATGTGGAGGAGGACACACTCACCCTGCTACCATGGAGTGGAGGAGGACACACTCACCCTGCTACCACCGAGTGGAGGAGGACACACTCACACTGCTACCACCATGTGGAGGAGGACACACTCACCCTGCTACCACCGAGTGGAGGAGGACACACTCACCCTGCTACCACCATGTGGAGGAGGACACACTCACCCTGCTACCACCGAGTGGAGGAGGACACACTCACCCTGCTACCACCGAGTGGAGGAGGACACACTCACCCTGCTACCACCATGTGGAGGAGGACACACTCACCCTGCTACCACCGAGTGGAGGAGGACACACTCACCCTGCTACCACCATGTGGAGGAGGACACACTCACCCTGCTACCACCGAGCGGAGGAGGACACACTCACCCTGCTACCACCGAGTGGAGGAACTTGGTGGCTCTCTCCACCACCTCCAGCCAGACGGAGGAGACAGATGCCTCGTCAAACAGCGTGGCTTCAGGCAGAGACCGCAGGGCATCCAGCGACTCCTGGAGCAGCTCACTACACAAGTCAGCATCTTCACCTGAACGCCAGGCTCGTCGAAGGAATGCAAACGCAAAGCTCAGAGCTGCCCGGGATCCCACTCTCGCAAGTCCCATCGTGGCTTTCTCTGCTGGCTTTGAGGAGGAACTGAAAGAAGACAACATAGATATCAATGGCAGTCAAGATCATCAGCATCACAACCAACATCATCCACACCACATCCAACATCACCCACACCACATCCAACATCATCCACACCACAACCAACATCATCCACACCACATCCAACATCATCCACACCACAGCAACATCATCCACACCCCAGCAACATCATCCACACCACATCCAACATCATCCACACCACAACCAACATCATCCACACCACATCCAACATCATCCACACCACAGCAACATCATCCACACCCCAGCAACATCATCCACACCACATCCACACAACAGAAACATCATCAACACCACAGCAACATCATCAACACCACATCCAACATCATCCACACCCCAGCAACATCATCCACACCACATCCACACAACAGAAACATCATCCACACCACAACCAACATCATCCACACCACAACCAACATCATCCACACCACAGCAACATCACCCACACCACAGCAACATCATCCACACCACATCCAACATCACCCACACCACATCCAACATCATCCACACCACATCCAACATCATCCACACCACATCCAACATCATCCACACCACATCCAACATCACCCACACCACAGCAACATCATCCACACCACATCCAACATCACCCACACCACATCCAACATCATCCACACCACATCCAACATCATCCACACCACATCCAACATCATCCACACCACATCCAACATCATCCACACCACATCCAACATCATCCACACCACATCCAACATCACCCACACCACATCAAACATCATCCACACCACATCCAACATCATCCACACCACATCCACACCACAACCAACATCATCCACACCACATCCAACATCATCCACACCACATCCAACATCACCCACACCACATCCAACATCATCCACACCACATCCAACATCACCCACACCACAGCAACATCATCCACACCACATCCAACATCACCCACACCACATCCAACATCATCCACACCACATCCAACATCATCCACACCACATCCAACATCATCCACACCACAACCAACATCATCCACACCACATCCAACATCACCCACACCACATCCAACATCATCCACACCACAGCAACATCATCCACACCACATCCAACATCACCCACACCACAACCAACATCATCCACACCACAGCAACATCATCCACACCACAGCAACATCATCCACACCACAACCAACATCATCCACACCACAGCAACATAACCCATACCACAGTCAACATCATCCACATCACAGCAACATCATCCACACCACATCTAACATCATCCACACCACACCCAACATCATCCACACCACAGCAACCTCAACACCACATCTAACATCATCCACACCCCAGTCAACATCATCCACACCACAGCCAACAACATCCACACCACACCCAACATGATCCATAAATGACACTCCTTCATGACAGTGCATACCTTTTCTGCTTGTTGAGGTTGCTCTGGTTAGCTTGTCTTTTCTTGGTTGGAGCCCGTTTGTCATAGGGACTTTGTCTACATACGGCGGTGAAGTATCGCTCCAACACTGCCAGTCGCTGGTGTAGTCGCGTGGCCGACAACGTTGTCGCTGCCGACTGAATACACAGATGCTGGTGCTCATGTAATAGGGAATGTAGGCATTCTTTGAGCTTGTTGATGTCTGAAATTCACGGTGGAGTAACATCATATTTCTGTTTCAATATATACCATATTTACAAAACGTACATCTCACCCTCTCCCCAGCCATACACCTACCTGGCTGATTGCCCCGAAACCCCTCTCACCCTCTCCCCACCCATACTCCTACCTGGCTGATTGCCCCCAAATCCTCCTCCCACCCTCTCCCCTACCATAACACCTGCCTGGCTAGTACCCCTAAATCCCTCTTCCACCCTCTCCCCATCCCTGTTGCCCGCAAATCCCCCTCCCGCCCTCTCCCCACCCATACACCTACCTGGCTGATTGACCCCAAATCCCCCTCCCATCCTCTCCCCACCCATACACCTACCTGGATGTTGCCCCCAAATCCCCCTCCCACCCTCTCCCCAGCCATACACCTACCTGGCTGATGTCCCCAAATCCCCCTCTCACCCTTTCCCAAACCATACACCTATCTGGCTGATTGCCCCCAAATCCCCCTCCCACCCATACACCTACCTGGCTGATTGCCCGCAAATCCCCTCCCGCCCTCTCCCCACCCATACACCTACCTGGCTGATTTTGCCCCCAAATCCCCCTCCCACCCTCTCCCCACCCATACACCTACCCGGCTGATTGCCCCCAAATCCTCCTCCCACCCTCTCCCCACCCATACACCTACCTGGCTGTTGCCCCCAAATACCCCTCTCCCCATCCATTCACCTACCTGGCTGATTGCTCCCAAATCACCCTTCCACCCTCTCCCCACCCATACACCTACCTGGCTGATTGCCCCCAAATCCCCCTCCCACACTCTCCCCACCCCTGTTGCCCCAAAATCCCCTCCTGCTCTCTCCCCATCCATACACCTACCTGGCTGTTGCCCCCAAATTCCCCTCCCGCCCTCTCCTCATCCATACACCTACCTGGCTGTTGCCCCCAAGTCCATGACTCAATGACAGGCATCGACGGCTTGGGCTGCGTCGCCTCCATCGCCAACAGCGCTGATTCCTCCTGGTCCAGCTTCTGACAGGCTGGGCAGTTACAGCCATTGTCGGGTCCACAGTGGCCATCGCAGCAAGGGCAGGACAACACCTTCATGCCACAGTAGTATTTACCAGTGTCCCCTGCAATGAAAAAACAACAACTCATCACAACAATCTTATGAGTATCTTTTTGTCTGAAATGTTCATCTTGGTTGCTAAATTAACACAGGAAAAGTTTGCTTGTTTGTTGCTTCTCATTCAACACTTTTCCAGTAGATTCAAGTCTGGACCAGACAAGCCAGTGATTGCTTTTATGGGGATGTCCCCAACCATTGGGGTACAATGCCAGGCATCCTATGACCAGTGGGTACCTATTCTAACCAGGAATCCCCAAGGTATGACCAGCATAGGTTGCCAGGGACCTATTCTAACCAGGAATCCCAAGGTACGACCAGCATAGGTTGCTAGGGACCTATTCTAACCAGGAATGCCCAAGGTACGACCAGCATAGGTTGCTAGGGACCTATTCTAACCTGGAATGCCCAAGGTACGACCAGCATAGGTTGCTAGGGACCTATTCTAACCTGGAATACCCACAGATGAGAAATACCTCAAGATGTCTAGAGTGTACATTAACAAAACCATACCATGAGAAGCATGAACGCATGAGCATGCAAGTGAACTCCAGCATCACCAACCGAATGATCCCCCGAAACATGTGCACATATGATTGTTTATTAGCATCCTCCAAACTGACCGTAATTCACCTTAAACCTGCAGCAAACATAAAGTATGTGTAAAACCTGTGTTCGTGTTACACAGTAACCTGATAACAAAGTTAAAGGCATCCATTTTTCATGCTCAACATATGTTCTGCAGGATTTAAAGTCATCATCCATCATCTGATCACAAAGAATTCCACTGGAAACAATCCTGGACAGAGTTGTAGCAACCAAGTCGAAGTTAACAAAACACAAGGCACAAGGCTTCTGTACCTCACATTTAATGTTCAATTGAATGAGATGAAACAGCACTTAACGATGATGTCATACCTCACACCTAGCGCTGCACACAAGTCTATGGTGAAGTGCATGATATGAAACAGCACTTAATGATCACCTTGGCATACCTCACACCTAGCGCTGCACACAAGTCTATGTTGAAGTGTATGAGATGAAACAGCACTTAACGATCACCTTGGCATACCTCACACCTAGCGCTGCACACAAGTCCATATTGAAGTGTATGAGATGAAACAGCACTTAATGATCACCTTGGCATACCTCACACCTAGCGCTGCACACAAGTCTATGTTGAAGTGTATGAGATGAAACAGCACTTAACGATCACCTTGGCATACCTCACACCTAGCGCTGCACACAAGTCCATATTGAAGTGTATGAGATTAAACAGCACTTAATGATCACCTTGGCATACCTCACACCTAGCGCTGCACACAAGTCTATGTTGAAGTGCATGATATGAAACAGCACTTAACAATCACCTTGGCATACCTCACACCTAGTGCTGCACACAAGTCCATATTGAAGTGTATGATATGAAACAGCACTTAACGATGATGTCATACCTCACACCTAGCGCTGCACACAAGTCCATATTGAAGTGTATGAGATGAAACAGCACTTAACGATGACGTCATACCTCACACCTAGCGCTGCACACAAGTCCATATTGAAGTGTATGAGATGAAACAGCACTTAACGATGACGTCATACCTCACACCTAGCGCTGCACACAAGTCCATATTGAAGTGTATGAGATGAAACAGCACTTAACGATGACGTCATACCTCACACCTAGCTCTGCACACAAGTCCATATTGAAGTGTATGAGATGAAACAGCACTTAACGATCACCTTGGCATACCTCACACCTAGCGCTGCACACATTACAAGTCTATGTTGAAGTTTATTAGATGAAACAGCACTTAATGATCACCTTGGCATACCTCACACCTTGCACTGCACACATCACAAGTCTACGTTGAAGTGTAGGAGGAAACAGCACTTAACGATCACCTTGGCATACCTCACACCTTGCACTGCACACATCACAAGTCTATGTTGAAGTGTAGGAGGAAACAGCACTTAACGATCACCTTGGCATACCTCACACCTAGCTCTGCACACAAGTCTATGTCAAAGTGTATGAGATGAAACAGCACTTAACGATCACCTCAGCATACCTCACACCTAACGCTGCACACATTACAAGTCTATGTTGAAGTTTATTAGATGAAACAGCACTTAACGATCACCTTGGCATACCTCACACCTTGCACTGCATACATCACAAGTCTACGTTGAAGTGTAGGAGGAAACAGCACTTAACGATCACCTTGGCATACCTCACACCTTGCACTGCACACATCACAAGTCTATGTTGAAGTGTAGGAGGAAACAGCACTTAACGATCACCTTGGCATACCTCACACCTAGCTCTGCACACAAGTCCATATTGAAGTGGATGAGATGAAACAGCACTTAACGATCACCTTGACATACCTCACACCTAGCGCTATACACATCACAAGTCTATGTTGAAGTGTAGGAGGGAACAGCACTTAATGATCTGATTGTTCTGGGTGGTTCAACGTCTTCAGTATCAACCAGTGAATGAGTCTGTGTTGGACTTGGGTCAGCTAACATAGATCACTTTGTGAAACACCAGCAAAAGTACTTTCCAGCGAACATGATTGTAACTATATTAAAGTCAATGAGATGGTCACAGAAAGATCACTTTGTAAAACATCTTCTGTGAGATCCATCTTCTGTGACATGGATGAGTGATCCTGTCTAAGTAACACTTAACAAGAGGTCCAGTGCATGAATGATTCTAAGTTAGACTTAGAAGACATGTGGTGAATTATCCACTTATAGATCCCTTTGTGAAACATCTTGCAAGACTTTCAGTGAATGAAGAGATGGACGTTTTAAACAGAAGACTGAATAAGCATAAAAAAATCACTTTGTGTTACATCCTCCATGACATCCAGTGAATGAATGATGTGTTAATGTTAAACTAATCGATCCAGTCACACCACTTCAGATCGCTTCGTGAAACATCATCAAAGACCAGTAAATGAATGATTCTGTCAATGGAAACCTCAACAAGATGGTCAAAGAATGCAAAGAACACTTTGACAAACAACAGCAACAGCAACAACCAGTTCAAGGTTTCCAAAACACCAGAACGTTCACACACACGTTCCACACTCATACACATCCCAGTGTTCTGAGGTACATACACTGTATCTTTAGACATGGAATCCACTGAAAAATATGCACCTGTTCAAATTTCAAAAACAACAGTCAATATGGTAAAATACACATTCACTTCAAACCCAGTTCCAAGGCATGTGTTTTTTCTCGACAGAGTAAACATATAAAGATGTACCCACATTACAACCACACTAAGTTCCGCTGTACGGACGATATGGAAACTGACGGATGAGCAGGAATCCCATTTTCATTAATTACCATGATTATCGAAACATCAAATGATACAGAAGTATTTTGGTACCGACAAAAATGTGGGGGTGAGGTTCCCTCCCTTGGCCCATTTAGCGATCATCAGATCTCAAAATAAGCACAGAACTATTTTGTCTCCATGTAGTGATGTTTTCCTCAGCTGCGGCAAGGATTAGCGGCAGCTCGGAGTATGGTAATTGAAGCAGCAATTACGCCTTTTGGCTGGGATTCAGCCATTCACTTAGCATGCTTTGTGGTGAGGAGCAAGTGTGAGAACCGTTAGGTTTACATCATAGAGTGATGCTGGAATATGTGTACACAGATGCACATGTCCCTTACATGACGTCTTCATCAATTAATTGTTTTTCCTGAGACACAGCAGGATAAATTCCCCTGTTTATTCTCTTCCTTAGAAACACTTCTAAAAGCTACTTTTTCACTGGCTGTTTGTTTGAGAATCTAATTTGGTCATAGGTACATAGAAATATGATGATATAATTATAAGAAATTATTCCATGGCCTCATGAGATAAGTAATCACGGTGTTAATTATCCTCGATTATCCAGTATATTATTAATTATCCTCGATTATCCAGTGTATTATTATATCTCCATTCTATTTGGATTACTGGCCTGCACCCATTAACCACCACAACTTCATTTTGGAAGTGACATCACCCCATCTCTAATTTGGCACATAATTTCTCATGCTATAGAGAATAATTTGATTGGATGGCTTTTTTTTAGTGTTGTGCCATTCGAATCCATCTTCCCAAGGCAAGGGAGTTCACTGACTATAAAAGTCCAGTTTCCATCCATGCCGAACGAGGTTGGAATTATGGAGTTATATTTTGGCTGGACAAACGAGTCTATGCATAGTCCAATCAAAATCGCGTAACGAAATCGACATCCGGTTCGTAGACAGCTGTGCAGATTTCAGTCAATTGCAGGATTTACAAAGCATGTGTACTGTCAAATCGACATCAACAGATATTTTCTAAATCCTTTCATGCTTTTTATCAAGATGCTCGATTGATTTGATGCACTTCACAAAGTAAGACCCGTTTTATTACAATATAGATTTTGATTATCAATCAGATTGTCTTGACTGGGCACCACCATATTATTTGAAGCAAATGCAAGTAACATGAGAGGTGGAATCTGATTGGTCAGTAGGAGGGACATAGAAGGGACATAACTTGTAAAAGCCACTGGTGGCTCTACAATCAAGTTCAGGACTTCCATCCAAGTTTGGCAAGGGTGGAAACTGGACTTTCACAGTCAGTTAACTTCCTTGAAGATGTTCGATTCAGGCTGAAAATGAAGTGATGGTGGTGAAAGGGTTTGGGGCATTTATCTAAATGGAACAGAGATGTACTACACTGGATAAGGACGGGTCTAACCTGCATACATTAACAATAGTTTTAGCCATAAGATTGCTGGAGTGGCGACCAGACTTTTGCAACTTTCACCAAACTGCCATCAATGCCCTACTGTTTGTTTGTTTGTTGATTAACGCAGCACTCAGCAATATTCCAGCTATATGACGGTGGTCTGTAAATAATCAAGTCTGGACCTGACAATCCAGTGATTGACATCATGAGCATCGATCCTCGCAATTGGGATCATCCGATCCCGTTACGACAAGTAT